GAAGAGAAATCCCCGTAACACTCTGCATTTAATCTTCTGGATGGACTTCATTTTAAAGCTCCTATGACAAGGTTTTTCACATTTATAAAATACAACAAAATTCATACTGATGATGTCTTTTTACGATTTACAAAAGTAAACAAAACCTTCAGCAAAAAGCTTGATGGTTTTAATATTGTGACTTTTGATGCCTGAAATCGGTGCAGGGGGTAGGTGCTGAAGGAAAAGCTCTGTTTTTACCATTTCCAGATTAAATATTCATGTAAAAATGATGTATTTGACCATCAAAGTCATCAGGGAGAGAATTGTTGTGACTAATCACAAAATAAGCAAAGACTACTTTGTCCACAGGGGGGCGCTGAAATTGGAAACTGAAAGTTCCTCACAGGAGCTTTAACTTTAGTAGACCATCACAGTCCCATTGTGTGTGGTAATGATATGATGATAATGGGTTTGCAGCAGACTAGAATATGCAGCAGATACTGATAAACATTTAGTTGTAGTAGCTGAATTCACTGTTTGTGTGAGGACGTAATAAAGCTGTTCATTATTACTTGACCAAGATCATATGATTCCAAATTCTGACTAAATATAGCTTCATATTCGAAATATTGACCTTTGCTTTAATTTGAAGTTTACTAAATTCTTTCTGTTTTATAATCGGTTGCAAACACACCTAGTATCAGTGTTACTTCTGCACCTTTTAAAAGCTTTTTTCCTTTGCGTCTGCGCCATCCTCAGCTTCATGTCACAGCTTTTACCACCACTCACACAAATCTTTAGCCAGCTGTTTTACCCACATTGTGGCAAGTTTCATTAATTTGTTTTCTAAATGCAAAAAAACACCAAATTAAAAATTGGGCCCCACGTGAATTTGTGAAAAACTAATCCAAAGAAAGACTATTTTTGATCATTGTAAAAAAGTTTACACAATACATGTTTACAAGTATGAAAAACACAAGAGGATGATGAAGTTTTCTTTGTTTCCTAGCAGCTGACTGCACCAAGAGATGAGCCCAAAATTTTGTTGTGATATTTTTGTTGTCTGCTTCTGGTCAGCATCATTTGGAGACACTTTTACAAACACTACATGGACTTGTTTACACTGTCTTCAGGCTTTTTTCTCCACATTTTGCATTTTTTAAAGTTACAAAAACAAAGAATATGAAAGTTGTTGCATTATGTTACTGTATGCACATCTGATTGCTCAAATGAACTACTTATGATCATCACTGTATGTGTATATTTATAAATATATATATATATATAAAATTACTACAGCAAACTGCTTTTCAAGAGGACATTAAAGAGTGTAACTTTTAAATAATCTTTGTTGTGTTTTTTATAATGTTGTTTGATTGGCTCTTAGAGTTGAGTGTTATGTACCGGTTCATCTTAAAGAATAAGAATAGTGTGGGAAAAGTTCATTTTTATCATTTATTTATAAAAGGTAAAATTCACTTGTTCCAGTATTAGTAAAAAGTAAAGCGAATTATTAATGTTTTTTTAATCTTACATTATTAGAATATTTCTTATAATCAGTCAAAGATTATTGATAATACAGAAATTTCTAACCTCTGAAAGTGTGTTTATTTATACACTCAATAGTTTGTTGGGGCCATAGACTGTATATACTATGGACAACTTGGTTCCGCCTTCCACCAGTATACAGATTTGAAGCCAAAAAGCTCTCGGTATTCCTCGTTTTTTTCTCCACTTCCTGAAACCAACATTGCACAGTTGCATTGTACGCATTCATCAGGAGAGTCACTGAGAGTCTGCGATGATGCTCGGCTCAAACTGCATATCCCCCGGATGAGCTACGCAACCTTTGTACGCCCATAGGCTGTATCAAGTGTCAATCAAAGAAAACATGAACCCCCTAATAACTTTTACAGAAAAAAAAAGAGGACTGGACTGGACTGTCAAACCAGTCTGACAGTAACTACATGTCAACATCACAACCAGGGGGAAGAAAAATTTATATTCTGTGTAATTATTAATTTCTAAAGTTTGTCCACAGCTCCAAAGGGATTGCTGAAGGAGGCGGGATTTATGACCTATACTGCAGCCCGTCACCAGAGGGTGCTGTTCTCAAGATGGCTTTACCCAGCGAGGAGGCAGATAGCGTCCATTCTATATACAGACTATGGATGGGGCTCCTTAACCATGAATCACTGCATCAGTGTGGCGTGGCAAGGAGGTGACCAGCCCATAGCTCTGCTGAGATTTACAAAGGTTCCTTTGTAAGCAGCCCTCAGCTCATCAGCCTTTAGCTTTGTAGTTTTGGTGCTGTGGGTAGGTGCAAAGCTCTGCTGGAATAGCAAAGCTCGACATCACTATGTAGCAAATGTGAAAGGTTTCTGTATTTATAGAACCATGAAAAAATATATGGGATTTTCTGATTTATGAGAAAATATGGAACAACTAAAAACTCTCAGGACCTTTAAGGACCATAACCTGAAGCTGCTCTGAAGATCACAGATTCTTGAAGGGGTCTTCGTGATATTCAACAAGGTTTTAAAAACTTTCCTTAGAGATTTTTGTCCATACTTATATGATCAATTTAAGCTTTGTGACATGGTGTAATATCCTGCTGGAAGATGGTCAGAAGATGGTACACTGTGGTCATAAAGGGATGGACATGGTCAGCAGCATTACCCAGGTAGGCTGTAGGGTTTAAACCAGTGGTTCTCAAGTCCAGTCCTGGAGGCCCACTGTCCTGCATGTTTTGGATGTTTCCCTGCTCCAACACACCTGATTCAAATGATCAGCTCGTGATCAAGCTCTGTAACGGCTTAATAACGAGCTCATCATTTGAATCAGGTGTGTTGGAGCAGGGAAACATCCAAAACATGCAGGACAGTGGGCCAATCAGTGTATCACAGTCAGATTCTTCATTGGCTCCCTTGCTCACCCCTCCTGTTGGTGAAGCTTCTTTGAGGACAAGAGGCGGCTGTGATGCAGATAAATAATAATTCATTGGTCAAGTTTTAAACATCTAAATTCTCTTTCACCAGCACCACCAAGCGCCCTCTTCTTCTTGTTTTTCCTCTTCTTCCTCTTCTCCTTGTTTTCAGTGGATAGTAACAACGTAGATTAACTTAGGTGAGAAACTTTATCTAATATCTGAACAGTGACAGGACTCAACACTCCACATTATTTATTAAACATAAAATATTTCTAGCAAAGCAAACTGCCAAAATCCTCTAAGGGAATATTTTGTATATACAGTATATTTCTTTGTTATCTTCCCTACAAACCTCCCGCAGTTCTCCTCAGAAGAGTCATGTGATGTTGTTGTGATGTTGTCTGTCAGCTGATTTATAACCATCGTCCCACCTGAAACGGCTAGATGACCTCTACCCCTGTTGTCTCAGCACTACAGGTACGTGACAGCATGTATGCCCCCTCATCCCAGTTTACCATCCTCTGGGCTTGCCTTCTACTCTCCTCTACCTCTCTGTTGCTCTTTGAGTGGACATAACTCTTCTGAGGGAGTTTGTAATTGAAGCAGACCAAATGCACTTCTTTGGACCAATGCCAATATCCAATTTTATTTCATTTCAGTAAAGTGCAGCAAAACTTCATATATCAGATATGACAGATGTGTTTAAAAGACACACAGATTTTCCTCCAGAGGATGAGAAACAACAAGATTATCATTATCATGAACGTTTGCTGCACACTGTCACCTGCTGGTGAAGACATAAACTACAGCTGCATGAGAGAGTGAGGCCGTACATAGAACATTACAGGGTGTGTGTGTTTTAGGTAAGAAAGTACAGTACAGACAGCGTAGATGTATTTGAGTCATTTTCAGGTTTCAATACTTCCCTTTGAGTAAACTTGCCACTGTAACTCCACTCTGGTCAAAGTTTCTTGTATAACGAACAGTCAATGTATTGAACACTCTTCAATTTTAATGAAGAAAATTAATTCACTCATTTTTTTCACATATCTTACTCTGTCGGTTCTGCCCAGCCAGACACTTTATATCTATACAGATCCAGGATTGCTTCAAATGTACAAATGCCGTTTGCTGTGTATAAAACACCAGGTAGTAATTGTGGGGGGCTGACCTCTCCTACTGTAGTGCTTCAGCTGAAGTCCTACACTGATTTAATTGGCAGTGTACCCAGTTATAGCAACAGCATACACTCTTTACACACACATCACCAAGGCTACTATTATCAACAATAAGGCAAAGACAAACAAGCAACCATGCGACAACTCAACTGTGCATTGCTGCAGCACACCTGTGTTCCTGCACACGCACACACACACACACACTGGATGTAGTATATAGCATGCTGCTGTGCAAATGTTCACCTCAACCACAACAGGTGAATTGCAATTCAGGGCAAACATGGACCTAAGATCAAGAACAGTTTATGTGGCAGAGTGAGATATAACTAATTACATTTACTCATGATATAATCATTTTCTTCTTCATTGTACTTTTTTGAGATGTTTTTAACCCAGTTGTTTTCCATGGGAGATATTGTACTGCTCTTTATTTTACATTGCATTAGTCACAAATTTAATATCAAATGCAAAAAGACTCAAACATTTCATTGACTGTATGATTGCCAGCTGATTGGCCGATATCTACCACCTGACTGTCAGGTGAACTAACATAATGTGGGGAAGAGTATGTATGCCCCCCACTCAAATCAAAGCAATCAAGTGAGTAAAATAGTCATTAGCAGAACATTGCTTTAACAAAACTTGCACTGATTTCTAACAATACTAAGGTAGAGCGGGAGCTAAAACCTGATTTTCATCTGTATGAGCTGTCACACAATAGCCTCTGTGCACACCATTTTGTGACCAGAGAGCGGAGAGACAGACCAAAGAGTCAAACACTGACTCTGCAACGGGAACAAAGTAAACCCTTAATACATGGTTATCTAGCTGTGTCAGACAAAACTGAATATAATAAACTGTTCTATCCTTACAAGTGTTTCAACCCTAAACAGAGACTGATGCTGATCAGTGTGCAAAAGAAAGATTTATTGGAAAACAAAGCGCAAGCCATGGAGGCAGGAAGCTGGCTGGCTTAGAGAAATCTCCAGAGAGGAAAAACTGGAAAATATTGGGCACTGAGGAAGAGTGGACAGAGGAAAACAGTGGTCGGTTCAATATTTCACAAGTTATACTACAAAAACCAGCAGCTTAAGGATTCCAAGCACATAGATCACAACTGACCAAGACAGAATAACCCAGCAGAGGAGTGAAGACCAGTCTTCATAGTCAGGTTGGTGGGCTTGAGTGGAAACAGGTGTGCCCCGTCCACTGCCACAGCTCCTGCCACACATGTGTGCCCTACAGGAGGTGGAGAACAGAAAGGAGAGGAAGAAAAGGGAGCATACACCTGAAACCAACAGCTAAACAAAAACAGGATTATCACAAATAAATTCAGAGAACCTTCAGAAATCTGTGAAAACCAGGCAGCACTGCATTAAAATCAGACATGACTCTATAGTGGAAATTACTGCATGAGTTCACAGTCACCTCCAAAAACCACGTCAGTGGACATGGTTTATTGCTGCATTTACAATGCAAGAAAGAAACCATATACACACGTGGACAAAATTGTTGGTACCCCTCAGTTAAAGAAGGAAAAACCCACAATTCTCACTGAAATCACTTGAAACCTACAAAAGTAACAATAAATAAAAATTTATTGAAAATTAAGTAATCAAAATCAGCCATTACGTTTGAAATGTTGATTAACATAATTATTTAAAAAAAACAAACTAATGAAATAGGGCTGGACAAAAATGATGGTACCTCTATAAAAGATTGAAAACTATTTGACCAGAGTGACATGATTAACTCAGGTGTGTCCTTTAATTGACATCACAGGTGTTTCCAAACTCATAATCAGTCAGTCTGCCTATTTAAAGGGAGACAAGTAGTCACTCTGCTGTTTGGTGAAAAGGTGTGTACCACACTGAACATGGACGACAGAAAGCGAAGGAGAGAATTGTCCCAGGACATCCGAAAAAAAATTATAGACAAACATCTTAAAGGTGCAGGCTATAAGACCATCTCTAAACAGCTTGAAGTTCCTGTGACAACAGTGGCTCATATTATTCAGAAGTTCAAGACCCACGGGACAGTAGCCAACCTCCCTGGACGTGGCCGCAAGAGGAAAATTGATGACAGATTGAAGAGACAGATCGTTCGAATTGTATCCAAAGAGCCCAGGACAACCTCCAAAGAAATTAAAGGTGAACTCCAAGGCCAAGGTACATCAGTGTCAGATCGCACCATTCGTCGTTGTTTGAGCCAAAGTGGACTTCATGGGAGACGACCAAGGAGGACACCACTGCTGAAAAAAAATCATAAAAAAGCGAGACTGGAATTTGCAAAAATGCATGTTGACAAGCCACAAAGCTTCTGGGAGAATGTCCTTTGAACAGATGAGACCAAACTGGAGCTTTTTGGTAAGGCACATCAACTCTATGTTCATAGACTCAAAAACCAAGCATACGAAGAAAAGAACACTGTCCCTACGGTGAAACATGGAGGAGGCTCAGCAATGTTTTGGGGCTGCTTTGCTGCATCTGGCACAGGGTGTCTTGAATGTGTGCAAGGTAAAATGAAATCGGACGACTATCAAGGCATTCTGGAGAGAAATGTGCTGCCTAGTGTCAGAAAGCTTGGTCTCAGTCGCAGGTCATGGGTCTTCCAACAGGACAACGATCCAAAACACACAGCCAAAAACACCCAAGAATGGCTGAGAGAAAAGCGTTGGACTATTCTAAAGTGGCCTTCCATGAGCCCAGATCTGAATCCCATTGAATATCTGTGGAAGGAGCTGAAACATGCCATTTGGAGAAGACACCCATCAAACCTGAGACAACTGGAGCAGTTTGCTCATGAGGAGTGGGCCAAAATACCTGTTGACAGCTGCAGAACGCTCATTGACAAATACAGAAATCGTTTAATTGCAGTGATTGCCTCAAAAGGTTGTGCAACAAAATATTAAGTTATGGGTACCATCATTTTTGTCCAGCCCTATTTCATTAGTTTTTTTTTTTTTTTAAATAATTATGTTAATCAACAATTCAAAAGTAATGGCTGATTTTGATTATTTAATTTTCAATAAATTTTTATTTATTGTTACTTTTGTAGGTTTCAAGTGATTTCAGTGAGAATTGTGGGTTTTTCCTTCTTTAACTGAGGGGTACCAACAATTTTGTCCACGTGTGTACATCATGATCCTGAAATGCTGATGACTTCTTTGTGCCTGGACCATTCATGATGGACAAAGAGGAAAACTATCCCATGGTCTAGTATTAAAAAACTACATTCTTTTTGGAAATCATAGAAGCTGAAAGGTTTTTGGCCATTTCTATTCTATATAAATATTTCTCTAAGTACTCTGAAACTTTTAATGATATTATGAACCATAGGTGATGATAAAACAAATGATATTTGTGATGAAACTCTGAAACTGCTGAATTCTCTTATGCAGTCCCTCACAGGGAGTTGAACCTCTGCCCATCTTTGCTGAGATCCTCTCTGGAATTCCCTTTTTATACCTGTTTTAAATGAACCTCAGTAGATAGGAAATATTCTTCCGAGTATTCTTGGCAGAATTTCTAGTTTTGTTGTCTCTGTCCTACCTTTTTGAAACATATTGCATCAAACTTAAAATAAATTTATGGTTAATACAAATACATAAACAATAATAATAAGTTGTAGAACTTGATATGTTGTCTTTGACTACTTTTTAATGAATCCCTCCCAATTCCAATTTTAAAACTAATAGCAGATTCTGTCTCAGTTTAAATGTTGCCGCGATGATGCCATGCAGGTTATCATCAATGTCACCATCACACATTCATCTCTGTTTAACTGAAAGCATAAATACAAGCGCAGGCTGCTTGAAGAGACTTTGATAAAACACATTTCAAACTTCAATAGCTACACTTGTAAGCTGACAGGTCCCCCTCACTAGAAAAGAAGGTGAAGTTACAACAGAGTTCACTTAGACAGGCTAATGTGGCATTCTTTGGGAGATTAAAAATGCACCATGACATTCTTACAACTGATGGAGTTAACCAGTCTAACTTCAGGGGTGGCAAGAGTACCGATATATTCTACTTGAGTTAAATTCCTACTCTTTTATTCACTCAAAAAGAAGTAAAAATTACCTGAATACTTACTGTCAACACCTACATGTAGGGGTCATAAGAATTTTGTATACAGAATGCAGCCAACTGTCTAGATTACAAAGTGCACTTTATATGCATAATTTCACAGTATATTTGGCCTGTTGTGTCTGTGTAGCTTATTATAAAGCTCTTCTGTGGAACTATGGGTTTCAGTGCCCCCTGTGAGTAATGCAGGCTTCATGCTTAAGGAGTGCCATCTGAGAAAAATCTTATCCTCCTCACTTTTTACATTCAAATTTTTGATTCATTGTGAATATTTATGGTGAAAAATGTAACTGTTTTCAGCTGCTCGGCTGACACCTACCCCCTCACACTGGTTTCAGGCATTTAAAATCACAGCACAACAATCGCCAGTCTTGTTGCTGATGATCTTGTTTTTTTGGATAACACAAATGAGGCTTCACTATGGATTCTAGTCCATTGCATGAATGTTAAGAAAAAAAAAAAAAATCATACATAACAAGATCCTTTGAGTACAAATGTGAGAAATTCACTTGGTAAGGTTTGTTTCTTTTTAGTTGCCATTTTGTGTACTTATACATTTATTGAATAGGTTTTAAAATCAGCAGTTTTACTTCTGTTGAAAATATTGAAACTTGTTACATTTCACACAGCATCAATCACAAGTCAAAGCAGTTGCTAAGAACATCTGGGCTTTGATCAATTGCCTTTACACCTTGACGATTAGATTACGTCTTCATTGTCTACATTGGCTGTTTTGACCTGACAGGTCCCAGTATAAATGTTACTGCGTGACGTTCAAAACCAAATTTTCTCAAAAGTTCCTTGCAACAAGTAAACCATTATCTCGTGTTTCAAAGAGTTTAGGTGCATAAATGTAGAGCTGGCTGGTGCTTGTGTGATAAGGAACATTTAAAAAAAAAAAAAAATAAGGGACTTCAGAGATCTCACTGGAACATAAATGACAGCAGATCTGTAATGTATGGAGGAGCAAGGCCATGACAAAGATTTAAAACAACTAAGAGACTTAGAAAAAGAAAACTTAGAAAAAGGGTGTGTGCATGTGTATGAGGGTGTGTGCATGTGTATGAGCCTTTTTATTCTTTTTGGGTTAGAGGAACACATGAATGCATGCAGCAGAGGAACAGTATTTTTCCTGAGGGAACAGGCTGCTTCTGTAGAACAGAAACACTTAAAAACTTTACATGTAAGTACAACTACAAAAAATAGCCCCTCAATCGCAGGAACATGAGTAAATGTGATGTTGCTTCCCACCTCTGCTGACTTCACTCTACATATTCACTCCCTTACTGTAACTATGACGGTGAAAATACATTATTTGGACCTAAATTCACAACACGTGTCCTGGACATAATATATCAGGACGTTACACTGATCGAGAAACACTAGAATATAACGTCGCTCCTGATTGGTGGAAGCAAACTGTCAATCACGAGAGTAGTCCACTCACATTCTGCATTACATGACGGGGTGGATATTTTCTGTGTGTACTGTACGCCGCTAAACTGTTGATAATTTCACGGCTGGAGCTTTTAAAGAAGAAGATTGAGGTTGTGAGCTGATGGTTTATTACGCTGTCACTGAAAGGTATGTCCTACAGAGCCAGGGTTACACGCTTTTCGGACTGTTTCTGTCAGTTATCAACACGCTCAAACACCCAGGAAGCTTATTGAAACACTCACCGCACTGATAGATGGTAAACGGCGTTTAGAGACTTCTTATCGGGGTATTGTGATGTAGCCCTCAGCTTTTCGATGACCTTTGTCATTTGGACAGAGCTGTGAAACAAAGTTAAGACAGGGATGTAGTTACCACGAACAGGCCACTCCGGCTCTGAGCACTTTGCAAACCGGGGGAGGGGAGGGGAGGAATTGGACTGAGATGTGAATTTTCTTCCACCTCCCTGAAAACGAAAGTGATTTTCAACACACAATGTGACTGAACAAGTCTGTATTTCTGCTAGAATCACCGCATCATGGTGTCATTTTTGGGGTATAAAGTGTGTTAATGTGTCGCCTTCGTTGACAGTAACATTCATCATCTCATGAAGTGCTGCGTTTCTGTACCACCGTCAAGTTACACACAATAACAAACATCACTTCCGTTTTCACATGTAAAAATGGCAGTATTGAGATTAGGTGATGCAGAAGTGGCAGTTGAACACAACGATTTTCCTTTTATACAACAATGCAGCGGCATATTTAAGAAGAAATAAAACTGTTTTAGACCTGGGGAAAAGCCCCCACAGCCATTCTGTGCTTTCACAGATAGACTATTGCAGCTTTAAAGCTCCTGTAAAAAGTTTTTGACAGACTTTGAAACAGACTGAAACTTACAGTGATCCTCTTTATGATCCACTCAAGCAAACAAGGCCATCCATTACAAGACTGACAATTTCTGTATTGTACCTTCTAATGTACATAACAGCTGTGAGGGGGTAGTTGTTAGAGGGGACAATTTACAGCCCACAGAATAGATGGACTTTTACTTTATCCACTGCAAGGATTCACATTTTGCTGTTTAAAGGGATAATCCAGGCATTTAAAATTAATTTAGGGTCAAACACATCGTAGCACCGAGTTAGACACCCCCTTGAGAGATGAATGTTGCCGACTGCTTGCTTCTCTATTTATACCAATTTTAGTAACAACTGCAGGATAGCATTACACAGCGGTCTGAGGAGCCATAAACAAACCTCAAACAAAACACCACTTTATAGCCACAAATAATGCTCAGAACAGCACTTAACTTCCTCAACAGCACATATAGGGTCCTAGCCACAGCACTAGCTATCAAACATCTTTTTAGCTTTGCCTAATTTCTTAAGCAAAGAGACTAAACACAACTCATCTACTCTCTTCCAGCAGCCGCTTGTTTGTAGCGAGACCTCGGGCCAGTCCAATACGGACTACAGCTAGGTGACACAGGTCAAGGAAGAACATTTATCATTATTTCTTTATCACTTCCTTGAATTTATAATCACCATATTCATCATTTTGCACCGCAGACGCAGTAGTTCGTCTGACTGCAAGAGTTGACGTTTGGTCTGAAAACACTATCTACACTTGAAGCTTACAGGACAAGCTCAGGGTTGCCGTCAATTTGATTGAGACATTTGGGGTACATTTTGATGTAGTAAAGACAATATCACATTTATCTATGCAAGGGAGGTTGTCTCCTTGCAGAAGTCTTATGTTAGGTCTATGCATCAGGCAAAATGTCACTGAAATGCCACACAAACTGACCCTATATTTTGTCATTAGTTTGGAATTGTTTGGTTGTAATGCTGACTGAAATGCATTTGTTTTGCAGAGGACTCTGGATTTGTTAGTTTTGTGACAAACACATTATATCAAATATTGTAACAAGTGTTTAGTGGTAAATTATCATCATAACAGTATTGAACACGAGGTTAAGATAAAAGGCAACATAATCACAAGTGACATCTACAGCATGCCACAAAGTTTTGCAGTATTTTCTCAGCAGCAGATACCAGTGGTTCTGCAATGTGTCACTGATGGCTACACCAATGTGCCAGTCCCCTCAGTAATAGGCCACAAGTATGGTACTGTTCATTTTGTGTTGTAATTGACAGCATATTCAGTGTAGCTGGAGGCCGTGTTAGCCTAGCCTCGTAGTCAGTCAGAGCAGCTGATAGAGGACATTGCTCAAGAGAGGACTATTTTTTTTTCAATACTAAAGTGAGTCTTGAAGATTATCTGTATTCCTGGAGTGGAAACCTTGCTCCTATTTATTTTGCCGAACAATGTAACCCTGGAGCCTTTATCAGACTGCTCTTAGCTAGAAATTGTGGAAACACAGTCGAAAAGGTTAACAGTCCTCAGGTTAACACAACCTTCGATTAAACTAGTGTGTGATTGTTTAACTTGAGCCTGATGTTGCAGCACAGTTTCAGTCTGATACAAATCTGAATGCAGGAACATTTCAAAACAATGTGACTTTACAACTGCTGGTGTTTACTTTAAAGAACATAGTACATAATAGTCACAAACCAATATTGGTTCCTCAGGGCTACAAACTGATTATAAGTAGCTCAAGAGACATAACAGTTTTTGGAACCAACATGCATTTACAGTAAAAAACATAAACTTTTATTCAACAAATAGAATTGTGAATGTTATAAACTTCAACACAAGATGTTGTTTAAACTTTATCAGACAATGTTGAACCAAAACTTAAACTCTCAACACCACATACTAGAGTCAAGCCACTTCTAGGTAGTCAGCTGTACATTTGCTCTGATTTTTATCTATCATAAAAGTAGACATATGGCATTGTAAAAGTACTCTGATTCAACTTCAAGTACTGCAATCAAAACCTTACTGAAATTAATGTAATTATGACCAAATAATGGACCACATGTAATGAAAGTAAAATTGCATCCCTCAGTTATACTGTGTGTTATGTTCCATTAACATGCTCACTTCACCACTCATTTAGTGACTTTACGTTACGGAATAGCTTGTTACAATAGCCTAATGCCTACAAATATGCTCATAAATGATAAAATCTAAATCAGCAAGATAAGTAAAACAGACCCAGAAGGAATGACACATGGGCACTTTGAGTTAATTAGTTTTATAGGCCATCAATAAAACAGAATACAGTCCAGACTGACTAAATATAGTAAGGGGTTGATAATCAGTTGAGCCCCACCATAAAATAGCCTATCCATAAAAAATGGTTCATACAATTTACGTTTGATCTTTATATCCTATGTACGGTGGCCGAGAACCGCCACTGCTGCAAATAAAAAAGAATGCAACAAAAAGGCACCACAACAGAAGTTACTGATGCAAAAAAAAAAAAAAACTGAAGACCACTGCAAATAAAAAAAAGAAATGGTGCAGATAAAAAATAAATACAAAAAACACAACAGAAGTTAATGATGCAAAAAAAGTGATGATGCAAAAAAAAAAAAAAGGTTACTTACTGTGAAAAAAAAAAGTATGCAAATAAAAAAAGCCACAACCGAAGTGAGCTGCCAGGGACCAATAATGATGATGCACTGGTGTTTTACGATCTAGGCACAGAAGAAGACGGCAAGAAGACGATCAAAGAAGTTAGTGGAAAGAGTGTTGTTTAATTTCGTTTCGTAAACTTTTCAATGTGTCATTTGGTGAGGCCATGTAGCGCCTGAGTCTATATGAAGTTGATCTGGAGGATGTCGGTGTAGTGTTAGCTTCAGTTTAACTTCATATCGACTCAGGCACAACATGGCCTAACCAAATGACACTCTGAAAAGCAAACGAAGTAAAATTAAACATTAACATTAAACTTTTGTCGTGGCTTTTTTAATTTGTATCCTACTATTTTCGCAGTAACTATTTATTTCCATCGCAACTTTTTTTTGCGTCGTTAACTTTGTCGTTAACTAAAGCTAACACTACACCTGCATCCTCCAGTTCAACTTCATGTTGACTCAGGCACAACATGGCCTGACCAAATGACACATTGAAAAGTTTACAAAGCTAAATTAAGGGAAGCCCAGACGGCCCTCACCCCAGCTACTTCCACCAGCTCCTTCGGGGGGATTCCCAGGCGCTCCCAGGCCAGGCGAGAGATATAATCCCTCCACCTGGTCCTGGGCCGGCCACAAGGTCTCCTCCCGGTGGGACATGTCTGGAACACCTCTAACGGTAGGCATCCAGAAGGCATCCTAACCAGATGCCCGAGCCACCTCGGCTGACTCCTCTCGACGTGGAGGAGCAGCGGTTCTACTCTGAGCGCCTCCCGAGTGTCCAAGCTCCTTACCCTATCTCTAAGGCTGAGCCCGGTCACCCTGCAAAGGAAACCCATCTCGGCGGCTTGTATTCGTGATCTTGTTCTTTCAGTCATTACACAAAGATCGACCGGTAAATCGAGAGTCTCGCCTTATGGCTCAGCTCTTTCCTCACCACGACAGATTGGATAAAGAAACGTTAATTTTATAAACCATTTTTTCTGGATAGGCCATTTCATGGGAGGGCTCAACTGATTATCAACCCCTTACAACCCCTTACCCCTGACTTCTTTTTTGCATTCTTTTTTTATTTGCAGCAGTGGCGGTTCTCGGCCACCGTACCTATGGACTCAAAAAAAGAAAAAAAAAAAACAGAATTGTTAAACTTTTGCATTCTCGAATCCCGAAATAAGCTGTACTTGAAGCTCTCGCCTTTTATTTTGGTAACCACGGGTTCGGTTTCCGGTCTCCGCGGCCCTAATCTGAATAAACTTGACAGTGGTTCTGTGTTTAGTACAGCCAGTGCTGAACTGTTATGATGTGTCAATAAGTTAAAAAGGTGGACGGCACCGATGATGAGAGGGCCCCCTCGGCACCTGAGCAGGATATTGGAGGTATGTGTGGACGTAGAGGACACTACCATGACAGAGAAAATGTCCTTCTGGTGATTTTCCGTGAAAACCCGTTCGCTATTTTTCTCCAGCTCCCAGTCAGTCACTGAAAAATAGTTCTTATCGCTGCTGTGGACATGATGTCCGCCTGATGGCTGGCTGAATGTGTTACTTTCTCACCGACGTTTCATGGATAACCCGTGTCCAGGACCAAAACGCGGTGGTCTCGCCTACTGTGTTGCAGAAATATTTCCTCACTGCTGTGAAAATAAATGGCCAAAGTGTTTGTCAGTGAGGAGGTCTGACTTGCCCCCCTCTCTCTTCCTATCCGCATCAAATGCACTCTCGCAGACCTGCTGTATGGAGACGACACACTCACACTCGCACTCAAGTGTTTTAATCAGTGTTTCGGCTCGGAGTTTAGTCAGCAGCTGTTGAAGAAGCTCGTAGTCCTGCGGAACAGAGCTGCATGTTAAAACCATGACACGTCCAGTTAGCAGGCTGTGCAGCTAGCAGGCAGGCTAACTAGCTACTTTTATTCTCAGTAACAGAGCTAGAAAATGGAGCTACTGCCCTGCAAAACACTGTGCACAGATGCATGTGCCTGGAGAGAAAATCCCCAGTTTAATTAATCACTGTGGATGTTTCTGTTCGGAGTGGGAGACATTTCGACGACATTGTCATCGGAGAGTTTGACAGGAGTGAAATATCCCCCCATACTGTACTCTACTTGGCTTTTCTCCTCCAAACCCGAAGCAAGATGGACTCTCATTCGGCTTGTCTGTCTTGTCAGATCGACATTTTGCACAGAGATGAAAATGTGTTTGCTTAACAGTGGAGGTAGGAGCGCACTACACATGCGGACAGATCATTTATTCGTAAAGCTCTTAAATCCGGTGCTGTTTGAGGATCTGCTGTAGCTCAAGACCTCTCACTCCCAAGATCGGGCATCAGCAGTTTTACCTGTGAACACTTAGCAGACCTCTGCTCCGTGCCACTGTGGACCTCCTGCTTCTTTATTTAGGCTCAATCATGTTGTATGAATGCATCCACCGGTCGCAGGGTTTCGGCCTACATGTTTTGGTTTTGGCCACAAGGGCGGATCGACTGCATGATTGAAGTGATCACATCAGACAAAATGTCCCACCGTACTTTGACGATGGAGGTGTCGAGGTCTTGTGATACGCAGTGTCACTCACTAATGCTGTGTTAAAGTTGCTTTGCACACATTTTTCCTGCAGCCCTTTGCTCGTGTTTGTAGGAAAATTGTTGCAGCGATGACAGTGTAACGCATGACTGAGAGCGGTGTCTTGTATTTTATAGGTCATCGTCATTGCATGACAAAGGCTGTGGCAGATTCATCTTCATCACTCATACAGCATTTCCATAGCTTTTTCCTCAGTAAGTATTGCTGTTCTCCACTTGACATCCATAAACACAAACACTGGCATCTCTTTTGGATGATGTCCAGCAGGGTAGTCATTAAACCATTCATTGACAGCTAATTTCATTTGTGCCATCTTAGGTAGAGATCCAGAGCGAGTGCAAACATGTTGAGAAAATTCAAACAGTGAGGAAAAATTTAAGAAATATTATTACATATACACACTTATTCATGTTAAACAATCACTACTGTAGCTAATAATAAAACAGCATGGCGGTAATAGGCTGCATGTTTTTATACAACCTTATCTTTCTTCCATGAAAGCAACTTTAAATATAGTGTAAGGAGAAGATGCCAAGTTTCATATACTTGACTTCACACATTTTGTCAGTGTTATGCTGACAGACTTACAGTGAGCTCAGGCGTAGAACTAAGAAGCACATGGCAATATCCTGTGATATGCAAATCTGGAAGCACAACCACTGTCTGTTTACAACATTTAAGGAGTTGTGACAGAATATAGTAGCGTCTGAAACGCCATCACTTACTGATAATGCTTTTTTATGTGGTAATTCTACAAATAACTGAAGGGTGTTTATTTTTTTTGCCTTACATACGAGGTGATCTGAGTGACCAAGTGATGCAAAAAATAGGAGATTGGTTCAGCCTGCAGCTGCAAAATGGCTGGGAGGTTTAAATGAAAACTATAGAACAAAGTGTCCAATCAAAGTGAATGTTTTCCACTGACAGACTTAGTTATTCATAACAATATTACCACCAGAGATGCACTTGCAGTACTGAAATCAACGTTTTGGAAGTGTGAACGATTAACACTAACTTGTTAAAAAAAAAAAAAGTTGTCATATTGAATTATCCTGATTTATTTTTCTCAGTAACATAATGCATAGAGCTGAGAGTCGGCTGCAGAACATATAGAGGTGTACAAATGGGTAAAGATGCTGAATGTCAACATGCAGAGCAGGCTCATAACAATAATCTTGCAAACAAACAGTCATCTAAAGCAGGGCTCAAACTACTATGGTTTCTCTCACTTAGGCTCCCAGCTTTCGGTTTTCTTTTCACTTGTTCTTCTTGAAAAAAGTAAGCCTGCCCTCAGGGTTGGGCGTCATTCGGCAGCGCACTTAGGTGGCAATCAAAAACCATATGCTCAGGACGCACTGATGTTACAGGTATGCAGAGATACTGGTGTGCCAGCTTGTGCCAGTTTGGAAAATGTATTTGCATTGGCTTTACACTCTTCCTGATAGAAAATGAAAAGAAAAACTACATCTTTGAGCTTGTTCTCATAAATCAAATTCTCAATACTCTGTTAGTTAACATCTTTGTAGGTTCCAACGAGTGAAGCCTTAGTTTGCTGCTCTAAATGACTCCCAGTTTGGTATTCCACTCCAAAAAACTCTACAGGACCCCACAATTAAAGTTACATGAATTAACCTTGTTAGTTATATTTTTGACACATGAACTTAAATGATTAGAGACACAGTGACTTGCATTTCGGCTCCTACAACTCCTAACTACTGCACAGGACTTTTTAAAGGTAATTTAGCTAAGCATACAAGGTAAAGATAAAATACAAGATTCATAAGTATTTTTAAATCAGTGTATAATCACCCAAATGTATGAAAATTTTTGTTTTGTTTACTTAAAGCTCATATAAGGAACTCTCTGTCTGTGTCAGTTTCAGTGTCTCATGTGGACAAAGGGGAACCCTCAGATATTTTCTAGTTTTGTCCCGTCTATGTATTAGTAGTGTTTTCTGACAAAAGGTGTCTGTTAACACTGAAATATGTCTCTCAATGAGAATATTTGCTTCAGTAAAGTGGAATGAGACTATTTCTTCAGCATTCTCATTAGGCACTCTTGTCACTAATGTCCTTGTTTGCTAATGCAGCTCATAAAGAGCCTTTACTGTTAATTTTAGCTTGTTTCATAACCAATCAAAAAGTCCTCACAGTGGCTTTAAAATTAGCCTTTTGTGTTTACATACGTTTGGTCTCCTTCCATGGAGGCCACCATCTTGCATCGCCATATTTCTACTGTAGCACAGGATAGACTAACTAGTAAGATATGCCTTTTTTAATAAGTGAGTGGCTGCATGTTGGAGGACAAAGAAGAAGAATAGAGACTAATTAATCAGTGATGATATTTTAAAAGAATCTGCATCTGTCTATATTTGGGCTTTTAAGACCAATAAAAACAAAGAAACCACACTTGCAGGTGAAGCTTGTCAGTGTAGCTGCTGTTGAACAGCGTTAACCTTCTCTCAAAGAAAAAACCCTTTCCTTCAAACTAAATCACAGCAGATAAATCTAATGGTTACTTAATACATATTCTGTTATGTTGTAGAGATTAAGTGAGTTTGATATTGCCTCTAACATATCACACCGTGAATTTAAAGCATCATCGAATATTTTTATTTTATAAATGAACTCAAAATCCATTTGAAACAGGTTTCTGGCCAGTATTAACATGTATAGATTGTAATGAACATAGAATAATGGCTTTTATTGACCTAAATCTGTTTTATTTTATGAAATGTAGACAAACCCCCAAAATAAGGTGATCTAAGCATGACATATGGACTCTTGTTCTGTGATTATCAGCATCAGTAACGACAACTGAAAACTGAAATCACTCAACAACCAGTTGTTTGTTATACACAAAAGAATTTGGACATGATGACGTTTCTGATAGTACAACCTTTAATAAGTGGTGGATCATACAACATGCAACACAGGAAGCTTCTTGTCATCAAGCCGGATTTTTGCTTCACTGTCTGGAGGGGTGAGCAAGGGAGCATTTCAGTCTAGAATCAGACCACTAGCTATAGAATAGTTCAATTTCTACACACTGCACCTTTAAGAACATTTGTGGCTGTTTAGTGGCACACGTTATGTTACCATCGTCATTTCTTCTTCAAACGGTTTAAATGGCTTTGAATTGATGGGGCTCAGGTTTTAAAATACTTAAGTATAAAAGGGTAGAATATCCCTAAATGTCTAGTCTACTCAAGAAATTCGGAAATTTTGACTCATTAATAATTGAGTTCCCAAATATGTTCAAATGGGGTCTGTGAAGGGAAGAACCATAACCTTTGTTCCTTCTTTTAGCTTCTATATTTGATCCATTTTAATCCCAGCTCTGTAAAACAGGCTTCAAAAACCCAGCACCAAAACCACAGCTGCTGGTTTTGATGAATAACATGGTCTATTTTAAGAGTCTGCCTCTATTTAACCAGAGTGCTGAGATGATTATGGTTACTATTCCCTCTTCTACTTTAAGAAGATACTTCAGATGATATTGTTTACTCATCCTCTTGATGTGTTGCAGATTCACATCTACAAATTATCTCTAACAAATCTCAGGGCAGCGTACAAAGTACCCCAGTCCTGCGGTGCTGGGACCCCCTGGATCACCATATTAGTTTTAACACTTTTAGTAATACCACACTTAACAGCCTTTGTTATCAGGTCTTTTCTCTAGTATTTCTTGGTAGTTGTGTAACTCTGTGATATAATAGCAGGTTCAATGTAATTCAATATTTAAGTTCATCATTTATAAATCAATGTGCTTGGTAATGCTGATTCATGTCACTCATTGGTCTCACAGTCAGGGTACGATCCTCTGCGGTAGGTTAAAGGAGGAAATTAGCATAGCAAATTTAGGCTAATGACATGATGGTCAGTGGGGGAATAATTTAGCTTTGTCAGACACTCCCCTGTCCATATCAAATTAAACCAAGAAGCTACAATTTAGAGGTGTGAGGAGACTTAAAATCAAGCTGTCCTTTATAATGTCTTCATTTATTATTCTTATTCCTCCATATTAGTATGTGATTGAAACAAAAGACTTGGACCAATTCATTCTACTTTTTAATTATTCATTTAAATCTGTACCAAAAAGTACATTTAGTGTCTAATGTCACTGAATCATAACTTGGAAGTATTCCCATGTTACAGATTTTTTTTAAACTTCTATTTCACTTTTTTCCACTTTAATTGTTTCATTATTTACCTTTAAATTCAGTGTATAAAAAAAGGGGTTGACTGGTATTGGTTTTTCCAGAGCTGATACTGATACTGGTATTGATTAATAGTTTATAGTTTATGAGACTGGTTTGGAGCTGATGTGTCGTAAAATAAAAATAAAATAAAATAAACTCTATGTCAAAATGTAGAATTTAGATCATAATACATTTTAACACAAAACTTAACTTGAATGTCTCTAGCAACTGTATATAAAAATGGAGGTTTAATATTATTTACAGGACTTAACAATTAACCTTTGCAGTTGCATCAAACTGACATGACTTTAAGCCAATCAGAGAGTGTTGTGGACGAGACATCATGTAAGACAATGAAGTGCAAGGAAACAGAGCCAGGTGGCAGAGCCAAAGTTAATCTTTTTGATAAATTAATTTTAGTGGCCATTTTAAAGGCTGGTACACATAATAGACCAAATACAGAATATTGGCTCCAATTATCTGCCATAGCTAACAATCGACATAGCCTCGTTAGGACAAACTTTTAATACTTTTTTATTGTCTTAAAAGTGAAATGGGTCTAAAACACCTGTATGTCGTATGTACAAATATAAAATCCAGAGAGGTATTCCAATGTGTTACAGTATTTTACCCAGAAGATGGCACTTAAAGAACATGCAACCCTGTGATTACAAACATTACAAACAATTAATTAATTACAAACTTTAATATCTAAAGTACCTAAAGTTCAAGGATATATGTGTAATAAATGAAGGCCAAAGTTCATTGTAATTTGAGGCGTGACATCTTTTTCTCTAACTCTGCACTTGTTTGACAAAGCATATTAACAATTCTAGACTAATCAGGCACATCACCAGCATTTATCATTACAAGTACATCCCCAGGAACTATCAGAGCAGATTTCTCTTTTCTGATGAAATAAAATATGAGCTATTATACTTTGAATGTTTTGGCTGTGCATGTTTACAGTAGACATGGTCTAATGTGGGCCAAATCTGTTTCAGGTGCGGTAGTACCATGAAGGGTGGAGGAAGGGGAAAGGAGCCACCTGTTGCTGGTGAGATCACTGGCAAGCGTCCTAAACGCAAATGCCTGCAGTGGCACCCACTTCTCTCCAAAAAGGCTCTGGATTTCTCTGAAGAGGAAGAAGAGGAGGATGAGGAAGAGCTGGAGAAGGTGAGTGATTGGGTTTTTACGAGGACCTCTGCCTAAATAGTGAAAAACAGGTCTGTAAATTAATCACAGGAACTGAGACAGAAGACGTGATGGGGCGGTGTATCTGACCCTATTTGAATGTGTTATCAGCAGCCACTGCTGTGCGGCCAGGACCAGGGCCCACAGGTGCAGTGTGGAAGCACAACGGAGGAAGTGGAGGAGGATTCTAATGAGCAGCGCGCACGGCGGCCAATGAATGCCTTCCTCCTCTTCTGCAAACGCCACCGCTCTCTGGTGCGGCAGGAGCACCCCCGTCTGGACAACAGGGGTGCCACTAAGATCCTTGCTGACTGGTGGGCAGTGCTGGAGCCCAAAGAAAAGCAGAAATACACTGACATGGCCAAGGAGGTGAGAGCATTCTTCGATTTTTGCAGCTGTGCTAACATCCACCGTCTTTACTCTCTCTTACCTTTCAGTTTGGTCCTGTATTTTCTACTCTTTAAAGAGCTGCTGGCTCAAAACCTCTCAGGTCATCCTCTAGCGCTGCACTCAGCTTTAGAAGAGTAATGGAGATAAACAAGTGGATAGGTGAGGGTGAGATGTCAGATAAGGCAGGATACAAGTTCTGATTCTGCTTCTCTGAAAGGACCTGAGACTAGGACCCAGTCCAAGATGCTCAGCTCAGTCCCTTTTGTTGAGAGAACTGAAACAGGAGCAAAGCTTTTAGCTTCTACGGAAAGGGTGAATGCTACCAACACACAAACACTACCAGCCTTGAAATTAATGTCTTCAGATTTAACTGCCAGACGTGAATCATCCTCAGTCGCATGCAGAGTTTGAAAAGACAGATGTTTCTTAAACTACGTTAGTGTGACGTCTATGTCAGCAGCGCCATTAAAGACAGTTATTTCTGTCAATATTTCCCAAGAATATTGAGAGTTTGTCAAATCAATATTGAACCCCCCCTAGTGAAAACGAAAATTGACTGTGTTTGTAATAAATGTTTGTAATGAGTCCAAACTGATAAGAGTCTGACTCATTCTGGCTTTTACTGAGTTTAATAGCCACATTTCCACCAAACTACTGAATAATAAGTGGTTCTTTGAACGTCAGCAAAACTCTGGTCTCAGGTCTTTGGAGTAAGGCCAGCATTGGTACCACATTAAACGGCGAGATAACATCAGGATGTGACACTCAGGATCGTCTCTCGTGCTATTTTTGTTTGCTTTCAGGAAAATTTGTCAAAGTACATTAAGTCGAGTCATGCGTGTCGCGTCTTTAGTAAACAGGGTCAGGTTGTAAAGCCCATACCTCTCTGTCTTTTACCAGCTGTTAGCTGACCATTTGAGTCTCTGACCATAAACAGTGTCAGAGATCAGCTGTGTCTTAACCTTATGATCTTCCTGTTGACAAACGATATGATTTCCTCTGACATTATATTGTATTCTGTCCCACATAAGTCAGCAGTTACGGTTTTTATTGTTTGATTATCCCTATTTTTGAAATTCTGTGCAGAATTCAAAGTGGCCAAGTTTCGAACACAGTGTTCATATGTTTCTATCTCTAACATTAATGTGTTAATTCGTGTGGAGGGCGGTGTAGTATAGAGCAAGATTTTCAGTCATTGAGGTAACCTCGGGGTTAACTCTTGGTTTCAGGACCAGAATGGTGGTCCTTGTATTACCAGGGTAGGTCCCCATGGTAACTCATGCTGAACTCATAACCAGCTCTGGGGCAGGTTATGCTCTGGGTAAGAGATCAGGATTAGAAAACTACATCTATGACCGATCAATTATCTTTATCGTGGAGCTCTGCGAGCTGATGGAGAGAGAGGAGGTAAGTGACTGAGCTGAGATTTAGTCCACCAGCATGGTTTTGTGTTTAAAGATTATTTATCAAAGTTGTTGATGCTCACTGAGATTAAAATAGGCTTAGATCAGAACCTTCAAGTAGTACTTATCAGAAGTATAATAATGTGTTCCTGTAGCTGTAAATAGTGTTTTTTTTATGAATTTATCATGATCACCACACCATCAGAACTAAGGCCAAAATATTATGTCTAAAGTTGACCAAAACGCAGTTTCACAAAATCATAGAGTTATTAAAGCGAGATTGGCTCCTTACCTCCAATGCAAAGGGATGTAATATATCTCAGTTTGAGCATTTACTCTTGGTGCTTTTTTTTCTTATTTTTCACTTCTTTTATTTTGAAAATACAGCTGTGTTGATTTTAGACTTGATGATGTGTCTAATTTTGTATTTTGCTCTGAGTTTTGTAAAACACGGTGATGCAACAGTTTGCTAAATGTGAATTAATCTCAGCAGACTGTTTATGTTTGTGATTGGTCATATTTATCATTGGTCCAGGTTAACTTGTCAGGTTCATAACCAGCTTTGTGATAGCACAGTCCTCTCTGTCAGGGTTAGTAGAACCAGAACACCAAAAGATACCCGAGGTTTTTTGAACTTGATTTATAGTTGAGACCTCAGGGGTCTCCCTTGAACCGGGTCATACCATGCATGACATGTGCACCATCATCACTCAGTTAAGGCAACTATCATCCAGATTGATCACATAATCACATCTGTTGTACTGATCATATCACTTCAATCATGTAGATCTGTGACTCTATTGCTATAACATCATAACTTCAATCAAATAATCAAACAAACAAAAACTGTATTGTCTCACATTATTCTTGTGAATTTGAGTAAATCTTGAAATGTCTTATTTTAATTTTTGACTCTAATACCCCACTGCGCAGTCATGTCTACCTGTTAAAGCATCATTACATCCTTTTTCTTTCTTTAAAAGTAACTGCAGAGTGCACATCATTGATGGGATCCTCTTGATGATTAGCCAAAAATACATTTTGTACAAGATGATTTAATTCTATATGCTTTTATCGATCTGATCAATCATGATAAATTGCTCTGTGTTGATATGGAGTCTGTTGCCCTAAAGGTTTTGCATGTATCCTATTTTGCTGTTGTTGCAGTACAAAGATGCCTTTATGAAAGCTAACCCTGGCTACAAGTGGTGTCCCACCACCAGCAAACCAGTCAAGAGCCCTTCCTGTCAGCCAGTCAGCAACCCCCGCAAAAAAGTCTGGTCCTTCTCTTCCAATTCAGCCAAGGACTCCACCACTGCCAAGAAAGTGCCCAAAACAGACAGCATGCCACAGTTAAACTTTGCCATGGCAGGTGTGTATCAGTACACTTCATTTAAATGAGAAGCATGATAAAAGCAGGGTTATTTTTTCTAACTCGTGTCCTTTCTCTGTCAGATCCTACCAAGATGGGAGGCCTGAGCATGCTGCTGTTAGCTGGTGAACATGCCCTCACAAACAGAGAGGTGGGTCACTGTTGAAGGCCAAATCTTAGTGCTTCCTTGTTGTGCCCCAGCTGTCCAATAGGTGGCCTCAGAGGCTCATCTCTCAGTTTAACCTGTTACACAAAAGCCTTTGTGTTTGTGTCTTTGCATTTTATTTTTACCACTCACTGATTCAAGTTTCCTTTTCCCTCTTCAGATCCCTTCCAGCACTAAGCCTAGTTTACCTGACACAGCCAGCGAGGGGAACTCTTATCCAGGAGATGAGGAAGAGGTGTGGTCTGAGGATAGATTTCTTTTCATTGTCTGTTCTGTATATTTAAGGGCAGAGAGTTAAAGCTACATTGTATTGCAAGTTTTTTTTTTCCTGACAAGTGAAATTGACCATTTGAGTAGACTGTAAAACTATATTGACATTTTCAAAATTCATTTTCGTAACCATAAACATCTTTATTTGCATATAGAACAAGATAATGATAAATGGGAGTTTATCCAGTAAATATACAACATTTGCTTCCTCTACAGCGTAACAATGTCAGACATATAGTATAGACAAAGTATAATGGAATTTAAATTTACTCTATACTGCCACTCCTTTTATAGGTATTATTAACACTTTTCTACAGAGAAAAACAACAAATAGAGCTTCTGATGTGTGTTATGTGCTAATAAATTTTAAAAAACTATTATATAATTGCTCTTATTTTGAAAGGGGCCTCTCTGGATAACAAGTGATTTCACACGTTAACCAAGAAACTAGGACAGTTAATTAAGTTTGAAGGGTGCACACTAAAGTCTGATTTATAACACTAGTTTGTTGTTTTCTAATGCACCGCTATTGTTTTTTTTTTTTGTTTGTCTTTCATATTTTATTGTATAGTTGATGTCTGGGACGATCCCCAGCAGAGCGCCTGACATTACTGAAAGCAGGGTCAAGTCTGCCCTTTCCCCACCGGCAGAGGTGAGGCTGAGTATTACAGGTGTTAAATGTAATAACTGGTTCATACATGAACAATTATTTGAAGCCATCAAGTATTTCAGATTAATCAGAGTCTTGTTTGCATTCTTTAAATGCTTTTATTTTGCATTTCAAAACAAGTTTTAAGTTGATATTAGCAATGTAAAACAGTTCCTAACCAGCTATTAATTTGGGAACCAAATTAATACTATGAAATTTACTTGACAATCCCGATTTATAGATTTGCTTTTCAAATAAATGTGACACCAGTTGGAACTGAATCTCTGACTTACAGAGAACAGACTGCTAATTCTGTCAACTGGGGTCGCTATTTTGATTTCTAAAGGACAAAACTTTTACTCTGTATGAAATATTTAGGAGTGTGTGTACAAAGTGTCCAATCAGTGTCAAAGTTGTGTGCAGCTTTTGTAAAAGGTAACTTTTATCACTCACCGCCTTCCAGTAATCCCCAGTTAATGCAACAACATCTGAACTCTTCAGGAGTTCCAGTTTGGTTGCTTTCTTTGTTTTCTTTGCAGGTCCTCTGTACAGGTTTTACTCAGAGCATCACTAATGCATAACTGGTCACAACACACAAGCCTGATCCTTTACATTAACTGGCCTGAAGTGATTTGCCACCCACTATGAAAGCTCTGTAGTTAACTTTGGAGATTTGGTTTCATCCATAGATCTGTTAGATCTGTTGTGACTCACACTGTTACATGTCATAGCACATTATAAAACCCTTGTTTTTTAAAAGTGCTACATAAATCAAGTTGTTGTAGCACTCTAATATAGTGTTAGCTTCTATGATTTGTTCCCCAGCTGACGTCAATCTGATCAGCGTCACCTCGAGCTTAGATCATGCCTCGACTGTAGCTCAAACTTAACAAGACATACTTCCGACACTAGGGATGGGAGAAAAAATCAATACAGCTCAGTATCATTTTTTCTTTTTTATTAATTGTTAAAATGAAGTCAAATCTATGATAATGGAAAAATAAAATCAGCTGTTTTGTTGGCAGAGGTGACATCATAGAGCAAGAGAAAGTACAACAAATATATAGGGTTAGCAAGATAGCAAGATGTGATACATGAAAATAAAATACAGCGTAAATAAGACGAACATAAAAGAAAGACAAATGCTAAATTAGCTTAACAGTTGAAAAAAATGTATAAATCGCAATATATTGTGTCACAATACTCACTGTATTACAAAATGTTAAAAAATAGCAATAATATTATATCCTGGCCCAAGTATCGTGATAATATCACATCCTGAGGCCACTAGTGATTCCCACCCCTATCCAACACCCAAACAGCTCTCATTTCTCACAAACAGTAAGTGGGACACAAGGTCCTTTTTTTTCAACCAGCATCAATTTAACTAACACTCTGACCTAAACTACAAATCTGAATTTTGACTGAGGTTTAGTTCACAAGATTTAATGTGAAGTATTCTCTCTTCTAAGAGTTGTTACTCATAGTTAATGTCATCAAAAATACTCAGTGGCCAAAAGAAAACCTCATCCATGATCTGCCTCCTGGTTCAGGCCCCTGGTTTTTGTCTTTCATATTTTAACAGTCATGACAAAGTCTGCATGAGAAAGTAAATAAAGCTGTTGAAACCTTGGCAGCTGTAGAAGTCTCAGCCGTTTGATATAAAAACAAAATTCGCTCTGTGTTCACAGATGTCTTCATCTGGGGCACCTGAAGGAAAGCCATGCAGACAGTCTGCCCTCTTCCAGCTTGCCGAGGTAAGACATCTGAACATTTGCAGCCTGAATAAACACCAGGTTTACTTGGTTTTAAACTAACTGAACTGACTGGGACTATCTGCTCTCCCTAAATCTGATCTTCAGTGACCCTGACTCCACCTGCAGCCTGACCTCAGACTCTTTGTTTCTTTTCATTTTTGTCTGAGTCACTTCACACAGAGTAGCAACACTTCAGTATCATAACTCATTGAAACTACTTAGCGTGACCCCTCAGTATTTAACATTCACAAGGTTTTTCTTTTTATTAAAGGCTGAGTTTTTGTTGTGAAGGTCCACTCACTTCTGACACAAACAGACCCAGTAGTTAAGGTATCTATAACACTTAAAGAATTAGCTGGGTAAGAGGAAACGATGTCAGCAATTTGCTGATCAGAGCACATTATTTGTCAGTAGAGGCTGCTATCTGAGCTGTCTCTTGGTTTTTTACATGTGTTTTAAGGTGAGGATTTTGGAGCCACAAAAGTCTCATCCTCTAAAAACAGTAGATCTTATCAAAACCAGCAAAAACTGAACAAAGGGAAGCACACTGAATAGCAGAGCTATGGGGGCTGCCAGCTGAGCTGCTGCTAACTTCTTAGGTAGCACTATTTTGTAGAAAAAAAAGAGTTAAAAGACAGTGATAACTTGCCCTGAGTTTTGACAGTTGCTGCGTTCCAGTTACCTTGGAAATCGGATGTTATAGTTGAGAATGCCATTACACCCGAGTTGATGGCGTTTCAGTAAACAAGTCGGAAAACCAAGACGGACGCCCACAGTTAGCCGTTGTTAGCTGTTGTTAATAATTGTCAGTTGTTGTTAGTGGTTGTCGGCTGTTGTTAGTTGTTGTTAGCTATAGTAGTTGTAAACAATACACAACACAGTATTTTACTCTTACCAACACCATAGCACCGTGTCCGCAGTTATACATTGGGCAGTACAACATATAACACTTATTTCATTTCACAAAAACAAAACAGAGGTGCTAATAAATAATACATTATGAGAGCTTTCACTGTCACTCTTTACTGCTGATGCACTGTGCTGCCATCTTGGATTATGACGTAGTCGTCAAGTCGGGGTTGGTGAGGATCGGCCGACTTTCTGAGTCGGAAATCCGACTTCAGAGGGGCCATCCAGATGAATTTCCAACTCGGAACTCGGAAATCCCGACTTACGAGTACAACTGGAACGCAGCATAAGCATCTGGTTAGAGTTGTCTGTGATGTCTGAGATGTTTTTCTGGAGCAGCTGCCTTTACAGCCCATGCAGGATTTTAGCTGGTAGATCACTAATATGATGCTGCCTTGATGCGTGCGCTGAAAGACTGGTCATGTTTCCAGTGAGTTTAGCTTCACCTCTGCAAACAGCTACAGCCGTGGACACCTCCTGTTTTACAAAACCCAGCATGTTTTCACACTTTAGACCTGATAAAAGACAGCATGACAATCTCTAATATGTCCTGCTCCTCCCTGCTCTCATCCCATCATGGTGCTGCTGGCTCATGCCCAGAGCATCACAGAAATGGAGAATGAAACTTGGAGGTGGATGTAGAGTTTAGATTTCCTGCTCATTTGAAGTGCAGAAATACATTAACACAAAAAAGTAGAGTTAAGAGGTACAATGCTCCCTATCTGTCATCACCTTATATTCTAATGAGTTCAGACGTATTGTTCGGAGTGTATATTTTGCCGTCAGTTTAGATTAATCTGTTTAACATTGAGGTTATCGGTTGTTTTCTGTCAGATGTGCTTGGCCTCAGAAGCTGGAAAGATGGACTCAGTCGTGTCTCAGCCAGAGGACAGCTTCTCTTCAGCCTCTCTGAAGCAACCTGCAGTCAAACCAGAGATCAAGGAGGAGAAAGGAGACACTGACGACTGTCCTCTGTCCACGCACACTTCAGCCCCCTCACTTCTGCTCTCTTCCTCCTCCTCTACCTCCACCGATGCCATCGCCCCACAACCCAGCAGCCAAAATGCACGTGTCAAAACCAAGAGCAAGAAAAAGGAGATGGCCAAGTCAAATGATGAAGACGAGTTCCCCTGCTCAGCCAAGAAGCTCATTAAGAAGTGTGACCACGCAGAGTCAAACGTGGACAGTGTCTTCAGCACCATTGAGGCGGTGGCGAAAGGAACGTGGAAGGAAACGGAGGAGAAGCCTAAAAAGAAAACCCAGAGCAGTCCTAGTGGTGGGAACTCTGGGGTACCCAGAAAGAAGAGCAAGCCCAAAGTCAAGACCCTCGTCAGAGACAAAGAGGAGGAGATGGAGGAGAGCAGGGAGCAGTGTGGGCAGTCCAGTTCCTCTGAGACAGAGGTAAAGGAAGCAATGACTGATGTAAGCACCAAGACAGAGGCAGAGGAAACAAGTATTGGAAGCACAGAAATTCAGGGCAGCATGGCGGAACCTCCCCACTCCCCCTGCAGCCCGTCACCCTCTAAGCTCAAAGAAGAAGACAAGGCGAGGGAGAGGATGAGTGAGGGGACCTGCGAGTCCAACGCAGAGACCCGAGGCTCCAGGAAATCAGAGCGGAGCTGTAAAGGGGCTCTTTATAAAACCCTCGTTTCTGAGGGGATGCTGACTTCACTGAGAGCAAACATCGACAGAGGTATCCATCGCCATCTGCCTGATTATAAAAAACAAACAAACAAACAGACTAATCTCTGTGTATGACCATGAATTCATTTCAGTAATCAGTGTTTGTGAAGTGTGTCTGAACTGTTGCACCTGTGTCTGCAGGTAAAAGAGGTGCTTTCCGTGCCTCTGATCACGATGCAAACTGGAGTGATGACAGCTGGACGATTTCTCAGATGGGACCTAATAACCCCAAGAAGCTGAAAAAGTCCAAGTCCAAAGATGAGTCTACACAGGGGTAAGTGGGAGCTTTCTGTTCTGAGTGAGAAGTTCATGATAGAATGATAGAAGGAGTCTTCTTTTGTGTCTGTCTATGCATCGAGTATTAAATGTCCCTAAAATAATGTAAAGGTACATACACATGCATGCAGATATTTTAAAGGACCGTTTTTTTTCCCCCACATTTTCAAAAACATTCTCGTCCACATTGTAGGTCTTTTTTCAAAAGCTCTCTGTCAGACCAGTGGGTGACAGAGAACTAATGAGCAGTCAGTCAGTCAGTCAAGCCAAAACACTGTAGAAGAGCATGGTATAGAATAGAAATGAGCACGATTAATCAATAATTTGATCATTAAGAATTACGTCGATCACGCAAAAGTTGGATCGATCTAACGTAATTAAAAAGGGCTGAGAGTGTGCGTCCATCCTCCAGCGTTGTTTGCATTTTTGATTAAATCGATAAGTGATCGTAACTTTATATGATTAATCGGTTGAGGGACTTTCTTAAAATGCCCATTCCTAGTATAGAGTGTCTTCTTGAACAAGCAGTATTTGTAAACAAGTGCTCTCTAAGTTGTATACGTAGTGTAATATATGTATTCACTCTGAGAGAAAGTGAGGTTTCCTTTAAATGTGCTTTAAACCTGACAGTACCTCATGACGATTATTAATCCATTTGAAGGTAAATTCTGATTCATTTGAACCTGGTTGCTCTTTTTCTATATTGTGTGATTGAAAAGACTGAAGGTGATAAAAAGTATTTAAATAGCTGCTGTAGGTTTTCAGCCAGCAGTCACTAGACAGGCTTCATCGGCTGCAACACAGTTTTCCAGGCCAAATCAGCCTGATTCAGATCTGTCCGCTGAACATGCTTTCTAAACAGTCTAAAAATCCATCACAGATAGAGTCCCTGTAGCACTGTCCCTCTTTGATCCTCTTTTGTAAGCAGAGAAATCTGCTTCGTTTTTCATCTTCCGAGCCACCAGACTCTGCAGATACAAACAGTAGTGGTGCCTCACAGAGTCCAGGATTCATCGTGTGCTTTGTCTCTACTCTCTTTTTGTATTCAGGTCTATAAATAGACAGATACCCTCTGTAAAATTGTCACTCACTTATGTAAGAATCTGAAAGTTGTTTTTTTTGTCATTTAGAGAAAAAAAAAGGATAACATTTTGGAGATACAGTTTGAAATGTGCTTTGTAGGTCAAAACTGATCTTATGCGGACGCTGCTTCCACTTGAAGCCCAGACCCTTAACTGCTCTCGATAGAAAATTTTTTGTTTTGAGTTATATTGGACCCTGTTTTAAATATTCATAGATTACATGTCCAGTAATGTAAACCTGACTTTCCAGCCTAGGGAAACTGGAGGAGGAGTTTGAAAGGAAGTTTAACAGCCTGCCACAGTACAGCCCGATGACATTTGATAAGAAGGGGACGACCGTCACAAAGAAAAAGAAGAGCGACAGCTCCAATGTCCAAGAGGAAGTCTCCAAAGCTGTCAAAGGTACAGAGGAGATTTCACTGCTTCATACTTACAATGACTGCTCTGTGATTCCCCCCCATCTCATCCAAAGCCCACTCTGCACCTGTGTGAAGACATGTTCCCCACTCTTGTGCTCTCCAGGACCAGTTTGTTTGTTTGTTTGATCGAGAGCATTCAGACTCCATAACATAGCATTTCCATGCTCTTTTTTTCTTTTCTTTCTTTGCTGTATCAGGGTCATCTCCATCTCAGAAAAAGACTTCATTCCACAAGATTGTTAGGAAGCACAAACACAAAAAGGAGAAACCAGAGGCAGTGGACAAAGGTGAAATAGACTGTTGATTTCTGTGCACATAAAAACAGAGATGTGAACATATTCTTCCTACACTCACCCATTCAAGCATTTTCTATCACTCTTGACTTTGAACTCCTTTTAGTTTGAAGCGCCGGATCCACCTGAAAGGGACAAAAGGCTGTTAGTTACAGTAAAGTAGATAAAAGAAAAGAATTAACTACATTCTGTAACTTACATGGTGCTGAAGACATGCTAGCATACATGGGTTTTTGCTGCTGATTTGATTCTTGATCATTATATAAAAACACTCCTCATTTTAAATGTGATGCCAGCAACATAGTTTAAAACAGTTGAGTCAGAGACAAAAAAAAGATTTGTGTAACGCTAAAAAACACCCGGAGGAACATCTTACAGATAATACGGTTAAGTTGCAACAAGCTAGAAACATGTCTGAGTATAAAGTGGAAATTCCAGAGAGGTTGAGTCTCAGAAGTGATGATCAGAGGAGATTCATCTCCCTGTGAGAGAAAAGGGACAGAAGTAGTTCAGTGATTTCAGGATAATGTTCCTCTCATGGAAGTCGCAAAGAATTAGGGGGAACACGAGGATCTGGATAAATCAAAAAATAGGAAAAAAAAAGTAGAACTGATACTGAATGGACAGGGGTCAGCAATGCTTTAAAAGCAGACTTGACTCTGTAGTGGAAGTCACTGCATGGATTCAAAATCACTTGCAAAATCCATTGTCTGTGAACACAGCATGTCTTTGTACAAATGCAGCTGAAAACTGGAGCAGGAACAGAAGAAAGTATACATAAAGATAATCCAGAAGTGTTGGTGATTTGTCAGGCTGGTCCTTATGGAAACACAAACTATGTTGTTGTTATTATTATTGATTGATAAAATATTCCTCCAGCTGCTCTCTCTCACCTCTCAGATGTATGTATTAAACTCATAATATTAAGCATAAATGATCATTAAATCCATTATTTGCTTTGCTACAGAAGCAGTTTGTCAGAGAAATGCAAAAAGAAGGATGGAAACAATAATTTAACATGACACTGTTTAACACAGACATATATCAACTGAGTGAATATTTTAATGATCAAGATTCATTTAAGATTTGGCTGTTATGGCCTGTGTGCAAATTGAGTAATCTAACCTGGTTCAGTCTCAACAATTTTAAGCAAACATATAAAGTTTTGTTGTTTCTGTAACAAAGTGAAGTCTTTTTTTTTTTTTCATGGCCTTTGTGTCTTTGGTCTCTGACGTCTTTCCTGAACTTCTTCTCCTCAGCAGTGGTACAGAGTGATTCCAGCGTGCTGGATTCAGTTTCCAAAGCCAAATCATGTGCCCCCGTCGCCATAATGTGCCCAGACATGCAGGGCCCCACTAGTATGGAGATGCTAGTTGGTAGCCAGAAGAGGAAGGCCAGAAAGACCAAGATCACACACTTGGTGCGCACAGCTGATGGCAGTGTGTCTCCAGCTGAGGGTGAGTGATCAGTCATTGATTTACTGTTTAGTGCAGGAACAGACTAGTCTGTCTGTCCAGTTCTTTGTAAAAGTATCTAAAACAAAAATGTCTTTCCACTAGTTTTTTTTTCTCTTCTAATTGAAGAGATAAAGAATAGAAGTTGCAAACATGTCTGCAGTTTTCAGACAGACACATTTTTTGTATGAAATGTAAGAACTTTTTTTTATCTAATTGAGGAAAAAAACAAGAGAGAGAAACTGTGTCTATCAGCCCTGACAGGCAGTGCCTCCCACCAAACATAAAGCTTAAATAAGAGCAGCTACTAGGGGTGGGAGAAAAAAATCGCTACAACATAGTATCACGATATTTTGTCTGGTGATATATCGTCTCATCCACCAAATAGATTTTTTTTTTAATTAACTGCTAATATGAAGTCAAATCTATGATAATGGAAAAATAAAATCCATTGTTTGTCGAGTGAGTTTGGCAGAGATGACATCATAGAGCAGTAGAGAGTTAATACAAGAAACATGGCAGCACCTGGAGAAACACATTAGGAATGCAAGCAGGGTACAAATGAGATGGACATAAGATGGACACAGAAGGAAAGACGAATGCTAAATCAGCTAAACAGCTGAAAAAATTGTATAGATTGCCATATATGGTAATGCAATACTCACTGTATCACAAAATGTTCATCTTATGTATGCTGCTACTTGTATGTCAAAGCATTTTATGAAGTCCTCCTCAAATTAATTCACAGTCACATGTCTTGTACCTATTTTATTGATCTAAAAACAAAATTATGTATTCTAGTATTTATATTAGAAAAACTCTGTTTCCGAAATATTAACTTCTGTTTTAAACTCTTCACTGTATCCAGAGGAAAAATCCAGGGACCTGACCCAGGAACAGGATATGAAGCCATTACCCCCACAGAATTTATGCAATGAAGAAGGGTGCTACAGTAATCCCAGGGCAGAGGAGGCGGAGAGGAGCACGGCACCCCCAGAGCTACCTGCTTTCTTCAGCCTGGCGGCCCTCGCTGAGGTGGCAGCCATGGAAAACGTTCACAGGTGAGCACATCCAAGCCTCTGCCCAACACTGATGAGAAGACTGTCATAGGTTATGTTTAGTGCAAATGTGACTATTGTTTAATATTTATAAGTCTTAGTCTGAGACAGATATGACAGAAATAATCAGTGAGGTTATTACTGGAACATGTAGGAGAATCTGCTTCAGGCCTTATTGTGTGTAATCCCCCTGAAATCCTCCTCAGTGTTAAGCTAACACTACACTTCTGTTCTGAGGAAACTGTCGGCTCACACAGAGCTAAAACTCAAAGCCTTTAAGGGAAATTGCAATATTTTTACATCTTTACATCACACCGTGTGTGAAATATTTTTGTAAATCACCTGAGCTGACAGCTGCAAATCAGCTGTGATGAAACCCTTTGGGTTAATGCACCAGGGTAGTGATGTTTCAAGCAGACTTGCTCTTCATCAGACTGCCTACATGAGGCTGTTAGATTGAACCACCGCTCTAACTCTCCAAAGCTTTTTAATTTCACCTTTTTGACAAGCTCAAGCTGATCCTGTACATGCTGGCACTGTTGCTTGCCTCAGAAAGAACAGCAAAAATCTTTAAAATATATCTGTGTCTGAATGGATTTTTTCTAAAATGTGTTCAAAATCTTTAAAAAGAAGTCTGATTCCTTGGCTGCAAAAAAGCAGCTTATGTTTTAATGAGACACACCAACTCTACAGTGTCTAAAGCAGTCTTCTTAAACAACTGCAAAATATGTGATTTATGACCCAAAATGCTGTATGTTATTGCTCAGAATACAATACTTTTCACTTAACCTGTCATCTGAAAAAAAAACTGGCTTCCTAATGTGTATGAAGACACCCCTAAGTGTTTTTGTGTGTCCTGTTTCAGGGGCCAGAGAGGCTTGGCTGAGAGCAAGAAGAAAGAGCTTGGCCAGACTCCTGTCCTCATTTCTTGCGCTGATCAGTGAAACTCTGCTGCTTTTATAAGAAGCCACAACATGGACACTGGAAGTAGATCTTTACTTTCCTTGGTGGTAACCCTACGCTAAAGGGAGACTTGATCTGGAAGTGTGGACGGACTCCAGCTTCCCCCTTGTGGTGAATTTACTTGAGCTCGGGTTCATGTTGGAGAAAGAGCCCCTCTCCTCCGTGCTCCTCGCTATCTCAGTGTTTCCCCTGAAGCCTTCCTTTGGTTTGAGGAGGGATGCCTTTTCTGAACTCCTCCCAACCCCCCCGTAGATGCTCTGTTAGGGCCTTGTTGGAAGAACCAAACTGTTCCCCAGTGCATGGCCTCCCTCGTAGAAATGGATGTCATGGGTGAATTGTACCCTGTTTTAAGGTCAAGTCTTGCAATTTGAAAATAGCATTTTAGGTAAACACAACACGGCATTGGTTTTATAGACAAACACAGCTTTCTGTTACCTTTTTACCTCACACACACGCCTACTGAAGACTTCCCTCCACCTCTGCTAGAATACCTCTGTATTTAAACAGCTCTGATCCCTTCCTGTCCTTCCAGCTTCAACCCAAAATGACTTTAACCAGGGTAAATGATTACGGTGGTAGACTTCCATTCACAAACTACTTGCTGAGTGTATCCCTTTGGTACACTAACGGGGTGTTGTTAAACTACTTTAAAACCATGATTTAGTATTTGTCTCTGATTATAGTGCTACTGTAAGACAGTACGTGGTAGCCATCCATAATAATCATGTTAGGCTGAAGGTGAGAGAGAAGACCTGCACATACCCTTTCCTCTCAAGTAGACTGACGGTTGGCTGATAAGTTAGGGTGTTTTTTGTTTTTTTTTCTTTGTCATGTTTCAAGAACTAGTTTTTCCAAAAAGTCTCTGTCAGGCTCAAAAAACAGCTTCATGTAATGGGGAGGTTGTGAGAAAGTGATTTAGATATAGCCTTAACCCTCCCAATAGAAGTGAGGGGTGTACCACAAGGGGAGATCAGAGGGTAAGGTGCGTCTATGGAGCTTCAACCCGGAGTTATCTACGTCAAGATCACCGTGGTAACTGGCTCTAAACTCGTAACCTGGTCAGGATGATCAAGTGCAGTAAATGAATTAATGAATGCCTGCAGGAGTCCTCTGCAGTTTGTGTGAATCATGTTCTGATGTAGTTTGAGGCGTTTAATGACATAAAAAGACAAGCCACGCACAAACCGTATGTGTTGCATCATGTGAGCGTGTCTTTGCATTCAGAACAAGCTACTTGAATTCAGTTTAATCCCCTTACGTGAATATAATCCGCCCTCCGCCTGTCTCCCTCTCCTCCTTGTACCTGTTTGCCTCAGATGAAACAAACCCTTTCAGTTTCATCAGGTTATGTTCAGAAAAAGAACAAAAAGAGCAAATCAGATTATGTTTTTATGCTTGGGTAAAAAATCCTGCACAGTCCTTTAATTTCAGCTAGTTTGTAAAAGAATGAATAATAATGGGTTTAATTGAATTAAATTAATTAATTGTGGTTTACATACTGAAGGCATCGGTGTGGGTTCAGTTTCTGCCTGTACTACTGAAATCATGTTCATCACCGTCTGAAGTGTGTAAATCCTAGTTTACAAAGTAATAGTCGTTTCTGCAGGATTCCTTAAATGAAGCAGAGGGGCTGATGTTTACGACAATAACTCTAATTTATTCATCATTTTTCTTGTGTCAGTCAGACAGAAAGCATCATGTGATATGCCCCTCTTTTATGTGAGTGTTTACAAAGCCTAAAGCAGAAAGTCTGAGTTAACAGAGACTGTTAACAGCTAGCTTCCTGTTACCTGACATCTCTATCTGGAGCTTTAGTAAACCGGGTTACGCTGATCTTGTTTGGTGGTACACCCCCTGGCTCTCCCCCCACAAAGCTCTCAGCCAGCTTCTTGCTAAAGGCCATCACAGTCCTAAATTAAATGTCAAACTTTTGGATAGTGAAATGCAGTTTTTGTCAATACTTGATCTTATTGCAGTTTGCGTAGCAGTTAGGAAGAATAATTCTCTGTGTGCAACTTATTTACTGGAATAGGTGTATTTTTGTTTGTTTGTTTATTATACAAACACTGCACTAATTTGTAGCCGTAGTTGCCCTTGGACAGGTGATGTAATGCTTTGTCTCCGGAGGTCACAGTGGTCCTGCAACATAGCCCCCCAAATGTGTCTTTAGAGTCCTGGAGACCTGGCTAAAGCCATCCACAGAAAAGAGAAGTCTGACAATCTGAACTGATTATTCGTCACGTCTCATCAAATGAGCAATGTTAAAAAAAAATATGATCAGGCTATGCTGTGGTTCCTGTCAGAGCGAATGGAGACAGAGCATTTGAGAATAAACCCCCAGTTTGTTTCCTATTGGCCTTTTGAGATTTTATTGCCAAGTAATGGTCTACTCAGAGGTCACGTTCAGTCATGGTTGTTATATTTAGAAGTATTTATATTACAATGAGACTTTTTTTTTTTCTCTTTATTCTTGTTATTTTAATGTGCGGTCCGTGTCATTCCATGTCCATGCCTCTGTCTTGGCCATACTTCTGTTTACAGTTCATCAGCTGTAGTGAAGAAAAAAAAGAGGGTGGAGGCAGTCGAGCTGCAGGGTTGTTGTCTTCCTGAGGGTGGATCGAACCTGGAAGAGCTACCACAGGCTAATGGAGGTTAACTAAGAGCTACACTTAGTCTCCAGCAATACCCCCCACCCCTCCTCCTTACCCAGCAGCCTTTGTTTCTCTGCGTAGACCAATACTTCTTTAATTTATCACATTTTGAGTTAAACCACATTTCAAACTTTTGTAGACCTTTCTTTTCTGTTAGATTATCTGTTTTTCTAAGTGTGTGCATTTATATTGCTCTTTAATCTAGTTTGTTTGAACTCTTTTTAGGTCTTTTAAACTTTAGTGTTTAGTTTGTTTTTTTCTTGAGGTCAAGATTACTGGATCAAGAATGTTGTCAAAAGAGACCAGGCTCCCAGATAATGCGTGTTTCCATGCTCGCCTGCCAAACAAACAGGCAATGAGATACATGCAGCGTCTCTACACATGAGCCTGTCTCTTCACCTCTGGAGGTGTTTGACTGTGACTGCTTCACAATTTTCTTTTTTGTTTGTTTTGTTTTTAATAATATGTGATTGATTTGACTCTTCCTGACAGGACAGACAAAAATGAAATGGGTCTTAGAGAAGTTGTTGTTCTTTCTAGTATTTTCCTAAATCAAGGCATTGTTACATAGTAATAATGTTTTGCTTATGTAAGCCCTTGTGTGCAAATAGGTTAAGTGCAAAAAAAATATCTGTGATTCCTCTAAATTTGTCTTTAAAATCTTACAAACTAATTATAAATGTTTCCCCACTGAGCTGAAGGAAACCGCAGAATGCTTTAAGATAATCCTATTAATAATAATGAAATATATTTTTTCAGATATGAGAGAAAGTTACGTCAAAGTTCTTCCACTGGTGGACATCAGTGTCATCTTTGCAAAGACAAAGAAATTGTCTTCCCCCCCAAATAGAGATATATTTGCTTATAGCAAGTGAGTTTATTGACATTTGCCAAAGAAAAGGGAAAGGTATATTTAAACGGAAAACCTGTTTTTTTTTGTTTTGTTTTTTTTTTTCAGCAAGAAAGTAAGCATAACAGTTGCACTGCATTTTCTAGGTGTGTAAATCTTCAGGTAACAATATCAGCACAATTCATCTTGTGTATCTTTTAGGACTCCCTCTGTGTTTTGAACCCAGAGTTGAAAGTGCAACAAAAGGGCACCACTCGATGCCTCTGTTAATGAACAGTATTTGCACCTTATTACCCAAACCAAAAGAAACATGGTATTTCAAAAAAATCTATAATTTTTACCCTCTCTATGGAAATTATGCATTTTAACTATTATATTTACGAGAATTGAGTCAATAACAAATCCACACATCCACCAAACAGCCATAATATTGTCATCTCTCCACGCCCTCACTTTTCTATCTAGAAAATGCTTCTATAAAGTTGAAATTCCTATATTAGTTACCGAAATGACTATAATACCCTATTGTGCTAGTACTGTCTTTCTTGAATGTAATCATTTTGTACCTGTATTTTTCTAATTCAGTCTTGATTGTACTGTATGTATGCTATGATGATGTACTGTTCCTTAGGTGCATAGTTCTTTTCAAACCGACGGGAGAGCTGCTGCGCTGCGAACTTAGTGGAAATCTGTGGAGATTTGAAGTCCAAATGACTTACTGTACCTTACGAGCATTCATGAGACTGATAGCTGAGAGATTCTTAGATTTTAAACGGTAGGAAAACAGCTTTTCCTGGTTTGCTACTTCTCTTTCCTTTACGGTAAAAGGTAAAGTCTGTTCAGGACAGTTTATAAAACAGGGACACTCCTGCAATCAGAAGAACGATTGAATGCTTGAGTTTCAACTTATTTATTACTGTTCCTTTTTATAGGTTTAGCTAAATAAAAAAAACAATAAAATATACAACTGAATATGCATCCATTTATACATGAACATGTATAAGATTATCTACCCTTTACTGGAATGTAGATTATTGCTTTTATGTGAACGAGGTTATTGGCAGATCTTTTGAGTCTCTTTCCTCTGATAGTTTGTACAATGTGTTGAATCTAATTTATGTCACTAGTAATCACCATGACTGATATGTTTTATGATTGTTGCAGCCCACTTATTAAATGCAGCCTTGCCTTACTGGAACCCCTGCTTAGTGAGGGATCCCTCAGTCACCTGTGCATCCTCTGTACCCTACATCACCCCACCTCACCTTACCCTCCCCCTACCTTACCCACCCACAACTCTTATGTCATAACACTGTTTGCTGATGCAACTATTATTCCTTTTACAGTTTCTGCTGACGCAACTATTACTTCTTAAACACCTATTAAAACAGTATCTATTCCATCTGTGTGAAAAAAAGTGTGTGGTTTATGCTGACTTTTTGGACACAATGATCTTTTCATTGAACGGTAATCTGAACCTGCTACAGCTGGGCTGAATATGGGTCATTATTTCCTCTCTGGGTTATAACCACAGTCTATTGTTATTGGTCATTGGAGACACGATTTCCTGTCTGCTATTAAAACACACTTATTATTTCTCATGTAATGTTAAGCAGAGGTGGACAATGCTGAAACAACTAGCTGTAACTGAGAAGTTTTATTGTGTAACTGTGCTGTCTTTGAGTAGATTTTAATGTAGGATATGTGTTCTTAACACGTTCAAACATAAAATTTGTTTTTGGAGATATTACTAAAAAGGCTATAGAGTTTGTAAGCTATAATTTTCTTTATAAGCTCTTTAAAATAGTATTACAAAGAAAATGACTAAGAATTGAAGCCCTTATTTCTTTTTCATAAGATCAACATAACATTTACCCACTGCACAGCCTGCCTTGACTCAAGTATGCGGGGACCATCTACACTGTGTGCACAATTATTAGGCAAGTGAGTATTTTGATCATATCATCATTTTTATGCATATTTTCCAACTCCAAGCTATATAAACCTGAATGTTTATTGGATATTAGCATATCAGGTAATGTGTATTAGTGTAATGAGGGAGGCTGGGGCCTAAGGAGATCAAAACCCTATATCAAGGTGTGCATAATTATTAGGCAGCTTCTTTTCCTCAGGTAGAATGGGCCAAAAAAGAGATTTAAATGACTCTGAGAAGTCAAAAATTGTAAAAAGTCTTTCAGAGGGATGCAGCACTCTTGAAATTGCTTAGATATTTGGGCGTGATCACAGAACCAGCAAACATTTTGATGCAAATAGTCAACAGGGTCGCAAGAAATGTGTTAAGAAAAAAAGACGCAAATTAACTGCCAAAGATTTGAGAAGACTCAAACGTAAAGCTACCAGGAACCGCTTACCCTCCAGTGCTGTCATATTCCAGAACTGCAACCTACCTGGAGTGCCCAGAAGTACAAGATGATCAGTGCTCAGAGACATGGCCAAGGTAAGGAAGGCTGAAACCTGACCACCACTGAGCAAGGCACTAGTTGAAACGTCAAGACTGGGCCAAGAAATATCTGAAGAGAGATTTTTCAAAGGTTTGGGCTGATGGGATGAGAGTGACTCTTGATGGACCAGATGGATGGACCCGTGGCTGGATCAGTAACGGGCACAGAGCTCCACTTCGAATCAGACACCAGCAAGGTGGAGGCGGGGTACTGGTATTGGCTGGTATTTTTAAAGATGAGCTAGCTGGACCTTTTGGGTTAAAGACGGACTCAAAATCAACTCCCAAATCCAATGCCAGTTTTGAGAAGACACTTTCTTCAAGCAGTGGTACAGGCAAAAGTCTGCATCTTTCAAGAAAACCATGATTTTTATGCAGGACAATGCTCCATTGCATGCGACAAAGTACTCCACTATGTGGCTCGCCAGTAAAGGCCTTAAAAACGAAAGAATAATGACGTGGCCTCCTTCTTCACCTGACCTAAACCCTGTTGAGAACTTGTGGGCCCTTCTTAAGCGGGAAATTTACAGTGAAGGAAGACAGTACACCTCTCTGAACAGTGTCTGGAAGGCTTTGGTTACTGCAACACAAAAAGTTGATCGTCAACAGATCAAGAAACTGAAAGACTCCATGAATGGAAGGCTTATGACTGTTAATGAAAAGAAGGGTGGCTGTATTGGTCACTGATTTTTTTTTTTTTTTTTTAATTTCAACAATTTTTATTTGTAAATTGAGTTGTTTGTTTATCATTCTCACTTTAACAAGTGAAAATAAACAAGTGAGATGGAAAATTTTTCATTTTTAATTTAGTTGCATAATAATTTTGCACACTAATAGCTGCCCCCGATAATTGTGCACACATAGATATTCTCCTAAGGAAGCCAAAATCTCACTTTTACTCCCTTAAATATTAAAGTTTGAGGTTTATTAACATTTTGGATTAACGAGAGCACTGCAGTTGTTCAAAAATAAAGTTTATCCTCAAAAATACAACTTGCCTAATAATTGTGCACACAGTGTAAAATATGCAGCAAAAATATTACAAAACTTCCCCCTGTCACCCACTGATGACATGGCAAAATTAGTTTTGGAAAATGTGCTTTGACATTATTTGGGGGACGTTACCCTCCTCCAGCCAACCCACCACCTCATGTACAAATTAAGTCCTCAGTACTTAAAGCTGCTGTGAGAAATATTTGAGAATCTATAAAGAAGACTGAAACGAACAATGTTGTTTCTCTGTGATGTAAAAAAAAAAGCTAATTAGATAATTGATAAGATTGATAATCTCTACTTTGTAATTTAACTCTCTATCTATCTATCTATCTATCTATCTATCTATTGTTTTTAAGAAGAGGCTCAAGACTCACCTTTTTAATCAGGCTTTTCATTAATTGCTTTTTTTTATATTTCTCTTATTGCAAATGTTCATTTTAATTTAAGTTCTTTATGTTTCTTTTATGTTATTTCATGAGTTATTGTTCTTAGTCTCCTTCTTAATTCCCATCATAGAGGTTCTTACTCCTTTTACCCCTGCATGGTATTGAGCTCTTATCTGTTCATTTAACATTATTTTATTGTTTTAGTTAATCAGGTTTTACTGTTTCTTTTTACCATTTTTATCTTTTATCTCCAGTGTTTCCCAAAGGTAGCTCTTTCCTCACGTAATGTCTTGGTGTCATGCCATGTCTCCTTAACAATATATCTTAAATTCTCACCTTGTGTGCACTTGTGTGTGTGTGTGTGTATGTGTGGGTGAGTGAGGGTGGGGGTGTGTCTGTGTGAGTGTGTGTGTGTGTGGGTCCATGGGTGGGTGTGTTGGTGGGAGGGTTGGGTTTAATGTTGTTTAATTGTTGTTTTTAGCCTCTGTGAGGCACTTTGAACTACATCTTTTTTTCTGAAAAGTGCCATACAAATAAAGTTGAATCTATCTATCTATCTATCTATCTATCTATCTATCTATCTATCTATCTATCTATCTATCTATGTCAATTAACATTACTTTCACCTGGACTACACTAAATCAGCAATGATACAAGGGTTGCATCTTTGTCTACAGGGGGCACCAAAGTCAACACAGACAGAAATTTATTTACAGGAGCTTTAAGTGCATTTAAAATGAAGTTATTTCGACTGTACTACAAAAGATTCACAGACTAGAGGTTTTAATTCCATCTAAGTGGAATGACATTACACAGTTTTAACCCACTTGAGAATGATGTTGCAGTGAGCTACTCTTTTCATCTCTGAATTTAAGTCTGTAGCCTAAGTCCAGTTATTTAAAGCCTTCTTTCATTCAGCACTGTTTTCTTGAAATTCTATTGTGACTCACAAAGTTCAGGAATTCAAAGTTATTATCTTCACCTGTTGATTCAAAAGGGCTCCCATTCACCTCTCTCTCTCTCTCTCTCTCTCTCTCTCTCTCTCTCTCTCTCTCTCTCTCTCTCTCTCTCTCTCTCTCTCTCTCTCTCTCTCTGTCTGTCTCGTGCACGCTTGTTTCTGTCTACCCAAAGCCAAGTCACGTGATTTTCATGTCACATGACAACGCCCCAGCGCAGCTAAAGCTAACAAAATGGCAGCGTTCTTACAGTGGAGAAAATTTGTATTCTTTGATAAAGATGTGGTGAAAGATCCTGTAGACAATGGGAAAAACTTTGTTCTTCCAAGCGGAATATCGACGTGTGACTCCGGCCGAGGACACATCGTTCTTGGAGATATCCTTCAGCAGCAGCGTTAGCTAACTAAGCTAACGTCAAGCTAGTTCTGACAGATGATACTAGCTCAGTGAAATGTTGAGAAATGTTGTACCTTTTATTGTTTCAAGGTTGGCATGGGAAGTAGCAGCTACATCGCTGTAATGAGCGGTGTAGGAAACAGTATAGTAGACTACGGGCTGTGTTTCGTTTTGCTGTTGTTGTGAACTGCACATTAATGATAGTTGTGAAGAAAGACTACCTGAGTACATGTTTACTACTTAAACTTGTTATACAGTGTGGTCCGTGTTGATCTGCATCCTGCACACTTATCCAACATGATAAACAGACTAGTCTAAATACCTGCAGAGTAGCATGAGTTCAGCTTTAGAAAACTTACCAACATAATGACTACTCAAAGATACACAGAAATAGTCTCTTGTAGGGCTGGGCGATATGGGAAAAAGTTTATCATGATATATTTTTTTCATATCTGTCAATATCGATATATATCATGATAAATAAAATGAAATGGAACAGTGCTTATTGGTAGCATGTGTTTTGTAATACAATAAGCCACTGCATCTGTGAGGTCTTTTTGTCTCTTCCAAGTTTCTGTTGTAAGGCGTTGTGCTCGAGAAAGCGGACTGAATGGTCGGCTGTTTCGGCTGCACAGGCGACATGGGCTCCTTGCTCCGCTCAGGGTTTGTAACCTGTTGTATTGTGCGTGCTTTGCCGCGTGGAACTGCTTCAGGTGATGGAAAAGATTTGAGGTATTTCACGACTTTGCGAGAACATGTACTCGACATAATTTGCAGTACACATTACTCTGCTTCATGTCTGAACTCAGAAAACCGAAATACCTCCACACCACCGATGTTTTCATGCCATTTTTGTCGATGATGTAGTCATCTGTTGAGACTTCATCTGCATTTCTGCCGGAGGTAGCTCTCATTTTCATTTTTCTCACCAACAGTGCTGTCAGCTTCACGTGTTAAAGTGCTATGGTTGCGTGTAGCTGCAGCCTGCTACTACGCAGTTGTTTGCTACTTGGTTCTAATTCAGCACATGATTGGTTCAGCATGTAGCGGACCCGGAGCAACTCCCCTTTACATTGGCTGTTCGTATAGTCTACCAAAACATGGCAGAATGCTGACTATGGAAAAGGATATTGTCCATGTTTTATATTGACATTGAGGGAAACTAATTTTCGATGTGTATCCTTATTATTTTATCGCCCAGCCCTTGTCTTTCCAACTTCATCTTTCATACTTGATTATAATCGACCTTAATTTCCATGATTATACATATGGATGGCAAGATCTGGACTCTCACACGCTCCCTGCAGTTGACATCCTTCCAGGCCTATAAGCTGAGGGTAACACACTTGTTCCAGCTGAAGCAGCACAGCATCCTGGTGTCAGTGGGACAGGATGAACATGGAATAAATCCTCTAGTAAGTGCATTTCTTCAAAGAGACATGAAGTATCAAAGAGTCATGCAGATAAATTAAATGCTCAACCTGCGTACTCTATCAATTCTCTATCTCAGGTAAAGGTGTGGAACCTTGACAAGAGAGACAGTGGAAATCCTCTCTGCACCAGAATTTTCCCTGCAATTCCTGGCAACAAACCGACTGAGGTGTCTTGTCTCAGTGTGCATGAAAACCTAAACTTCATGGCTATTGGTAAGACACAAAGAGAGTGTGTGCTGTGTCATTGTCCTGGTAATCCCTGTCAGACTGGATAAATAAGAGTTCTCCCTCCAGTGTTAAAATGAATGGTGTGTTTCTTCACAGGCTTTACAGATGGCAGTGTGGTTTTAACCAAAGGTGACATCACCCGAGACCGTCACAGTAAGACTCTGACTCTGCATGAGGGGAGCAGTCCGGTCACTGGTCTTGCTTTCCGTCAAGTGGCAAAGGTCACACATCTGTTCGTGGCAACTCTAGAGAAAGTACATGTAAGTAGATAAAGCTTTTTTAAATTTTAATGACATGTCTTTGGATTGAACTAATAAACTGTCACAAAAGGCAGACCCAGCTTGTAGGCTGCAACCTGCAGTCTGACTGTAAATGGGTTAGATCAGAGATGTCCACTTGTTTTGCTTGATTAAAGGGAGATATTCCTATTCCAACACTCCAGTAGTATTATTGAATTTCCACAAAAAGAAGGGTCCCCTCCTTGATGGACCAAAGGGCCAGTGTTGGTGGCCGCTCCTCCTGTCCCAACTTTTTCTCAAATTTAAAATGATCACATATATTTTTCTTTATAAAAGACATTTTCTAGTGTTTACATTTTATATGTTGCTGCATCATTTTCCGTCAAATATAGGCTTTGAATGATTTGCACACCCCTAAATCTTGTGTTTTTGACTTTTTACACAGCTTTCCAACTCTTATAAAACTGGCTTTGTACATGACTGGGATAGGTTAAATGATGAACTCATTAAAATATCTCATTAGTCCATAGATTCATAACTGAGATTGAACCTTTATTAATAGTTTTTGTTATCAATGTAAGGAAAAACCTTTTTCAAATCAGAGATGACCATTCATAAGAGGTCTTTGTCTGATTTGTCCTTGACTCTGTTTATAATGTTTTAAGCTTCTGTGTCTTTGTCTTCCTTTGCTCAGTGCTACACTCTGTCCATCAAGGAGTACCCGAAAATAGAGCTGGACACACACGGCTGTGCCCTGCGCTGCTCCTCTCTGTCAGATCCCTCGCAGGATTCTCAGTTTATTGTAGCTGGTGACGAGTGTGTGTACCTGTACCAGCCTGATGAACGAGGGCCCTGCTTTGCCTTTGACGGGCACAAACTGTTGGCACACTGGCACCGTGGATATCTGTTTTTACTCATCAGGGACACAAAGTCACCCAACAAGTAAGGTTCTTGATTGACCAAACTAAATACATGGACATAAGGTGTTTTCTGTATTGTTAACCTTGGTCCATCTTTCCAACTATGTAAGGTTTAATCCATATAGATCACACAGCAACAGCTGTATCTCAGAAATTCTGAGATTATGTGGGGAAAGTTAGTGGAGCTAGTTCAATGATGAGATTGAGGCTATGCCAAATACTGTAAGATATTATTTTTAAGATACTGTATATTTCAGTAAATTGCAAAGTGTTTACAAAAACCCACACCATGGACCTTCTGGGATATCATTTATTTGCAACCTTCTTTATTGCACTCCACCTTGATTGAAGTATACATTGATTTCATCGATAAATTAGTATTTGTGGTTTTTGAAAAATGACATTTCGACCTAGATTTTCTCTGTAATCACTCCCTTGTTTTCCCAAAACTCAAACCTCCCTCATTTACTTCGTACAGAGACACACATGGTTGGTTCAAAGGCTGTTGCAGATAAAAGCGCAACCACTTTGTGTCAACAGAGTTTTGCTGTCAATAGAAAGAAATGTGTGTTACCATAGGATACACAAGACTGCTACACCCAAAGACCGTGAGAAAATGTTGACAGCATCAGTTTTTTCCTTCAGGACAGAGTTTGGCAGCAGGGGGAGCTCTCCATCAGACAAACAGCTTCTAACCATCTATGACCTGGACAACAAGTTCATCGCCTATAGTGCTGCTTTTGATGATGTCATTGATGTGGTGGCCGAGTGGGGCTCCTTCTACATCCTGACCAGAGATGGAAACATGTTTGTTCTTCAGGAGAAAGACACGCAGACGAAACTAGAGGTGAGTCCAGCGTAGTGGGTAACTGCTGGTTTATGGTCATTTTGTTTATTGCTGTACCCTTGACTGAGCAGCTGTGCTGTGCTGTGTGTCTTAAAGATGCTGTTTAAGAAAAACCTCTTTGTGATGGCCATAAACCTGGCTAAGAGCCAACACCTGGACAATGATGGACTGTCTGAGATCTTCAGACAGTATGGTGATCACCTTTACCTTAAGGGGGACCATGATGGAGCCATTCAGCAGTACATCCGGTAATAATATCACTTAATATGTGTGAGGTCTATGTGGGCTCTTTAAAAAGAAATATTAGTCATTGCAGCAAATAAACTGTTTTTGGTTTAAAAACTCTTCTACTCATAAACAAAATGATCCCTCCCTTTTTGTCTTTATAAGGTTGTGAGGCACTAAAAACAACAAGTGTATCCGGACAGCAGTACTTTGATAGAGTGCATTCAGCCTGTATAATAGTTTCACAGACTCCAGTGCATTAAAACATAGAGCAGCATTCAAAACCTTTCACCATTGTTTCTGCAGAACTATTGGAAAACTGGAGCCGTCGTACGTCATCAGGAAATTCCTGGACGCACAGAGGATCCACAACCTGACAGCTTATCTGCAGGCTCTGCACAGACAGTCACTGGCCAATGCAGACCACACCACGCTGCTGCTGAACTGCTACACCAAGCTGAAGGACAGCTCCAAGCTGGAGGAGTTCATTAAGGTGACGGAGCCTCAAGACAGAATGACAAACGCAGAGTAATGTGTCATTAACAGAGCACAGATGGGTCTCGGTTGCAGTACAACATAAAAAACATATTGCAGAGCTTTTCTCACAACAATTAGATCACTAATGCCGTAATGTTATTCAAGTATATGTTCCTGTCTTTCTTTCCTACAGAGCAGTGAAAGTGAGGTCCATTTTGATGTTGAGATCGCCATCAAGGTTCTTCGGCAGGCCGGCTATCACAGCCACGCTGTGTTTTTAGCTGAGAAACACATGCACCATGAGTGGTACCTGAAGATCCAGCTGGAAGACCTCAAGGTAAAACCATCAGCGGTGGTGTGAAAACTTGTGTTGGAAATGTGTGTTTGTTTTTTTTCTCAAGAGCAAGAATTCTACCTTGATGGATGCATTACAAAACATTTCAAACAAACTGACCAGATAAGGCAAGGGTGGAATTTGACTTCCATATTAGATCAGTTTATTACAGCCAAATAGCCGTTTACAGACAAAAAAGACAACATCACATATATATGCAATCATGTGAGCATACTTGATATAATTTCTGTACAATTACAGAGCTTTCTACCTCAATTCAGGTCAAAAACTTCCTCAGTAGTTTCGAAGCAGATAATCAATGATGTAATAAGATGATCATACATCTATATCAAGTTTTTTTTTTTTTTACATCATAGTTTCCTATTTATTTTTACTCGGACTTCCCAGAAGAGTAAACCTGACTCACAAACCCCACAGGGAAGCCCAAACACAGAATAACCACACATTTCCACCATAAAAAAAGGTATTAATTCTGCATTTAAAAAGACACCTTTGTCATCTTGAGTTGATACACTTTGGATACTAAAGCCAAAACAACTTTTTAAACCTTCGGAAACTCTTGCTGTGACCTCGGTTTAACCCTTTGATCATCTAAAATGTGCTTTGTGGTGTGTCTCCTTGCATATCAGTCCGTATGTATGCATAAGGATAAAATTCAACGGAAAAAAAATCATTTAATCATGATGCTAGATACAAACCTGCAAGTGATAACTCTGAGATTCATCTCTGAAGTAAATGAACTGTCAACAGTGACTGACACAGAGACAGCTGTCTAATATGAATGACCCTCCACATGTTTGGGGGGCATCAGATCTCCTTACATTGTAATTAGGAGGAGAGGATCACAGTGGCTCACTCATGTTAAAGTCATTTAATTGAAAAGCCATTTGTGACGTCACGTCTTATCTTGGTCTGCTACAAATGTTAAGATAGTGTTTGGCAAAAGATTTGAAGAAGAGGAAAATAAATGTGATATTCATTACTCCTAATAGATAGAATATATACAGGTGGGCCTAACCTGGTGTTTTTTTCATTCAGTAAGCTCTGAAGTGGCCGACAAGGAAAGACTATGTGCAGCAGCCTGTAGGATCACTGGCTGCCAACAGAATTAAAAATAGAAACAAGTAGTCAGCAGTGATTAACTGAGCAGCAGTAGTTAACTATTTGGCCTGAGGTCCACTATTTGGCTGACATCCGGCACCTATGGAAAGTCCTGTATAAAGACAAAAAGTTCACATAGAAAAACAATAAGAGCACTGTTTGTCCATGAGCTCGACGGTACAGTTAGTACTGACAAATTAAGTACCAGTACAAAAACTACAGGCTCTTAATACCTATCCCTGCTGCTCTCCTCAATACTTTTCAGAGCGATCTAATCCTGATGGACAGTTTCAACAGCAGGTTTAATACAGGCCTGTGATACAAGCTCCAGAGCAGGAAGCAGTTTTACTCAACACTGAGACATCGAAAAGTCACCTAACTCTCCTTTCTCTGTCCTATCCTGAAAACAGAATTATATTTCATGTCTGAAAAGTGTTTAATGTTTTTTCTCTCTAAACTCCAGAACTATCAGGAAGGCCTGCGTTACATTGGACGTCTGCCTTTCGAACAAGCTGAGAGCAACATGAAGCGTTATGGCAAGACCCTGATGCATCATGTCCCTGAAGGTACCACGCTGCTCCTCAAGGGCTTATGCACCAACTACCAACCAAGTGGAGACGCTGCAGAAAGAGACAGTATAGAGGCGGGTCGATTTGACAAGGTCAGCCTCCACTGCTTGCTTTTTTCTTAAACTTTCACATGTATCACCCTCTGTAAGAAGATGTTTCACTGCATATGTATTCTTCTCAACTAATGTCCACGCTTACAGGCAAACTCAGAGGAATTCATCCCAATTTTTGCCAACAATCCTCGAGAACTGAAAGCCTTCTTGGAGCACATGATCGAGGTGGACCCTCGCTCTCCTCAGGGTGTGTATGACACTCTGCTGGAGCTCCGGCTGCAAGACTGGGCACACGAACAAGATCCTGAGGTAGGTCCAAAACAAACAGCCATAACCCCAAACATAATTGACAGTCTGAACAAAGACAACAGTCATTTAAACCTGGTTTTTCTAATACTTTTCTTGGCAGCGAAAAAATGTCCTGCAGGGTGAAGCTGTATCGCTGCTGAGGAGCGACAACACTGTGTTTGATAAAGCTCTGGTCCTCTGCCAGATGCACAACTTCAAAGAGGGCGTTCTCTACCTTTACGAGAAGGGCAAACTGTAAGTGAGGAATACAAACAAGTCACTCAGTATGAAGCCAGTTCACATAACAAAGAAATACATCAGGACAAAACATCTCATTATCTCATTATCTCATTACTCACTCCTGCTCTGCAATTATGAGTTTGCTGAACCTGGCACCAGGCATGTGGCACTAAAACTGATACCAGTTAGTTCATCTTTGAAATGTCAGCTAAATATTCAAAATGATTTTCTGATAATATTTACATCTTAGTAAACTATATCACCTTTGGGGTGCTAATAGCCGCTTTAAGTGCCCCACATATGGAGACTTTGGTCCTCGATCCAGAGGTCACTGGTGCGACTTCCAGCCTCAACCCTTTGCTGCATGTCTTCTCTCAATCTCTACTCCCCATATTTTCTGTCTCTCTTCAGCAGTCCTATCAAATAGACAAAAATGTAAAAAAAAACACAACTCTTAAAAAACAACTTTGTAGCCGATGCTGTTAGTGAGCTAGCTAACCAAGAACATCCAACAGTGGAGATTACAGCTCATTTCTCTCCAGTTCTCCAGTTTCAGTGGATTTGGAAAAATAGTGGGCATCATTTTTTTCATGAGTCGTAGTGGAGTCATGCTAAAGCACTCTCGCTTGTGCTCTGCGTACTTCTCCGAGGGTCAGTTCAGGACTTCGGCAATTCTTCATCTGACACTCTGAGCTCAACCCTACAACCCCTCTGCACTTCAGCCTTTGCCTCTTGGGGCAAACCCATATTACTGATGCCTCAACTGTGGAGACTACGCTGTAAAGAATTGTTTTGTAACTCTTCACTCAGAGGGCATATTAAATTAATAATTTCTGATGCTAAAGTTTCTTTGTCCTGTAGTTCAGGGTCAGACAGCTCAAACAAATGTAAAGCAAAATGTTAGCTGATGTCCCCATACAGTCCTGAGAGCCCTTCTTAACTGGAAAATAAGCTGTTCTGGACCAAACTTTTAACATCATTAAGAATTTTGACTCTTACTTAGAATTTCATTGATAAATAATGACATAATGAACTTTAATATGCATTTATTTGAAATATTTGAAGTCATGTTTCTGGGGCTTTCAAAGAAGAGGTCTCTGTTACAGGGACACTCCCCAGAGGTGTGCCAAGCATAGGCCACCGCCCATCTCTCCTCTCCTCTTTCAAAGGTTGTTTACTCAGAGACATATTCAGTTGAAGATAAGTAATCTGTTGTCATGTTTTAGCTGTTACTCCATGCAGAAATAGTTTCAGACAAAAATGCAAACTTTTAAATGTGAGTGTAAGGGAGTTCATTTGTACTCACTGCTTTGTTGAAGAAGTTATGCTCTGGCGTGTGGTGGTCTTCAGTGAGGTTTCATAGAAAAAGATTGTACCCCCAAGTACTGACCTGGTGTGTATACTTAATTATTTTCAATTTTCATTTTCACAACTTTGTCATATGACTGCACTTTTTAAAAAAGCAAAGGAAATATCATTTCATGGAGCTTTCCTGGTCTAAAAGAGCCTCCCTCTCTGCTCTTTTCGCTTGCTTCTCACTCCTCCTGTCCTACCAGAATGCCCCCCTTTCAGCCTGCACATCAGTTTTCCTCCTGCTGCTTCTCTTCTCTTCACTCCTTCCTCACTTCTCTCTTCAGACTCTCCTGTCTTCTTGCTCTTTCTTTCTTTGATCTCTTGCTCCTTTCTTCCCACCTGTTCCTTCTTTGCTCTTTTGCTCCTTTTCTTCTCTGCCTTTTTCCTTCTCTTTTCTCTCCTGCTGTTCCCTGACCTGTCTTTTTGTAAACTCTCCTTTCTTTTTCCCTCATACAGCATGCTGTATCGGGCCAGAATAATTGCATGTCTTCAAAGACATTTGCATCATCATCTTGTGTGTTAATGAATAAAAACAATATTTCAGGATTGTGATAAGAAGCCAACTTAACAAACAATAACTCTCAGACCAGTGAGGTTTTTGGACTTCTCTTCAGCTTTTTGAAATTTTGATTTGACTTGTTTCAGTTTTGACAGTCACATACTTGAAATTCCATAACATAATTGTCGTTGTTATGCAGATATCAACAGATAATGCACTACCATATGCAGAATGAAGAATATGGGAAAGTGGTGGAGGCCTGCAAGCGCTATGGGGACCAAGAAGGTTGCCTTTGGGAGCAGGCGCTGGGTTACTTTGCCAGAAAAGAAGAAGACTGCAAAGCCTACATCAGTGAAGTCTTACACCACATCGACCAGAACAACCTCATGCCTCCATTACTAGGTGAGCCGAAGGTGAAGACCGAATCACTGCCGTTGAGGTTTGAAAACCAGCGCAGCATTACATAACCTGCTTTTTTTCGTGGTCTGTCATAGTGGTGCAGACACTGGCACACAACTCCACAGCCACCCTCTCCGTCATCAAGGACTACCTCATCAACAAGCTGCAGAGAGAGAGCCAACAGATAGAAGACGACGAGCGTAAAATCCGCCAGTACAGAGAGGAGACGGCTCACCTTCGCTCAGAGATTCAGGAGCTCAAAACAAGGTGGGCGTCAGGAACAGTCTTTATTTTTTCATGAGCTTTGTTTTGAGACTAAGAGACAGTAATTTCATATTTTTTTTTTTTTTTTTTTGGATGCTTTAGCTTATTACCATCAACAAGTGCATTTGAGGGACGTAATTCAAAGTATTTCAGTCTATATTTTCAGTCAGTCAGATAAGTGTACATGTATTAAAGAGTCTAGTTTTTGTCAGGCTTACACAATAAAACATGTCGTTTTTTAAACATTATATAAATGTAAGTGCAGCTCAGAGGGATGGAAGTGGGCTGGATGAGTTCAGATAAACAACCTTTTTTCTCTTCTCACATTCCCACAGTGCCAAAATATTCCAGAAGACCAAGTGCAACATGTGCAACAGCCCCCTGGAGCTGCCCTCCGTTCATTTCCTGTGCAGCCACTCCTTCCACCAGCACTGCTTTGAAAGCTACGCAGAGAGTGAGGCCGAGTGCCCGACCTGCACGCCGGAGAACCGCAAAGTCATGGACATGCTGCGTGCACAGGATCAGAAACGAGACCTGCATGACCACTTCAACAGACAGGTACCAGTACTACTGAAGTTCATCATGTAACTGGTTGTGTATCCAGACAAATACTTGTGTATGTATTCATAATGATCATATAAATTCAGTTTTCAAGGTGTCATACTTTTGTCTGTAATCATTCGCCACTGAAACTGTACACTTTGACCATCACAGGATTATTTAAATCACTGTCTGATTTCCTTTTGGTTTTCAGTTACGTGGCTCTAATGACGGCTTCTCTGTTGTGGCGGACTACTTTGGTCGAGGAGTGTTCAACAAGCTGACTCTAGTCACTGACCCCCCTGGTAGCAAAACTGTTGGGAGTCTAGAAGTGAATCTGCAGAGAGATCTCCTCATCCACACCAAGAGAAACTGTTAGAAAGCTGAGTTTGTGATCGTGCTCTGAATCCAACCTAAGCATCTTACCTTATTGTCCAGCTTTATAACAAAGAAACAGTCCAGTTCAACTTTCTGCACACCATATCTGGAGTTTGTAACAGTGCATGCGGCTGCCTGTTTTCAGTCCCTATGATGGACTCATCTGCATCACTATGCTCTTAGTTATGATTCACTGTAAACTGTAAAAATGTTCTTGACTTAAACATTTACATCTGTGTCCTAAAAACTCACAGAATCAAACCTGTGAGGATTTGCCTTTGGTGGGTTTGCTTGAACTCATCGTGTTGACTTGCACATACTAGAAAGTTAAATGATCAGTCATTAATAAAAGTATTGTATGTCTGTTACTTACACTTGATCAAATTGTAAATAAAGCCATTAAATGGATTTTCAATGTTGCTTTGACTCTTGCTTTCAAAAGTTCTGCTGTTTCAGTACAGCCCTCACTAAAGCACCCACCCAGGTCCTTGTTAATCTGATAAATCATTCACATACAGATGAGAGCTTTTTCTTGTTAACTGTGGCACATTAATCAGCCATAATCATCACTCTATCAGAACTAGCACTGGCTCTTTCAGCAGTTTGATATCCAGTAGCTCTTTTGTTTTTTTGGCCCACACAGCCTTTCCTTCCCTTCTCAAACCAACCAATGAGTCTTTGCTGCCTGCAGTCATGTCCCTACTGCACTGCTTTTATTCCTTAGTCTACTTTTGGTAGGTTCTGACCTCCAGACCAGCAAGAGCAGCAGTTTTAGAGATACTCTGACCGAATCTTCCGATCATCACAATTTGATCCTTGTTAAATTCACTCATATCCCCAAAAACTGCTGCCTTTTCCTGTTTCCAAAACTTTAACTTAAAGGACAAAATGTTCCCCTGCTGTCCAACACATCTCACCAACTGACCAATGGTCTTGTAGAGAGATAGTCAATGTAATGTACTTCACCTTCCCAGGAATCAAAATGGTATGGCCAATCAGCATATGCTCCTCATAATTCCCTCTAAAACCTTAAGTCACTCAGTTTAAAAAAAAAAAAAACATTGGATTTCACTCCAATTAACTTTCATGTTTGTATGCAGAAAGCAATATCAATATGCTTGATGACTGCAAAACTGACTGAATAATGTTGCCTCTCATTTTCCAACTTTGAAAGATGTGCATCTCAGAAATGTTAAATTTCAAATTACTTTTCGGATACCTTTGTGCATAAGGGTAGACAACATGAGTCTTGAAAATTCTAATCTCAGCGAATTCAGCTTTGCCTAAAATTATCACATTGAGATCCAGAGATTTGAAGTCAGGCAACCTAATTGAATTTAATTAAAAAGATAATAACAGAAATGACAGCAAAATTAACAATAACTGCAACTCAAGATAATTTATTACCAAGAAACCTTAACAGTAAAGTTTATTAAAAGTTTATTAAAGTTATTTTACAGTCAATTTAAATTAGAGTGCACAGATGTGCAATTAAATTAAATTGGATAAATTTCAGGAAGCATGTGGTTTGCTCTAATGTTACCTGGAAATGTCGTCAGTTTATCCACGCCCACTTTCTGAACGTGGACCAATTGTATGCAGCCAAAAATCTTATTTCGTCGTCACTCACTTCACGTGGACCAATCATGTGTCAGTGCGTGGAGCCAGATGGGCGGGTCTTTGATTGGACAGTCATCGCTGGTCGTTGAACAAAGCGTGTAGAACGCTGCTGTTCCTTTCCGGAAGTATAAGGATTTATTTTCAAAGTAAGAGCATACAAACACATCACACATCGTATTTGTTAACTTAAAGGTGATAAAACACGAATTGGCGTAATGTTTCCAAATTAAACTCCGATATATGTTTCTCTGTTACAAAAAAGCTGTCTACCGAAGCAACACTGTCCAGTCGCAACTTCTCTATTTGAATTTGTATTGAAATCCTAGCCGGAAACGCCTTGTCATTCTTGCTTGTCTTTGACGTCAGTTTTTCACCCGGCAGCGGCTTCACTCAGTAGATCCAATGAGGTGACGCCGCGTTCGGGCCCGACTAGTGAGAGCAAGCCGGTGATAAGGGAAACTAAGAACTACCAAGTGTGACAACAAAAAGGCTCTGAATCAAAGCAAAGCCGGAGAACTTCAAACCTCAGCGACCCGAAGAAGCAGACTTTTCTGGAAGCCTCCTCTGACCCACAGCTGTGCCGGCTCAATGTAAGTCCATGTCTCCGAACCAGAGTCCATCACGCTCTCTTGGTGATAGTTGTCACTGAGAGCTAGCTTCTACTAGCTGTCAACTTCAGCTCCAGACATTTCTGTCGGCTTTATTGTGGAGGTTTATACTTTAGGTAGTCTAAAAGTAGTCTATTTTGTCCAAACAGAGTCAAATAGTTAAGGGTGAATGTTTTAACGTTGTTAGAAGATGCTGCATGAAGCTTAGCCATGCTGCTATTACACATCTGTTACATATCCTTTTACTAACCATTATCCACCTGATTTCTTCAACTTTCACAGTCCATTCTTTGTAAACCACAGTAGTTTTTGCCATGCATCAATTCTGCATGAATCGACCACTGCCTCACCAGGAGACTAGAAGTTTCTATGCTGACCTCCTGTTGTTGTCTCCCTGCAACACAAACAATGATTTGGTTATAGTTGTACTAAATCATAATGTGACTGCATGCATTCCCATCACAGCGAGTTAAAAACACACTCTCCTCTGCTTTAAGCTTGGTAACTCTACGTGAGAGAGCTTCAGCCAGCAACAAAGCCTGACAACTGTATTAACGCCACGTGTTTGGAAACAGTCTACACCTTTGTGGGTGGGAGCAGGTGCATTAAATCATTTGCATATCCTTGGGCAAGGCCAAGGCACAGCTTGCAAGTGTGACACTGACCTTTTACAGCTACAAGTACAAATACAGTTCCCAAAAGAGCTAGGATGCTGTGGGAAATCTTGATATAAACAGGATTTGATGGTTCCGCTAAAATCCTCAAAACTCCATATTCAATAAAGACTAGTTCAAAAACAATATTTTCAAATGTTAAACTGAAAAATGTTTTTGTTTAATGCAAAAAAACCTTTTTTTTTTCAGAGTTAATACCAGCAAGACATTTCAAAACAGTTGAGAGACATGAGGGTGTTTTGCATTGAGTTGCATCACCCCTTTTTTCAACAGCACTCTGCAAATGTGTGGGGAACACAGAGACCAGTTCATGGAGTTTGGAAAATGAAATGTCCCGTTGTCTACTTACTTAGGATTTTAGCTGCTCAACAGTCCAGGATCCTGTATGTTTCGGGAAAAGTCAGGACTGTTTGCAGGCCTGTTAAGCACTCAGACTCCTCTCTAACAGAGCCATGCTGTTGCAATGCATGCACAGAAAGTGGATTTGCATCTTCCTGCTATATCATGCAAAGCCCTCCCTGAGAGAAAAGAAACATTTGCTCCAAAAGCTGTATATCCTTCATTGTGTGTAAGCTACCAATATCTTGGGCATGTATGCATACATACCAACATGGTCTTTGAACTGTCTGCTGATAAAAAGGCGGATGGTCCCTCTCTTCTGTAGAGTGGAAGACACGTGTCAACAGCTTTCAAAAAGAAAAGTCAAGTTTTGATTTGCTAGACCACAGGGCAGTTTTTGACTTTGCCTTGGTCTATCTTAAATGGAATTGTACATTATAGTTTGAACCTGCATTTGTGGAGCAGTGTCTCCTGAGGGCCTGAAGAGAACAGCCATGCAGTATCAGTTATCATTCTTGTTCCTTTCATAATGAGATTTTTTTGACCCTCTGAATCTTTTAATGATATTATTTTCTTCAGAGGATAAAACACTAAAATATTTGGCAATTTTAAGTAGTGGAACATTTTCTTTGCTCACTCAGTCTCTCAGAATCTCTTTCCATTTTGACCTCCAGGAGACTTGGCCTCTCTTTTCTACATTTGATTTGTTTGTTTTTTCACAAACCACCCGATTCAGTTTCTCTTCAACATTTTACACTGTGTCCCATGGAACCAGGATTTTAATTCATGGCTACAGTGGCACTGCAAAACTTGGAGGAAACATAATAAGCTTGTGTAATAGAGCCTTCAAATGCCTGAAAATGATGAGACTGTGGCCTGGTTAACTGTGGATAGTCCCTGTGGAGGTTTGGCTTTACAAGTGGAAGATCATCTTTCTCTTAAGAGATGTGTCTGCTTCCACGTAATAAACCAGACAGCAGTGAAACTGAACAGTAAGAGATGCCGCACAAGGTGGATAAAAAAGATGAGCTGGGGCTGACGGCTGTTTGGTGTTTACAGTGATGTGTAATTTAGTTACAGCAGATGAAAAAGTCAAAGTAGAGGTTTTGTGAGTTGACTGTGAGCTGAGTTAGAGACAAGCTGTGATCGTTTAAGATAAATCCTGTTCAATGTTTTTGTCTCATATAACCACATAACTTTCTGTCTTTACAGCCCACCATGGAGAGGAGAAAGCTGGCACTGGTTTCTTTATGCTGCCTTGTTCTGGCAATGTTGCCTTCTCACACAGGTAATACGATCCATCAGCATTACACAGGTGTATGCCTCGAACCTGTAGCCCTGCCTTGCTATAACCTAAATTTACAACACTCATGAATACAAACAGAGATGAATGGTTGGTGTTTAGTAAAAGATCGGCTAAATTAATATCACAACTCTGCTCTAACTAAGTATATTTGCTGTTAGCTTTCCGCTTTACCAGGTCGGTGTAACAGCTGTCTTTGTGTTTGCAGATACTGTAGCTGTCATGTCTGTCGACCTTGGCAGTGAGTGGATGAAAATGGCGATCGTAAAACCTGGTGTGCCAATGGAGATTGTGCTAAATAAGTGAGTGCTCATGTTGTCTTCATCTGTGTAAATGAGAGAAATACCCAGGGCAGGTCTGAGATTTTCTTAACATCAAGAAGGGAGAAACACTTAGAAACAAAGATTTTGGGGTCTAAATTCTTCATTTGAGAACTAGCAGCTATAACATAGTTTTTAATGACAGTATACCAAGGTAGCCGGATTGTAGTTTGGGAAGTGAAATGCTGTCCTGTTTATCCCTTAGATATGATTTCAGCTGCTTAGCAAAGTTCAGTGTCTCTTTTTTTGTAATTTTGTTTGATGATGCGTCAGATCTTTTCATCAGTTGATAAGACAGTCAGGCCAGTTTGGCACCTGGACTCTTCTACTTCAGAGCCATTCTGTCGTAAAACATACAGATTGTGGTTTGCTCGAATATGCAAGGTCTTCCCTGAAGAAAACCAAAAAAAAGTTGTATGGATGGCAGCATGTGCTGCTCCAAAACCTGCACTGTTCAGCTTTAATAGTACCTTCCAAAAATCAGTTTTTATCAACATTTCACACTACATCCCAACTCTTGGGGATGTTGGGGTTTTACAGTAACAGCAGATTTTCATTATTGGAGGTCTGGGCTCTTTTGTATGCTTTGTTCTACATTGATTAGCTCTTATATGGATGAACTGTTCCAACACTGTACTCAGCCATCGTAGATCCATGAATGCAAATCTTTTTCCTCTGAAATGTCAATACAGCATGAGATTTAAACATCATGTCTGCTGCATTTTTCCTCAGAGAGTCAAGGAGGAAAACACCCACAGCTGTGTGTTTGAAGGAAAATGAAAGACTTTTTGGAGACAGTGCACTTGGAGTTGTAAGAGCACTTTTATGTTTGATGGATGCACAGTGAAATATTCTCCTTACCTTTCAAGAACTCTGATCTTTCTGTGTTTGTTGTTAATGAGTCCACGTTATGTACAATTACAGTCAGTGAAGAACCCCAAAAGTGTTTTCAGACACCTTCAAAGTCTTCTGGGCAAAAAACACGACAATCCCCAGGTGGCGCTCTACCAGAAGCGTTTTGCAGAGCATGAGCTGCAGAAGGAACCGTCCAGAGACACCGTTTTCTTCAAAAACTCAGAGTGAGTGGCTTTGTTTATATCCTTCAGTCCTTCACCGTGAAATGAGTTTATCTACTCAAGATCAATGCTGGCCTTCAGATAGTGTCATGATTTCCAACATGTCACCTTCACAGTTTCTTGATCATCTACACTAGATCATCTAGTTGATTCTGATTTTCACTCCTAAAAACCGTGTTTATTACAGACCAACACAGTTCTGTCAGTATATATGGTAGTTTTTGTAGCTTTTCCTGAGGGAGGCAGTTGTCATGGAAACCATCAACTATCAATAGATTATTGGAAGAAACACAGCTCTGTTCAAGATGCATCCATCCAACTCAGCCTCCTGTTTTGGTTCTTTTCCAGGGAACTGCAGTACACACCTGAGGAGCTCCTGGGGATGGTGCTCAATTACTCCCGCGGGCTGGCTCAGGACTTTGCAGGTCTGTTGGCTCATGCAGAGAGAAAGAAAAAAAGGAGGAGAGAAGCAGAATGTGCATCGTGTTTGAAAATGTAAAGAAACAGAAATTCTTAAACCTTTCTCATTAAAATCTTTTTCACTCACAGAACAACCAATCAAGGATGCAGTGATCACTGTGCCGGCCTTTTTCAACCAAGCTGAGCGCAGGGCTGTTCTGCAGGCTGCACAGATGGCAGGGCTCAAGGTTCTTCAGCTCATCAATGACAATACTGCTGTGGCTGTGAACTACGGGGTCTTCAGGAGGAAAGATATCGACAACACACCTAAGGTGCACAGCCAGTCTAACTCTTAAATACACGCTACAGCTACTGTGAGGAGTTTCATGTTTACACCCTTATATGACAAACCAAAGAAAACAAGACCAACAAACAAGATTCACAATTTTTAATCTGCAGTTCTTGATGCCTGAAAGTGATATGAGGGGGTAGGTGTCTGCTTAGCAGCTGAAGAAACAGACTGGTTTTTATCTTCCTGCACAAAATACTCACAAATTATTTGACTGTCAGAATCCCCCACTTAAAGCTCCTGTGAGAGGCTGTTTGACCCCCCCTGTGGACAAAGTGATACCCCTATCTCTTTATTATTCTTGTTGTGTAGTCAAGTGTTATCTGATAGAAAATGTCATCCATGCATTGCTCACTATGCGTCTTTATTGTTAAACGGTGTGACATCTACCCATAGACTGTATATAGAATGGACACCGTCTGCCTCCTCGCTGGGTGAAGCCACCGCAAGACCCTCTGGGTCATAAATTCCGCCTCCTCCAGCAATTCCTATGGAGCTGTGGACAAACTTGAAGCATACAGATAGCAATATGTGCAAAGACTGCTTTGTCCGCAGTGGGCCCCAAGATAAACAAAAACAAGTTTCTCACAGGAGCTTTAAAAAGTCAGTCTGATGATATTCTGTGTTTTTATACTGTCAACATGTCGCTACACTCAAAGATTGCTATATTTAGGATCTTATCTGTTTTTGTTCTAGTTACGATCGTGACAGTAATGTGATTCTGCTGCTGGATGTTAAAAAACGGATCTTCTCTTTTTTCAGAATGTGATGTTTTATGATATGGGCTCAGGAAGCACCACTGCCACTATCGTGTCTTATCAGACGGTCAAAACCAAAGAGTCTGGCACCCAGCCCCACTTACAGATCCGAGGTGTCGGGTGAGTCCACTCAGAATACTTTCACCACTCAAGTGTGTATTCTGTTCAAGTTACAGAGGGACAAACCTCCTGCTACCTGTCCTCTATGACAGCTCAGGTGTTTAGAAGTGTTTATATCTGAACACTCCATGAAAGTTTATTTTTGTCCTTTTACACTCAACCTGACGTCACCTCTTTCCCCCTTTAAAACACAAAATTTAAATGTCCTCCATTTCCTCACATGTCATGCTGATACAGTGCCACCTATAACATAATAAACACTAAAGAACACAATAAGATTAAGTGGGAATCTTTATCACGCTACATTACAGATCTTACAAAGGCAGTGAATTTAATTTCTGTGAATGGAGTTAATCTTTTAAATATTTCCATCTGTGGTGAAAGTTTTTACCTAGAAACACATTTTACAGTAAATCTTTCTCCTTCTTCACAAATCTAATTTTAATCAGTATGACATTTCCAGGTTGCAGCATAATCTCTTAAGAACGGAGCCAGCCCTGAAGTGAAAGCTACAAAATCCTGTTCAAGTTAAAAATCCACAAGTCATAGCTCCATTGAAATTGAACCTTTAAGCAGTAATTGATGAATAGATGTCATTCAGGATCTAAAAAAGTTGCTGGTTTGACCTTGTGTAGGGTGAGAAAGGACTGAGATTATTTTCGGTTTTTTTTGTTTGTTTTTTTTCAATTGTGCAAAAATGTGTTTTATAAAAGAGGACGACTACAACAACAGAAACAGGGACAGTAACAACAATGACAGAACAACACACACAAAACACAAAATCTCATCAAAGTCGAATAAAATGAGAAAAAACAAGAAGAAAAGAAGTCTATTTATGTTTCTTATAATGAATGAAGGAGCAGTGATTTTGACCTTTAATTTAAGGGTAGAGGTGATTTATAGGTGTTGTATCATAAGAGGATATATGTGTTTGTGTTGTGATAGGTGGCAAAAAGGTAGATTGACAAGTGAGAAAAAAAACTTAATAATATAAGAAAGAAAAAGGACAACGGCTGTCCTGAGAGAATATTTCTAAAGAACCTGTCTGTAATTTGCTCCTGAAGTCGACCCCCTTGACTTTCGAGTCGTCAGCAGTCACTCACAGCTCAGCCAGCTCACACCTCGCTTGGTATGTTTTTCACTGTGCTTATCTTTTGGCTGTGACTCCAGGTTTGACCGAGGGTTAGGGGGCTTTGAGATGGACCTGCGACTCCGGGACCATCTGGCCAAACTGTTCAATGGGCAGAAGAAGAGCAAAAAAGACGTGAGGGAAAACCACCGAGCCATGGCCAAGCTCCTCAAAGAGGCTCAGAGGCTCAAGACGGTGCTCAGCGCCAATGCGGACTTCACTGCTCAGGTGAGTCTGCAACCTTCAGTCTGTGCGGTTTGGGCAAATCACAGAGATGTACCAGTGAATGCAGCGTCATTTCTTTGAAAATCCAAATGTATTTTCAGGTGGAAGGTTTGATGGATGATATCGACTTCAAGGCCAAGGTGTCCCGGGCAGAGTTTGAGGAGCTGTGTGCTGATCTTTTTGAAAGAGTGCCTCACCCCGTGCGGGATGCCCTCACTGCTGCAGAAATGAAGATGGTCAGTTCTCTCTCTCTCTCTCTCTCTCTCTCTCTCTCTCTCTCTCTCTCTCTCTTTCTCTCTCTCTCTCTCTCAGGTGCAGCTCAGGTGTCCCCCACGTTAGAATAAGATAAAAAATTAATGATGTCTGCAGAGTGATTCAGCTGCAGGTCACAGTAGGGGCAGGGCACATAGAAACAATATGAAATTCAAAAAAGGTAGAAATGAGAAATAGTTCATTTTCTTGTATCCTCAGGGTCACAGAGAGGCTGGAGCCTATCCTAGCTGTCATTTACATAAAAGTACATTAACCCCTACATAAACAGAAGTTTAAGAAGTTAAGATAGTTTATTAGTGTCATGTAATGAAAAGCTACTGATTGTGTGATTTTACATATTTTGTCCAACAGGATGAAATTGAGCAGGTGATCTTGGTGGGAGGCTCCACTCGGGTCCCCAAGGTTCAGGAAGTTCTACTGAAAGCAGTGGAAAAGTAAGTGACATCTCTTCAATTTCATGAAACAACTGCACTTTGATATTATTGTGTTTTGTCACTAATTATTTGGTTGGATTGAATTTAGCCTCAGCTGAAGTTGTGTGTTTTTCCTTACAGAGAGGAGCTGGGAAAGAACATCAATGCAGACGAGGCAGCAGCTATGGGCGCCGTGTACCAGGCTGCCGCTCTCAGCAAAGCCTTCAAAGTGAAACCTTTCCTGGTCAGAGACGCAGCTGTCTTCCCCATTCAGGTCAGTGGAGTTCATATCTGAGATGCTTATCTTATATTCAAGTCGCTGGAGACAAGTTTTGATAACATAATAAAAAAAATGATGCTCTAAAACTGACATCAAACTTCAAAAGAAAACAGGAATAACAGTTAAAACCTTGAAACTTTTGACCAAAAATTGACAAATTTCTAAATTTTAAAAATTAAAAATAAAATTGTCAGACTGACAGCAAACCCTTCTGCAGCTGGGGAAGACGCAGCTCAGCGGAGCACGGCTTGGCGGGGTGCAAATATACTGATATCAGCACAAGAAGGCAATAAAACACAAAAGGCTAAAATATCAATATTTAGCAAACCACCTGACATTGAGTAACTTGGACGCTCTTCAATCTTCCTGTTTCCTGCCGGTCTTCAGTGGGTTGGGTGAATCCAAAATGGTCACAACAAGGGGGTGTTCTGAGACAGGCTGTTACCTGTGAAATGGGGATGCTCTGAAAACACCCTCATTCATACTTGGTATGGTACTCCTGATTAAATTAACCATAGACTGTAACTTGACGCGGAAAAAAAATGAGTCCACCAATCAGAATTTCAGTCAACTCAGCACAGATCGACCAATAAGTCGACCAGTCCACTATGACTTTACAGCCCTACAGATTAAAATAGGAAAATCCATCTTTGTGCAACAACTAGCTGTGGGGGTGTAGTTTTATTAGAAATCTGGAGTTTTTAACTCTGAAAACTATTTTTTTTTTAAAGGTAGACCATGAATAGTTAAGCGTTCAAAAGATAAGTAAATCCCTTCATAGATACATGACAAAAACAAAGTAATACAAACATCACTTCAGTATGTCTCAACAAAGCTTTCCGTCCAGCTAATACTCTCCCTCTCAGTCTACTTGAAGAAAAATATGGGACCCTGAACTAATGAACAAAAGGAACAACAGATGCCACACTCACTCATTTCATTATCTTTAAAAACCCTCTCACATCACAGCCTCCTCAGTAGTTCAATAAAAAGTGATCAAGTAGTCAAAAGAAGTCTGAGGAATACTTGGTTTATGTGCTGTCGTGAAGGTTTTCTGAGCAGATCTAAGATCAGTATGACAAGACACACACTTCTCATTGTTAAAGAATGATAATGATGAAAGACAATATCTTTTCATCAGGTCGAGTTCAGCCGTGAGACAGAGGAAGATGGGGTCAAAACCGTCAAACACAACAAGCGTATCCTCTTCCAGAGGATGGCCCCTTACCCGCAACGCAAGGTCATCACTTTCAACCGCTACAACGACGACTTTGCCTTCGACATCAACTATGGAGACCTCAGCTTCCTGAGTCAGGAGGAGATCAGGTGAGATCAGCGGAGCTTTTCTTTATAGAGTTTTGTAGAAAAATCCTTTCTAACATCATCCTGAACCACAACTATGAATTAGCTAAATAATTCCATTCATCTCCCACCCGGAGAGTCAGTCTGTGATTCCTTTGTCGTCATCGTCTCACACTCTTTTGAAATCTAAACAGAAGAGTCTTGATTTAACTGCCCTAAAAGGTGTGTTGCCTCGGTTGTGAGACTCATTTATATTCCCTCCGAGAAGCTGAGGTTTTTGCAGTGCCTTCATGCTGCTCAGGTTGGAGGTGTTGTCTATGATTTACCTCCTCTCTGTGCAGTGCGTTCGGCTCCCTGAACCTGACCACGGTCAAACTGTCTGGAGTGGGCAGCAGCTTTCAGAAGCACACAGATGCGGAGTCAAAGGGCATCAAAGCTCACTTCAACATGGATGAAAGTGGAGTGCTGCTGCTGGATCGGGTCAGTCACACTCATGGACAAAGTTGTCTTTCTTTCTTATTGATTATTTTCATCGTGAAGCCGGCTAGCTTTTTCTTTAGCTGCAAGGACACACTGTTCAGCAGTGTTTGTACTTTCTATTATGCGGAACAGATTTTTGTGTTGTTGCTCTGCTATCTCCTCCGGCTGATGGCAGGTCACTGAGGCTAATCGAAAATAGAGCTAGACACAAAAGATCTCAAAGAGCTCTAATAAAAATTAAATTGAAGCAGCTAAGGATAAATGTTTATACATAAGTAAATGTATAAAGCTCTAAAATGGTGACACAGACCCTGAATGAAACATTTTTTAAGACAACATCTGATCTCAGCACCTTTTCTCTATTCAAACTGAGCTTTCATGTTTGTAATTTTCACCCTTAGGTGGAGTCCGTCTTTGAAACCATTGTGGAGGAGAAAGAGGAGGAATCAACATTAACCAGTAAGTTTGACACATCTGTAGCCTTTGACCTCTGTTAACCTCCACCAGTGTTTATTCAGAGGTGCCAACAGCAATCACAACAACAACAACAGTGCTCTGCTGACAGAAACAGGCCGAGAGGAAGTTTTTTTTATGCTGTTGTATTTAAGGGCATGGTCCTCGGAAACCTCTTCAATATACAATCCAGCCTCCGGCAACTGAAGGTTAGACGGTCTAACTGGTGCTGATGATATAGTAAAAATAAACTGACAGGCTCCAACAAGAAAGTTTAATGTTCTTTTACTTTTGTTATATAAGTTCATGTATTATTTCCAATGCACAAACTGATAGTACAGAAACAAGGTGGTGAGAGCTAATGGCTAAACTGAGCAATGAAAAGCGATAGCATGAAAGAAATCCAGCAGTACCCTGAATGACCAGTAGGGGTAAAGTGATACCAAATTAAAATACAAAGCAGCAGGCATTCGCAGAATCTGCCTCCACTCGTCACGCTGCAGGCTCACATTTTGTTGCTGTTGATCATGGTCTGCATGTCGAGTGCCACAGCTTGATCAGAGTCTTATCTGTGAGGCTGGCTCTGTTGTTCAAAAAATGATCATCTTAAAGGGATATTCCAACATAAATTGAAGTTAGGGTCAAACACAACGTAACACAGAGTTAGACACCCCCATGAGAGATGAATGTTGCCGACCACTTCCTTCTCTAATTATACCAACTTTAGTAACGACTGCACGATAGCAATACAAAGCGGTCTATGGAGCCACGGTCACACCTCAACCGTAGTACTAGCCACCAAATATCTTTTTAGCTTTGCTTGGTTTCTTTAGCAAAGAGACCAAACACAACTCACCCACTCTCTTCCATCAGCCGCTTGTTTGTGGGGGGGGGGGCTGACGAGTCGATCACAGAGTGCAGCAGAGTTTCACAGCTGAAGGAAGAACATTTATGATCATTACTTCATGGAAATGCAATCGGACTGAGACGCTAAAGTGGAAGAACTACTGCGTCTGCAGTGCAAAATGATTATTATGATGATTATAACTTCAAGGAAATGATCCGCTGCACTCAGTGATCGACTCATCAGGGCCCCCCCACAAACAAGCGGTTGCTGGAAGAGAGCGGGTAAGTTGTGTTTAGTCTCTTTGCTAAAGAAATAAGGCAAAGCTAAAAAGATGTTTGGTGGCGAGTACTATGGCTGGGACCCTATATGTACTGTTATTTGTGGCTATAGAGTGGCGTTTTGGTTGAGGTTTGTGTGTGGTTCCATAGACCGCTGTGTATTGCTATCATGCGGTCGTACTAAAGTTGGTATAACTAGAGAAGCAAGTGGTCGGCAACTCAGTCTTGTGGTGTGTTTGACCCTTACTTAATTTTACGCCGGAATATCCCTTTAAGGTCTGGACCTCTTGATCCAGTGACTGCATTTCTATTAACCAATAAGCAACCAGTTTGTTTAGAGGACCTGCATACTCTAGAAATAAAGAATAGGGAATCAAAGACTTATGATAGTGAGGTTTGATGGAAAGTCTGGGTGCCATGACTGTCTGGCCTTTTTAATTCTAATGTTCAGGACTCATTGTTTCTTAACTTGGCTGTCACTCTACTTTCTCTCAGAGCTGGGTAACACCATTTCCACTTTGTTTGGAGGAGGATCGTCAGAACCAGCTCCAAATATAACTGAGCCTGTCCAGGTACCTCTACCTCTATACAACAGCTGCTCTGTTCAAGAAGCTGATTCATGAAATACAATGGTCTCTGGCTTGTGATCACAGCTAACCTCATTCACTGATTCCTTGTTTGCAGGATGAGGAAGAAGTGCCTCCAGAGGCCGGAAAGGAAGGCAAGGACGAGGAGGGTAAGGATGAAGCCCAGAAGGATGACGCTGCTGATGAGAAGCAGGATGATTCAGAGAAAAAGGAAGGCGAAGAGAAAAGTGAGGAAAAGACAGAGGAGGCAGGAAGCAAGACCGACACCAAGGTAAGATATGTCACACTTTATCTCTGTACAAATTCAGAGCTAATTCATTGGAATTTGAAAACTTAGAATTAACATTGAGCCACAGACTTGATATTCAAATTTGCTATATGCCTGCCGGTAAAGGAGGAAAAGGATGGAGAGAAGCCTGTGACCCCAGAGGAAGAGAAGACCGCTGAGAAGACGGCAAAACCTCAGAAAAAGAGCAAGATCTCTGAGGACATCAAGGTGGAACTGGTCATCCACGACATCCTCAACCCCTCTGAGGAGGACGTCGCAACCGCTAAGAAGAAGTAAAGAAACACGTTGTTTTTCCGTTTCATTCCTGGTGTTTTGTTCTTGGCGTCATTGACTAAAAAAAAGTGTCTTTGTGTCTTTTCAGGCTGCAGGATTTAACAGACAGAGACCTTGCCAAACAGGAGAGAGAGAAGACACTGAACAGTCTGGAGGCTTTTATCTTTGAGACACAGGTACGCATCGCAGGCTTCTTTTAACTTTCCACATGTCCTTGTGTTGAAATAAGAACATTTCAGCTTCCTGTAAGAGAAACGTCATAATAATCTGACAACGATTTTGATATCAGCTGAGAAATTAGCTTAATAATGTTGATACAGCCCTGGTACCAAAAAGATTTTGATGGTTTGACAGATGATTTAAAGCCTAAATGTGACTGGAAATACTGTCAAGATGTAATTTTAAATGTTGTGACCTCATCTGTTGACAACAATCTGCAAACATTTGAGAACTGATTCTGGAGTTTGATAAAAGGAACGTGGTCCCATTAACAGATACAGGACTTCAGCTGCTTAGTTTTTGTTTCATAATGCATCAGATGTTTTGAATGGGTGACAAGTCAGGACTGCAAACGGGCATCCAGACGCCTGAAGACTAAAATCGTGACACTCTTTGAATTGACAGAGACCTGAAAATGAAAGTTATTTGACTTGCACAGAGAGAAAGTAGCCAACTTAAAGTTTTTGGGTGCCTACCATGCAAGATGTCTCTTGTTTGTTTTCTGCTGCATGATAGGCGAACTGTCTTTATTCAGTAAAATTCAGTGTGAATTTAATCACCAAAATTAGGGGTTTGTTGTAAAGTGCTGATATTGATTATAGCAGTCAGAAAAGAAATATCAATATCCTGCTAAAAGAGTGAATTCTTAACCCTCCCATATGCTGGTTTCCACATGTCATGCAACAAAAGAAGAAGAAGCATCAGCTGTGAGCAAACTAGCTGTAGAAGCCCTCTGTGAGATAATTAGGCACTTTTGGGACCCAAGATTTAAAGATGTTTTGTGAATTCACAAACTGCTTTGAAGCTTGTGTCTCTTCGGGTTACTAATCAACTGAACATTTACACTTTCTAACTGTTCTTTCAACTGTTTTTACTCAGTTCAGTAACTTACTATCTACCAGATGAAAATAAAATCACAATTTGGCAATAGAGGAAATGAATCAAAATAAAGACAAAGAACGGCTTAATGTGGCAACCTTCAGAGTAGGGATGGGCGATAAATTATCGTTCACGATTTATCATCAGAAGAATCCTCTATGATAAATATTTGCCATCTCATGATAAATATGACAAATGCAAGTAAAGCACAAGCAACAGACTCACAGCCAAAGCCCACACAGATAAAAATAACAAACAAACATGGCTGAAGGTAATGAAGAAGACATTTCTGAGCAGCTTGTTGTAGACCGAGGCTCCACATGAGGGATTTCCTTCTAGATCGGGTCTTAGATGAACACAATCAGGTATCCTGACATCAGACAGAGGATCTGCTGCTGCTGTTCACTCTGTGCAATAAGAGTTTTCAACAACTGTTGCAAATGTTTTCACATTTGAGACTTGTTTGATGTCATTAGTTTTCTCCATAACCTACCACTCAAACTTGTAGTTAAGTATCTCATCTCATTATTTAACTACTCAAACTGGTGTTCTCAAGACAAAATGAGTCTAAAATATAGACTGGAATTATAATATTTTTTAACAGGACTTTTATCGTTATTGCCAGAATGGTAAATCTTATAGTGACAAATATTTTTGCCCATATTGCCGATCCCTACTTCAGAGGTAAATAAACCAGCATTAAACACATTTTTCACAGCTGGTGCAAAGATACACAACCAGTGATTTGGTCTCCCATCACACTCAAAAACACACTCTGCCTCTCCTTTTCTCTCCTCAGGACAAAATGTACCAGGATGATTACCAGCTGGTCGTTTCAGAGGAGGAGAAGGAGCAGATCTCAGGGAAGCTGAGCGAGGCATCAGAGTGGATGGATGAAGAAGGTTACTCAGCCACCACCAAACAGCTGAGAGAGAAGCTGTCTCAGCTGAAGAGTCTGTGCAAAGACATGTTCTTCAGGGTGGAGGAGCGACGCAAGTGGCCCGACCGCCTGGCTGCGCTGGAGAGCATGCTCAACACCTCCAGCTTCTTCCTGAAGTGAGTGTCTGTGAGAGGTGCCCCAAAACATGAATGTTTGATGATTCTGTGTTTGGTCTGTACGACTGTGCTCACTTTTCTGTTGTTTGTCTCTGACAGGAGTGCCAAACTGATCCCAGAGGATGATCAAATCTTCACTGAAGTGGAGCTGAATATGTTAGAGAAAGTGATCAATGAAACTACGGTAGGTCGACAAAAAAATATTAGTATCCTTCACAACTGAGCACTGAAAGAGAGTTTTTCTTCTTGCTCATTTAGTTATCTTCAAGAAAAGCTGGAAGAGATGCTCCGAATAGCCAGTGTTATTCTTAATTTTAAATTATTTACTTTGATGAAATGAAAGTTAGATAAACAAAATAGATCATAATTAACCTTTGAGAAATGCATGTTTAAATCCGTCTAGAGTGTATTTACTGAGTTATCCGACAGCTTTTAACCTCCACGTTATCTTTGTCTGCTCCAGACGTGGAAGAATGAAACTGTAGCAGAGCAGGGCAAGCGCTCTGCAAAGGAGCGGCCTATCCTGCTGTCCAAAGACATCGAGTCCAAATTGGCTCTGCTGGATCGAGAAGTCAACTACTTGCTCAACAAAGCTAAATTTGCCAAGCCCAAGTCCAAACCCAAAGCCAAGAACAGCACCAGCTCGGAGAAGGGCAGCAAAGCCAACAACACAGAAGAGAAGGTCATCCCTCCGACAGAGGGGGACACAGACACAAAGAGTGGTGGGTCTAACTGAGTTAGCCTTTGTGCAACCAAACTCATCCTGTACAGACAAAACAGGAGGTTTTAGAATAGTAATGAGGCATGCAGTAACTCCTTATGTGTGTTTTAATTCACATACAGAAAGCCCAGAGGAGGCAAAGCCAGAAGAAGCCCCGCCCACAGAGGAGAGCACTGCACACACAGACTCAGAGAGCCAATCACAGCACACAGAAGAAACAACAACAGGTCGGTCTGCCCTTCCTGTCCCTGATGATGGAGAACTTTAGGTAACACTTAAAATTAGGGCACACATACCAACTATTAACCAGCTGCTTATTAGCATGTATATAAATGACACATTAGCACTTAGCACATCATTCTGCATATTCTACAACTACATGCAAGCAGTTATCTGAGGGGTTTTTCCTTGATATCCTTTAAATTACTGCCTATTAAGAGCAAGAAAGGAAGTTTTACACCTTCTTACTCACTATTTAGAAGCAGTTATTTGGAGGTTATTCAGGGGGAACCTCAGTTAATGTGGAAGTAGTTGTAGAATACGGTCATGTAGAGTAAGGTATCAATAAGAGCTGCATAACAGGTAATTCAGGGCTAATATTGAACTAATATACATGCTAATAAGCAGTAAATTAATTGCTGAAATGTGTCCCCCAATGTAAAGTGTTACTAGTGTTGAGAAATAAAAACATTGACCTGACTGATGTCTTCTCTGACTCTTATCGTCACATGACGACACGACTAAAGTAATGAATTTCTGTGGGTTATCTGTTGGTCTGTTCCTTAATAAAATTGACTCTGGCCCCAACATTGAGAATTTAAATGAAAAGAATAAACAGAGATACATTTGTCATTATTCTTAGATCAAAGTAAATCCACTGAGTCAGAGAAGCCCATTCATCTGACACAACACTGATGTCGCTCTCTGGTTATTTTTCTTTCTCTCTCTCCATTTTCAGGACCCACAGAGAAGGCCCCACCTGAAAACCACATAGAGGATGAATTATAACAGCTGGAACTGGGAAAAACAAATCACTATATTTATTGACAGTGTATAAATGTTCAAGTCCCTTCTCACTCAGATTTCTTTTTTTTTTCTGTTATTTTCTGTTTTTCTTTTGTTTGTTTTTTGTCCCTGGTAACTGAACTGCTTGACTGAGACTGCTCATCTTGCCCTCCTGGTTTCTTTGGTGCAGCTCATCTCTTCTGTCTTTCATGGATTCTGTAAAGGACACTCGAAGAAGCAGCTCGACAAATAAAAAAAACAAGGTCAAGACCACATCTGTGCCGTTATGGATTCAGGTCCAAATCTGCTAAGCCCATCAGAGTCTCCACATGGACCTTATGAAGAGGTTGAATGCTGTTTTTTTTTTTTTTTTCTCTGTCTCATCTTTCACAAACGTTTCATCTTTTCCTTTGTCCTCTGCGCTGTATACCCAACCGTTGCGTGTTGTTTGGAGATCACCTGTACACCTGTGCCACCACTTTTCAAGGCCACTGAGTTTGCACACTGTGTCGGGGATGTGATGGTGTTGTCCACAGTGGAGGGTGGGGGTTGGTTTACATATTTGCTGCTCTCTCTCTCTCTCTCATCATCATTTTTGGATAGATACAGACAGAGACACAGATTCTCAACTGAAAGTATAGTTTAAGTGGAAAGAATCATCGATCAAGTGAAGCATGATTTTAAAACGTGTAGACAAATAATTTAAGAGGCATTTACTAACATTTTAATATAATTAAATTTGTTGATATCGCCCTGATGTCACTCATTGGACTGAATACTCTGACATAAAGAGTATTCAGTTCAAGAGATTGGCTATCTTACCTGTCTACCTCCCTGCTCGCCTGTGATTGGATAATTTATCTATAAGGAATGAGGATAAGTAGAAAGTGGGTGAGTTAATGTGGCGACACCCTCCTGGACTTATTCTGCACTGTAGTAAGGATAAACACATCATGTGTTTGCGGGGTACATTTTCATAGGCTGCATACGTTTAAGGCCGATTTCTTCAAAGTTGCAGAGCGGAGCTTTAAATTTTTGCGCCAAGTGTAAGCAAACACCAGAGATTCCTGTAACCATACTAGAGTAAGATTCAGCACTTCTGAATGGTTACAAATCATCCGTTTGATAAGTCACGTTCACTTTTAACGCGTCCCTTATTACTGTCTGTGAGGAGGAAGAGGACATGCCAATACTGATGAATGATAGCGGATGGGCTAATTTGAAACATAAAGAAAGCTGAACCTTGAACTGAGCTGCTAGATGTGACACATAAAAATAGGTGAATGATTGAAAAACGGTTATTTCCACAGTGTCTCTATGTTTCCCCACCATTCCTCTGGTTATCTGACTGAACTGAGCATTTTTTTTTTTTTTTTTGATGCCAAAACAGCCCTGAATGTGTTTTGGTGGTCACTGTCCATGTTTTAGTCCCACAAGCTGCCAAACATGGTAGTCCAGGTGGCGTGTTGAAGTTGTCACTGCTCATACTTTGACTGTGGGGGGGTCTTTGTGTCAGCTGTGTGTTTCTTCCTTTGTTGCACTGGGTATTATTTGAAGGGCTGACGAGGGTAAAAAGGAATTCAGGAATGGGAGATGAAAATAATGTGTGTTTGAGCTGTTAATAAAGAAATCTTTCCTGTTTTTAATCTGATTCTAATCACTGTGATTGGTTGTCCTTCTCGTGGCCTTCTCGTAGTTCTAAGTTGGCACAGAACTAATAAGTGACTTGAATTTGATGGTCAAAATTCAGTCTTTTTAAAGTCCCACTCTGATCCTTTTTTTTTTCTTTTTTGTACAACTTAAAGTGTTATCGGTGGTCTTTAAATTGTGATTAGGACGTTTTTTTCACGTTACCTGTCATTTTCAAGGGCGTTTCTTCTGCAGCGCTCCAGTAGCTCATTAGCAATTCCCCTCTGAGTCGTGGGCGGAGACAGCACTGCTCAGCACACTCCTTATCACGCTCACTTGCAGCCTAACATTACCAGTGTAGTAGAATTAGCAGGTAACATGGGGGCAATTCAGCTCTCGGACACTAATGTCTTTAGGGGCATGATGAAAGTTAACATTGTAATTAGCTTTCTTACGAACATTGTAATCCGCTAACACACACGCTTGTTCTGTGATCGTCCTCTGTATTTCTCCAAGACTGGCCTGCATAGCGGGGCTCTGGGGGGCGGAGCTTGGGTTTGCTATGTAGGAAATCTCACTGAATCTGAGTCTGCCATTTGGGTCTGCCAGACCCACAGCGATTTGAATGCAGAAATACTCAGAAATGCAATTTCGTACTTAGTTTTTTCTCATGATATGTCCTGCAGCATCAGAAAAATGCCATTTGAACATGTAGACAACAAGAAAAACACGATTTTTATCGGAGTGGGTCTGTAAGCCCATCTGACCTCAGCCTGCGTGATGAGTGCCCCTCATTTCTCAAGAGCTTGTAAAGATTTCAGTCACAGAAGAATCCAACTCAATTCCTAATTGTAAATACTGCTTTTTTTTTAAACTACTGACTGTATGAACCTAGACTGACTGATTACATGACCTGTGGCACCTCCATGTAGCTGAATAAGACACCAGGTGACACACATGCAGGTGTGGACATGTGCTAGAATTACATCCAAACTGAATAACTTATCAGGATGTAAAAGAACAGAACAAAAGGCCTAAAAAATGTATCTTTATTATTTAGGCATTCAATGCCTCCAATATCTCCTTTCTTCAATATCTTAAACATCACTTGAACGCAAAACTATCTTACCTGGGAGGGAAGACATACATAACATTTTTTAGTCAAGCACCTTTTATTATTGATAAAAAAACATTTTCAACTTTCATAAGATATAAAAGCAACTTAACAAAATATTGATCTTGAGCTTGTACAGCAATCACCCTGAAGCATGTGGAGTCCTGAGGATACATACGTGTGTTATTTTTGTTTCTATCAATGTCAACAGTTCACCTTCACCCAGTTTCCTTCTGTAGTGGGTCACACCAGTCGAGCATAAGTTTAAACACCCAGTTTTAATATCAGTTTAGATTCAAGATAAGAGTTAGCTCTTACTTGTTTAAAGGGTTGCACCAGCTGAGAAAGGTTCAACCCAAGCAAAAGTTACACCTTTAATCTTACACCTTGTCCTGTGCAGGTGTTTCTACCCAAATACTCTTTTTCTGTTATCAAGGAGATTCTCCCAAACTACTGCCCATCTTTACCCAACTCAAACCAAGAACTTCTGTTGCCTTCAAAGGTGACAGTTTGTGCCGTCAATATTTAAGAAGCAGATACTAGTGTGTCAGGTTGAAGAAAAGGTCTTTCTCCTTATTGACTCATCCTTCCTTTCTTAAAATTTCTGTGTATTGGAAAGGCGATAAACTTACAATCATATCACATTTTCTTTAAATAAGTAAAAACAAAGGTTAATTCAAATCTCTGTGTCCTTCATCTCATATTAGTTATATTTTCTCATGAAATTTTAACCATAGTTTAGAGGTTTGTTTTTTTTTAACAAATGATCATTTGGAGTCTTTTTACACAGGTGTCACTCTTTCAAGATTGTTTGGTTAAAAATCAACTTGGAGTTGTACGTCTGGTAAACGATAAACGCCACCAATCCCACACAGACTGCTCCAACGATGCCTGCTACAATAGAAACAGCCGCCACAGTGCTGTTCGAATCAGTCTGCTTAGGCCCTGAGGATGAAAAGGACACGGAGGATTACACCAGAACATACAACCCAGACTCCAAGAAATGATCAGAGTGGTGAATATCCTTTCTTTACCCATGGGATCATTGGAAATAGCATGTGTAATTTTCATGGGCATACAGGATATTAAGTCAGATTGGCAGTGAAAGCTTACCTCCATGAGCCCCCAGACTCCCTGTGAGAGAGAGACACAGTGAAAGGTATAATCAGTAAACTGGGTGTGTCTAAATTGTCATTAATGGCGCATCTTTACATTGTCAGGCATCAGCCCATAAAGACCTTTCACAATCTCACCGTGGTCCAGGCGAGTGATGATGGGCCCTGAGGTGATGGTGGCCATGTCACTCACAGTCGTACCCTGGCTGTTGCTGGCACTACGGCGCCTCCTTGAGTTGCAGTTCTGCAGGAGAGATAAGAAGGGATTATTGGTCACTTGGGCTTTCACCATCTTTAAAGAAAGCATCAAATACTCCCAGAGTCATAACTGCGTATTGTTACATCAGAAACCCAAGTTAGATTTTTAATTACATCTTTTTGATTATTGACATTTTTGAAAATAATCATCATTGATACATACACTCAAGGCTTGTTTAAACATAAAGAAAAATGCCTGCTGACACAGCAGACGGCCTCCTCTGACAGCTGAATTGTACGGTTGTTTATCAAATTCCAGCAGTTGAAGTTGCATGCCTGGACTAGCTCGCAGATGTCACCACATATGATGTATAAAAAGAAAACTACATAAAATCTGATACAACATGAGTTTTTGACAGTTCAAAGTGAAGACGTGGTAAGATCTTGAGGTGGAGGCAGACTCTGACCTGACTGAGGCTGGGGCAGAAGGTGCTCACACACAGCCTGGTGGCACAGTGGACGTAGTAAGTAGAAATCGGTTCTTCGGCGCTTTCAACAAAGCGGAAAGTCTCAAAGCTGAAGCGAGCCTCCTGCTGCTGTCCATTAACTCCTATCATTGTCTGGCCATCCCGGTTACACCTGGAGGGGGCAGACAGCAATCCTTTTACTTGTCGGTTCATTTTTTTTTTTTTTAAATCAGGTTTTAGTCACATGTCAAAAAAACAAGTACTTCTTAATCAAATAAACTCACATGACTATCAATATCAGCAGCTGAATCAAAGGAAATTGCCTGTTAGTGTTTAAGTAGCCTGTTCACTTAGCTAGCACATTTTCAGAAATTCACTGCGTAAGTTGAATTTTTTTAATGTTCTGAAGCACATTTCAGACCAAAATATTGCTTTGTTAGCTCGGTGTGTGTGTGTGTGTGTGTGTGTGTGTGTGTGTATGTGTATGTGTGTGTGTTTTCAATGTCTCAAGATAAAATTGTCACAGTTTAATGAAAAAAAAATACCACCAGTGAATAAAGCGCCGCTTTTGGGGCATAGATCCTCTACCACTAGAAAAAGCTGAATAAGATGAAACCATTTAAAACGTTTCTATCTTTTTTAATTCAATGTGTCCCACATTGCCCTTGCTTTTAACTGGACCTTTACAAGTCAGCTGATCACTAAAACAGCCTCTGATTGGTTGGAAGACCAAAACAAAAATGGCCTCAGTATGGTCAACTAACAACAAAACAGACACTATTCCTCTAATATAAATATGTAAATCATCATAGATTACCATCAGTTTTGAGAGACTGATTTTGTTCAGATGTATATTGAGGTAAACAACCAGTCAAATGAATGCTGAGTCATTCTATTTCCGATCCCATCACTGTGGTCTGATGACTCACCCAATGAAAAGATCGTAAAAAGTGGTGTTGATGGGGAAAGGTGAGGCGGTGGCGTAACATCGGTCCAGGTGTACGTTGAATCTACAGGAAAGAGTTTTGGTGGTAGTGCATATTGTGACAGCAGATATTTCTATTGATTTGATGAGGTAACAGCAGATATAAGGAGGCAAACGTTGAAAACATGATAAATGTAAATGTGCCCTCTGTTACTGTGTGAGGTACCTGTTGGTGAGGTTAGAAGCTTTAACTTGCACAAAGATCCTGGTCTTCAGCTCCAGACCTCCTGCAGGGATCCGCAGCATAGAGGAGTAGCTTTCATCCTTTAGTGGTTGTAAGAGAAGTGAAGATAGGATATTGTGGAGATTGGTTTACATTAAAATATTGTAACACATTACAACACTTGTTTTCACCAGTGGACAGGGCGCTGACGTTAGCGTAATTTTCATCCTTGGGAATGTTCATGACAGAAAGTTGATGATACATTTATACATAAAGCTCACTCTAACTGTATTTGGAAGTGTATACTGCTTGCTCCCATCAGGTGACACTATCACTCTGACCAAAAATGTGTAAATAATGACAAGCTGAATGACAAGCTGACAAACCTGTTCAAACTTGGGCGGATTGGACATTGTATGTAAAATTTACTACAGTGTGTTACCACAGGGTGGTGCTGTGACTACAATCGAAAAACCAGCACACAGATGTGTTCAGGGTTTTTTGAAAGAGTTAGTCGAACTTCCTGTTTCATTGTCAGACATCAAAATTTGACACGTTACCAGGGTACTTCCTTTATTGAAGACTGACAGTCTAAGTAATGATGTTTTAGCAAGGGATCATTAAATTCAACAGAGGCAGAGAGGTTACAGCACATCACAGAACAAAACATGTCATTTCTTGTTGGCAGTATGAGGAACCCCAGTGACAGAAGGATGACTACATTCAGCTCTGGACACTTATCTCACATATGAATTTTGGAGAGGGTCAAATAAGTAATCTAAGGGTTGATATTTTTAGGAAAATTGCAGAAAACCTTCAACTCTGACCTCTGACATGGCCACACCCTTTCATTGTGTCTACATAACACTGAACATGATCAGAGGTGGTTATTCAGATATACATGCTGTAAATCAAACATTCCCCACAGATTTTTGACTTTCTGTTGGGGTTTTGCCTAAAAAATTCTGCCCCTCCATTGGATACAATGCTCAGCATAAATTGCTAGGCATAAGTTTCGTCCCAAGACTCCCCCCAAAAAAAGTCTCATATTGTTAAGTGTAGGGGGTCTGATTTATGTGCGGATTTTGGAGGGTTTGGGGCTGCCAAATGTGATTATTTTGATAATGGAGGAAGAGAAGATTAAGGAAGGACAGAGGAAAGAAGGAAAGAAAAAAGGAAAGAAAGGACTACTTCTACTGGGTTTCTGTCATCTGGTAGTTGTTGTGTTTATCTTAACAGTGTCCTGCATTTGCCTCAGCTACAAGATTACTCATACATGCATGAGATGGAAACAAACTTCTTGAGCTCAGATTTATTGTTCAGTTCAAAAAAATTGTGAGATACCCAGGTTTTGATTTGGGGGTTGGGGGGTTAAAGGGTTTGATTCTTCACCTGACTTTACTCACCGAGTACATTTGCATGCTCAGCGTGCTGATAAAACTCCCATTGTTGTCTTTGACCGCCAGGTTAACTGCAGTTCTGTTGAACGGAAGAAAAAAGGTCAGCAGCTGGAAATCATTGCGGAAAAATCCCTGAGCTAAGGTTCCTCTTTATTTCCATCTGATACACGAGGTGACGCTCAAGGCTGACTTCAACGAAACACAAAGATAAAACAGAGTTGTGTTAGTGGAAAGTGTTCAGAAGTTTAGCATGTTATCCCCCCCTAAAATGATTGACTGTATATCCATTGTAGTTGAAAAGTCCAGTTCTGATTGGACTAATAGACTACATTGAATTTTTGACATTGTGTAAATTTACTGACTGGATCATACTAATACTTAGCAGATGGTTTCTGGTCTGCACGTCAACTCTATGACATTTATAGCAGCCGTCAACCCATTTTTTTTTTTGCTGGATGAAGCAAGCAATCCAGACCAAAATATCCCATTTCAACCTTCAGCTAAAAATAGTCCTATCAGTCTAGAAAGAGCAAACGTAATCACAGTTTTGGAGTGCCTTATGTGAAGCACAACAAAACAGTGAGTAATTGTGAACATTTAAGCTGAAAGAGTCTCTTACACGCTCATCTGAGTGTTGTTGACCAGGTATTGCAGCGGGTAGCGGCAGGAGAACTGGTACATCACCTCTTGGTGGTAGGTGATGGCTCCTGTACTGGGGTCCTTGGAGCACACCATACCTGTGATATTGATATACTGAACTGTGGAGAAGTCTGCAAACAGGCCAGTTCCTGTCTCCTGAGTGACCTGTAAGAGCAAAGTTCAGTGAGTACAAATATGTTGAAGGGTTTGGATATTTTTAGTGTTTAGCCGGTTTATCAAACTCACAGTCAGCTTGCTGGAGCAGGAAGAGATCCCCTCCTCTGTGATGGAGAAGTTGAATTTGACCACAGGTGGGTCAGCGGTCCAATCAGGGATCCCTTTGCACTGGGGTTTGGAGTGCTGTGAGTTGAGGGACAGCAGTGACTCGTTGTATCCGTTAAAATAGACGGGACAGAGGAGGATCTGGAGGTCCACTGTCTGAGAGCCACAAGTGACCTCGATGTCTGAGTTGGCTGAAGGGTGAGATCAGATCAGGAAAATACACTTTATTAGCTGCAGTGAGTAATGTAAGAAGTTACCTCTGTGATGTGAATAATCCACTACATGATTACTTTTTAAAATTGAAGCTGCTGTAAGGAACTTTTGGTTTGTGTTGTTATTTGCGCCCCCTTGTGGACAAAGTAATACCTCCTATCTCTTAACATGTACAAGTGAAAGTCGTATCCTCGGTCAAAAACCTAATCCTGTTTCCTTTAACAATTAACTCTATCACTCATTGTGAGTACATGCTGTATAAAAAGCTGTTTTTATAGTCTGATGTCAATCATTTGGTTTGACACCTTCCCTCATCAATTACTAAAATGTGTACAGTGACATTATCAAATTTGTTGCTGGTGATCTTGTTTGGTTTTGAAGATCATAAAAAGGCATGAATGTCAGTTTCAGTATGTTTCTCAACCAGTTAAAAACTCCTCATAGTACCTTCAAAGTAAGCCATGATTGAAAAATTTATATTTGGTTAATACAAAAAATAAAATCCCTGAAGCAGTTGACTGTATATGTTTCCTCATAGTATATGGTATGAGGAAACAGCTATCAATCAGTTTTAGCTCAAAGATTTACACTGAAAAACAAATTTGCCTGAGACTGTATCACTAACGGAAAACCAGTATTTAGATTTGCTGACGTCCTTGAATGCATTTGAAATGCTGGATCTGACCTCAATTTAAGACACAAATATTTTAACGTCTTTTTTTTTCACTATTTATTTTTTGTAAAGAGGACAGATGTGACAAAGTTCGGCTGAAACTGAGACCCACTACAAACAGATGAACTGATAATCCTCCAGAGATATAATGAACAGAAAAACGACAGTGTTTGCACTGAAGACATCAGTGCCACATGGAAAAGAAAGTCTTTGGCTTGAAGTCATTGATGTTTGGTTCCAGTTTTGTAATCTTTGAGTCCTCTGATTTTGAGCCATAAAGAAAAACAAACAGCCTACTCAATCTCAACTCTCCAGCTCACACTTGCTCCCTCTGTGCTCCAGTTTGCTGGCCTGCAGAGTCTACCCATAGACTAAACCACTGGCATGTCCTTACTTATAAGGCAGTTCTCAACTTGCTCTCCTCTTATATAATGCTACTAGCATGAAAAATGTTTTAATACTGTGAGATCTTGTCACATTAACTATTTAATTCCAGCAGTTTGACTTCAGCCATTTATAGCACCTTTTTCAGACATCTCCCTGAGGAAAAACCATGTTTTTTCCACCTCTCATATGACTTCAGCAGCTCTTTTTTCACACCTGTCACCCCCAAAGCAGTAACATACCTCACTGATATATAAAGACACACTCTTCACACAGCTAGAGGAACAATATGTCAGGTAAATAAGGTGTGAGGTAGAAGGGGGAAATGATGAAAGGCATGAGAGGAAGCGAGCACTGAAGGTGTCTCTGACCTGGACTTCTGAATGTGGAGTGTCCCATACAGGCATTTTGACCCTGGGCGAGAAGGAGTCTGGCAAGTTGATACGTAAGAAGCACAAGCCACATTGTCCTCGAAACTGTAGAAAGAGAAAGATGACAGACATCAGAGGGTCACATGATCCCTGCTCCACCTGGCCAGGTCTAAGAGCTTGAAAACAAAGAAAATGTGTGACAAAATTATTCAGACTTAGGACACTGGCTCTTACTAAAGTAGTACAAAAAGTAGTGACAAAGTAATGAAACCCCATCAAATAAACAGGCTTGTCTCCATGCTTTGATTTATTTAATCATTTATCCACTATTGTTAATTTACATGATCAGTCTAATTCCAAAAACAGCTGGTATGCTGTGTAAAAAGATGATAAAAACAGAGTTTAATGGTTACTAAATCATGTCAACCCTGTTTTTAATTAAAAATAGAAAACAATAAAAGACATGAAATATGAGGATGATTTGCAACAAGTAAGTTTCATGACTTGGTCTAAAAAAGAGCACTCTAGAGAAGCAATGTTTTTCAATAGTAAAGAAGAGGATCACCATTCTGAACTTGGAGAAGGTGGCAAAGACTCAGACTAGTGACTGCTGTGGCATGGATCATAGCCTCTATACATGGGGCACTCAAACTGTGAGGCCATCAGTGCCTCATTCTCTGCTCTTAAGAGAAGAGGGACCACTCTCTGTTGTCAGCACGTAACTCAAAGCCAGCATCCCTGATGGTATGAGGATGCGTCAGAATCCATGTCATGGGTGGCTTGTTGGTTTTCATTTGGGAAGGTACCATTAATGTTGAACTATACAGGTGCATAATACAGGTTATAAAGCATGACTTACTGCCTTCCAGATAATACCTTTTTTTTGTGTGAAAATCTGGTATTTTCCAGCAAGACAATACAAACCTACATTTTGCTTCTATTATGATTGCATGGCATTTTATAATGAGTCCAGCCTGTCTGTAATCCCAGCTTGTTGGAGTATCATGGAAGGTAAATATAAGGGAGTATGTAAGGAGACCTCACACTGTTGAGCAGCTGTAATAATATATCAGGCGAGACCGGGGCATTTTGCTCACATAGCTCTATAAAGTGGTCTCTTGGGTTCCCAAACATTTATAGAGTTGTGAAAAAAAAAAGAGGTGGTGCAACATCATGACCGAAAATCCTTGTGTCCCAAATTATTTGAAACGTGTCACTTCAACAATTCATTTACTTTTTACAATCAAATATGGGACTTTAATAATTTCAAAACCATCAAATTTGGATTTTATTTACACTTAAAACAGCATCCCAAATTTCTGATACAGTTTGAATGTGTATACACAGTCTGTTGACCATTTAATTGGTGAAATTAAACTTAATGCATATCAATGGACCCCAGCGACAATCTACCAATTTTACCCACATGCATTTCTTCATGGATAAGTCCATAAGTCCACATCTGAGTTCAAGTTAAAAGTACCTACCATCAGGGCTGGAAAGAGCACTTCACAAGTTATTTGACAGAACCAGAATCAGGTTTACACAAGACTTTCATGTACATTTAGTACGACACATCAACAAATTAGCACTTATTTAAAAAAAAATAAACTAAAAAATATAATTTTCTATTTAGACTACAATGTAACTTATCTCAGAACCAACAGCAATATAAAACTGAAAATAAGTTACCAATTATTTTAAATAGTTTTTCTGAATCGCTAAATAAGGCCCAGAGAATTAAAGACAGAAAATAAGGGACAAACATGTAATTATGTAAAAGCTGTTGTGAATCAATTGGCCCTTATGGGATTAATCAAGCTGTTTAGATTGGTTTTAGTGAGGGGTCTTTATCCTGCATTAAAACATAATGCTGCATGCTACGAGGTTTCTCCCTGAGTTTTTCTTACCTTGTGTGGATGGATGACCACAGAGTGCTGCCCCACCTGTTTCTCTCAGTTTGTCTTTACTATGTCTGCTCTTACCTTAAGACTGTGTCATTTATACTGACCTCCTTTCCAGCCAACAGGAAGACCACTGACAAGGGAAGAAGAGTAGAGCCACTCTGGCTGGTTGGATCATCTAACAGAGATGGAACAATGGATGAGGCAGTATGGATAGTCCCTCGTCTGCAAGAAGGTTATGTCAAGTATCGATAAATTCAACACTCCACTGGATGTATGACTTCAGCTGCATAATATATTCATGCATAAGGAAATATATAAAATTGAAAATCAACAAGGAAAAGTACAATTTGTGCACGAGCAAGGTCAACGTTTCTCTAGATTTATTTATTTTTACTACTACTTTTGTTTTTTCAGACAAAAGTAGTAATTGGAAGTTTTTTCTCAGAACCAAGTAGCACAACTAAAAGTCATTTTTTAATCAACTTTTTATCAAGTTTTGTGCATTCAGAGATAAATCCACAGAAACCCTCAAATGTCCCCCAGAATAACCTAAAGAGCCTAAGGTAACCTTTCCAGGCTTGTTACGTAACTTAAACATAATTACGTGCGGAACTAATTATCCGTTTTTACGCAATATCCCCTTAAAAAAGGCCAAGTTATGATCCACTAAAGAGCTGTTTTTTTGGTCACATCCCCCACTTGTGCCAGGGGCTACCACTCTTTGTTAAGAAATTAGGTCTCCAACACATCATGTCACATTTGGAGAGAAAGGCACACCCAGCCAAACAAAACCTTTACAACTGTCACCTGAACCAAGAATCCCCTCAGATCCCCTCCAGGAACCCTGAGACCTCCTCTGAACAATAGGGCTGAGATGAGCTTACACACAGCTTAGCATTAAGGAGGTGTTGTGTCTGTCCTTTTTCTATTCAGCAGCCTGAAGTGTATCTGAGTGAAGAACATCTACTTTTTCTTCATCCTGGGTGCTAAAGCTGGAGGGCCAAACAGGACTGAACATAAAAATATGAGGTGTCTGTGCCACGTGGAATTCATCCCTCATAAATCATGCTTGGATTGGGAGCCGCTGCTACATACCTCTCAATATATCACGGACATCAATCACTGATCCCTATTTATATAAGCCACATTATTTCTTTGAGATCTAGCGCACTCCCCAAGCATTTGAACTTGAACATCCAGTCTCATGTCTCAGCTGGAGCTAGACCGCTACCTGTCTGTTGGGTCAAATGTTATCAACCCCCTCATAGATCATTTCTCCTGCACATCACCCCGCACTCACCATTGACCCCTCACTATCAAATGGTGTGTTCCCCACTGGAGTAAAGGAAAGTCAGGCCACCCCACTGCTCAAAAACTCACCTTCAACCCTGCCCTGGCCAATAACTACAGACTGCTCTGACTTTAGGCAGGGCTTCTCCACCCAGAATGCACAACTGCCGTAAAGAGATTCACCGTATTTGGCTGAACTTACCCTGTTCCTATGGTCAACTTACGCCAAACACGTGGTAAGTTGACCATGGGAGACCACTTTTTTGGCATGCTATATTATCAAGATAGTTATGTTTACACTCATTCTGTTGGTTTGCAGGGATGCACAACATCTTCAAATATATGCAGATACACTAGTTGGAGACAAAACTATGATTGTCTTGATGTAGTGATCCAAAATGTGAAAAATGGCTCATCTTACCCCACTCTCCCCTACACAGCTATTCAAGAGGAATTTTTTTTTACAGCTGTAATAAACATGTTTACAGCTTGGTTCATAATTGATATTGGCCTGATCAGCCCCTCACTCTATCCACACATTCAACAAGGCAGGATTTTTTTTAAAAACATCTTATTGTTTTTAAGATAATAAGGGAGACATATTTTACTCCATTTCAACTTTTATCATGTCATTCTGGGTCACCTTAAGTGTGGCTTTGTGTGATTTCCACCTAAAAAAAATTCCTTGTTTATCTGCTACCGACACATTTGAATACCTTCATTTCAGCTTTATTCAGTCTCTGTCAAAGACACATTGTTTTAGCTGCTTTTCCACGGATGTTAACTTAACCCAGCTTGGGGTGCTACTTTTTACACCATGTTATAGTTATGACACAACCTGAGAGTTATGCCTTCACAAAAACCATCTGAGGCTAGTCCACGGGCCCACACTTAGGTCCCCATTCAGCCACATTAGCATAAGTTAGCTATTGTAAAATTTCTGTGCAGCTATACATGAGTAACAGCTTCACAAACTCCTAACATAATGCAGCCTGCTGTCTTTGAAAACCCGCATTTCAGCCTCCATCTGAGACGCTTCATTGAAACCACTGTCCCATTTACATGACTTTTTGAACGAGTTGTTAAGAGCCCTATTGTTGTCCCATCTAGTGATACTTCAACGCCTTACAGTCTGAAACTTTACTTATGTATTTCACTTCCTTGTGTATTTTTATTTAACCTTTTTTTTCAACCTTTTACTTTTCAAAATATGACAAAAGCGTGATACCACCTCTTTGAAGCTTGTGGTTGGAGGTCTTTTGAATGGAACAAGCTGCGGTGTCAGTAACAGTCGAGACTTCAAATCCAGTTCAAGTGGCCTTTGTTTACAAAGGAGTCATCATTAAGGTGGCAAGGACAAAGAGCTACGATGTGACACGTCCACAGTCCCCAGTGCTCTAGTGCCTTTATCTGTCTTTCAATTTCTATCTTTCAAAGCCAAAGTTACATTGAGTCATCATTTCCAACACGTCATCTGAAGTCAAGAGGCTTTAAAACTCCTCAGAAACTGATGGGTGACGTCACTGAAGCTACATCCATATTTTACTGTATTTGTGGGAGTTTTTGACTGATCTAACCCCTGATTATTTGTAACTCGAACAGACTTCATCTACGGCTTTGTCATTTTTGGGTCAGTCAGAGGTGGAGTTATTTTCATTGTATGCATAATTACTAATGAGTTTGGACTTGATATTTCTCATGAATACTCCTGTGTGGTTACTACTAACTCTCAGCAGACGGTTATATTTCACTTTCACTGCATGTAGCTGTAAGCACTGGTGTTAGTGAATTTGGTGTGAGGTTTATTTTCAAAGAAAAGGGCATAGTATGCTCCAGATGAATGCATTATGGCTCATTTATGTCTATGGGTCGCCCTCAACAAATTTGGATATCATGAAAAAGTTTCCTATTTTCCATCAACTACTTTACGCGATTCATGGTAAAAGAGTTCCAACCAAGTATTGAGTGTTTAAATAACAATTTGTCAGAGGTTGAGAATAACATTTCTGTAATTTAGCTCCTTAACTTTGATTTTAGTCAGTATTTTAATAATTTGAGGTTCTGTAGTTCTAAAAATATCCTCAAAATTGAAATAAGAAATAGCTCAAAACATTTCACCTCAGAAATTATGAAAGTTTACCTTTTATGAGATGCACTTGCAAATGCCACTGATGCACACTGATGCTTTTTGCTCTGCAGTGCTGTTTGTGGAGCATTTAACCGCTTGCACGCACTTTGTAAATTAAACAACACTAGTTTGGCTCATCTACACAGGTTTATGAAGCAGGAAAGCCAAGCAATCGTTTTGTGAATCAGGCCCCCAGTGTGTTTTATGCAGCAAAGAGCTGACGCATGAAAATCTGGGAAACAATTAAAACTAAAATTGCATTCAGAAACAAACCTGCTGAGTTATTTGAACCATGACTGCAGAGCAGAAGTGTAAAGTAAGAAGTAGAAGTAGTTCACAGTTTAAAGCAAATGAGACCTCTGTGCAATCATTTTGAACAGTTAAATGTTGCCAAAAAAGGGGGTCAGCTGGTGGAGGTGCATCCCAAATGATCCCAGTAACCCCCTAAAACTCTGGTCTGTTTCTTTAATTTTACGTCTAACACAGGGCTGTTTGTTATGTGTAATCCCAGCTAAATGTAAATTTATTTTTTTGAATTTGATGAGCCTCACGGTAGTTGCATCTATGTTGCACTTTAATGTTTTATTCTGTTTAAAGCTGGATGAAAGTGAGGGGAAACATTTACCTCTTTGTCCTGCAGTATATAATCACTGTTTTGTGATATTTTACTTTATCTCAAGCCAAACTGCACCATTCCTCATTGAACATTTGAGTGGATGGGGATTATCAGAAATATGAGCCATAAAGATGGTGTCAGTGTCTCCTGAGGCTAAACCAGGTGAGAGCCACTGCCCAGTACATTATGTACTGTTGTGACTGTGAGTGATGTATTCACAGTTTTAATGGAATAAGTCATACTCCTGTACTGTCACCCCCCTCCTCCCCCTTCTGGTTTCCATTTCCATCCCTTCAGGGAACAAGCTTAATATCCATTTAATTCCTGATTGAAGCTGTCATTTTCATTGTATAGCAGGTAACAAGATCAGTGTGAAACCACTGAGATGCAACATTAGGCCTTTAATGCCTGAAACCACAAATTATAGCCAGAAAATGCAATTTTTTTTAGCTGAAATGTTTATTAAAAAAATGTCCTTAAATCTTAACAAATTTATTTATTTATCTTGTTTGATACATTAGATGTATTAGAGGACATTTATATCATTTATCGGACTGTATTTAGGTGTTTTTTTCAGTAATTTGTTGATCATATTGATTTGACAGTAGTATATAAAACTATGTATCAAATATGATACAAAAGGTAGTAAAGGGTTAGGAAAGGGGGTAAAAATAATGTACTCACCTTGCACATGCTCACCAAGATTTGGTTGATTAATCTGCATGCATTATCAAACAAGGAGGTTAAAAAGGAAGTCATCGAGCAGACTCCAAATTATATAATCACTATGCCCCCTAAAGAAAACAAACATACTTTCAAATCTCTTAAAAGCGTTGCAGCTAAAACCTTTCATCTCTCTGGTTATATCATCCACCTTCTCTGTTTATTTTGGTGGATGTGTATGAGTCTTTCAGCCTTATATAGTGATAAGCTGACAGATTTAAGTTTAACTTGGTTCTTTTTATGGGCTTGTAATTGAGCGACAGACAGAAATGTGTAAGGGTCGAAGCTGTCCCCAGTGTCCCCTACTTTTTGGACAATTTAGACCACATTGTTTCTAAAGAGCAGGGCTGCTACCTCTAATTCCATCCTGTTTAACTCAGTGATTCGAAAAAAAATTTTCAACCAAAGAAAGTAGGAAAACCTTTAAATTTAAAATGATCAGAGAGCAACAATGTTAGCTGTCTCGTCAGATGCAATAACTTGTTTCAAGCCATGACATAGTGATAGTTCAGAGACATTTTGAACCACTTCTCGGGTTAAGTCTAAAAGAAATGTGCAGAAAACAATCAAATGCTTCCACTGTACCCACAGAGAGTGAAAAGAGGAGTTTGGTATGATCATCAGTAATGCATACATGCACACCTTTCATGCATGTTATCTCGAGCTGCCGTTCAGTGTCGCTGTAATTTAGAGCTTCAGGTCATATTTCAGTGTTTTCTCCCTCATCAATCTCACAAGTTTACAGACAGGATTCATTTATCAAGGAAACCTGGCACCGGAATTGAAGTCACAGCTTTAATCTCACAATGGTTGACTGTGACATTACATATATAGATATATCTGTTGGTCATTTTCCAAAGGTGCTGCATACAAATTAGTAATACAATGGTGCAAAGCAAAAAGGAGGTTTCCACAGTTTAAAAGCACCGACTTACATTCATTCTGAGAGTATTTAATGATTAGTTAAAAACGTTACACAGCTCAAAAAAACACACAACGTGTTAAAACAAAATGGCAGGCTACAGTTCCGATGATTCTCAACGCACTGAACATAAGGCCTGGGTTCTTTCTCTCCGGAAAGCGACAATGGTGCAAAATCACAAACGCAGTTTTGGCAAAAACGAACACCCGACACAGTGACTCGTCGTGGCGGTGATTTGTCGACAGTCACCCCCCTCGTGTTGAGCCAGTCTCTGTCCGCCTCTATTTGGAGCTGGTGTACTTGGTAACAGCCTTGGTACCCTCGGACACGGCGTGCTTGGCCAGCTCTCCGGGCAGCAGGAGGCGGACGGCGGTCTGGATCTCCCTGGAGGTGATGGTGGAGCGCTTGTTGTAGTGCGCCAGGCGCGATGCTTCCCCGGCGATGCGCTCAAATATGTCGTTGACAAAAGAATTCATGATGCCCATGGCCTTGGAGGAGATGCCCGTGTCTGGATGCACCTGTTTTAGCACTTTATACACGTAAATGGCATAGCTTTCTTTCCTGCTCTTGCGGCGCTTTTTGTCCCCTTTCTTCTGGGTTTTGGTCACGGCCTTTTTCGAGCCTTTCTTGGGCGCAGGGGCGGATTTTGCAGGATCAGGCATTTTCTCTTTCACTTTATCGGCTGTGGTGAAATAGGAAGGGACACAACTCGAGACACCACCCCCCTCCTCTGTCCCCTATTTATAACGTGGGTGTGCAAACGAAGCTGTGCCCTCTCCTCTCCGTGATTGGTGCACCTTGCAGAGGAGGCTCGTCATCGCTGGAGGACTCGCTACGCCATTGGTTCGTGCGTTTTAGTTTCGATCCACCAATCAGCGGAGGCTCTGCGGTATATATACTTTAATCCATTCTCGCATTACGTAAAGGTCCAAGCTTATCCTGTACGCGTTCTCAGGATTCTCTATTTGATCTTCACTTACATTCTTATCAAAACATGTCTGGCAGAGGAAAAACCGGGGGCAAAGCCAGAGCGAAGGCCAAATCCCGCTCCTCTCGGGCCGGACTCCAGTTCCCAGTGGGTCGTGTCCACAGACTGCTGCGCAAAGGCAACTATGCGGAGCGTGTAGGAGCCGGGGCTCCGGTCTATCTGGCGGCCGTGCTCGAGTATCTAACTGCTGAGATCCTGGAGCTGGCAGGAAACGCGGCCAGGGACAACAAGAAGACCAGAATCATCCCCCGGCACCTTCAGCTAGCCGTGCGTAACGACGAGGAACTCAACAAGCTTCTTGGAGGTGTGACGATCGCTCAGGGAGGTGTGCTGCCCAACATCCAGGCCGTCCTCCTCCCCAAGAAGACGGAGAAACCCACCAAGAGCAAGTAAAGGACTCCTTTAGAGCAGGCCCGGGCTCAGCCGGGACCACTTTTCCATACCAGTGTTTTGTTTTATTTTGGGAGAAAACCTTTCACATCAGAGGAGCAGTGCCTGCTGTTGTTGTTGCTGTTTCTACAATGAAAACAGACACTGGCTTCTCGTCGGGACTATTCATAGACTGCTCTGTGCTGTTGTCGGCTCTGGAAAATGGAGGCGCTTTGTGAAGGCTGGGGATGATGAAGGCCGTGAAAAAAGCGAAAAATATCTTCTTATGGACCAATTCTGAGAGGAGGAGCTGTTTTGGTGTCACAGTGCTGCTTGAAACCGTTCAAATTTGTTACATTGTTGTGTTGTTTTTGTCATGTTGTTGAATAAATGTTCTTTGACACAGTACTTAACATTCAGTCTCTATTTCTGTTGTCATCCGGGGACTCTGCGACGGGTCTTTGTGGTTCAATTCGGCACTTCAGGATTGGTTTCATTTTCTGGTAGGGACATGAATTCACCTCTGGCTTGTTCAGTTTCGGGTCTTTGATGCTTGATTACAGCTCAGTCACATACTTTCCATTCATCATCTGCTTTGGCCCACAACAGGAACTTTAAAGGGCTGTAACAACTAACTGCGTCTATCCATGTCATATTAGTTAATTTACTTTTTAAGGGTAGTTCTTTTCAATCAGGTTTTTTTTTCATGTGGTATCTTTGGTAGTATTTAAGACTGGTATTTCACAAAACTGAGCAAAGTCACCATAAACAAACTGACTCTTTACTAAATCTGCACCAACAGTCAGCTGAAGCAAACTGCAAAAAATCTTAAATTAAAAGTTTATAGGAAGTACCCTGGTGGGTTTAATATTTGTGTTTTTACTCTGGCACTATTTAAGTGTATGCTACTTTGAGTTGTAAGCAATAACTTCCAAGTATTCACCTATGACATTTTCGGTACCACTAGTATATGTAAACCTGTCTCATATAATGCATCATAAAACAAAAAGCTTCATATATACACAAGTAAGGCTGTATAACAATCATCATAAAGGTTGGTAGGCCTTTATATAAGCCTAAAACAATGTTTAGAAAGTGCTGTGAGCTTGATTCCTCACTATGGTTTATGATGCGCCATACCCTTGATGCAAAAGAGAAAAAACAATGTCTTTTGATATTGGGTTTATTGACTATTAACCTTATCTGAGTACAAAGATTCCTGAAGAACTCATTCATTTAGCATTTAAAAAATTTATGTCATTTCTATGATTCTCAACTCATTGTGTTATTGACACTTACAACATGCTAAAGCATGACTTTGTTGCTTTAACTAAAGTAGCAGCAATGTGGGAGGTTATTGAATGATCCCATTACACATTTACGAGAGCTTATAAGCATTGTTTTGTGGCTATAAGTGAAGTGTCAGATAAAAAAAAAATACTTCACAACAATGATCAGATTGACTGTCTTTGTATTTCGAAACTGTTTAAATTTTAGTAACTTTTCTGTGATTTTTTTAAACCTCCTCAGTTCTACAATCTCAGAGAAGAGCTATTTGTGTGAAATATGGTTCATCATAACTTTTAATCATACATATTTAAGATACATAAAAATGAATTCTTAATTAAACATAAACCATAGATTTAGGCGTAGGCATCATGCCCATTGCCCATCATCATTGCCCATTCGATTGCTCGTTTAGAATGTGAAGTCTTATTAAGCTTCAAAGAGGAATTATTGGGAGTAGGATGGTACTATCTGAATGTATAAAGTGTCCTTAACTTACTCTCAGATTTACCCTTTATTACACCCTCAACTAACCTTTTATCAGGCCTATTATTAGAACTACTAATCTATCTAACATTATAGCTTTTATTAATCTTTAACTAAACTTTTTTTTTTTTTTAAACCCTCTTTATTAATAATTTATCAAACTCTCTGGGGCAACTTTTATTATACCTTTTATGACAGACTTAACTCACCATATTTTCCCCATCACTAACTTCTTATTGTTTCTTTGTTAAACCCTTAACTTACGCTTAAGCACACTGGTAACACTTTACCTTAAGGGTACACATTTTTCGGGTAAATTATTGCTTGCTTGTTGTTGAAGTAATACATAACTCATGATACATAGCTGCAGGAATTCATCTGAGATGCATCATAAATTACTGTGGCTCATTATGACCCAATGATCAAGTTACTATGACTTCAGGTAATAAGAATGTGTTTCAACTATTATTGGTTGATAGATGTTTGTTAACAGTTAGTTCATACATTAATTTATATGCGACCAAAAATTTACAAGGGGTTTATAGGACTGTACATATACATATCAGCCTCTCTAATTGATGAAAAAAAAAAAACCCTTCATATTTCTCATGTGAAGCATTGAATGAAGCAGTCATCCACAAAAAAATTGTAAACTTTGTGTTAAGAGTTATCATTTAACCCTGTTTTATACCCTTCAATAACCTGTAATTACTCTGAGAACTCTAACTCATGACAAGCTTTATTTCACCCTTTATTTGGCCCTTAAGTATACTCTGTACTATTTTTTCACCACATACTTTTATTACACCCTTGTTAGCAGGAAACTTTGTGTATTCAGGCCTTACACTGCCCTCTTCTGTTAACAGTTAGAAATGTCATGCTTCCACTCTATAATGAAAACTAAGCTCCAAGACTATTTAACATAGGCCTGGACGATATAGAAAAAAAGTATATCGATAAAAAATAAATCATATTGATCGATATCGATAATTATCGATATAATTGTTATAATTATTTAACATATATTTTAATTGCAGCCCTGGATGTTTTATGCTATTGCTTAATGACCTACTTTTAATAAAGAACACACAAGCACTGAATTCAAATTCAAACCTTTATTCAACCACCTTTTTTATTTTACCACAACTGAAAGTTTTTTAAAAAAGAACTAAAAAAAAAAGGAATTAACTTAAGTGGCCTGAGTGACGTCAGTAAATACTGACAAACATAAAGACTAAAGTGACCAAAAAATCTGATAAATAAATATTTAAATAGTCTTTTGATGAAAATAAACACATATATAAATAAACAGAATAGCTTTAGGTGGGAATAGCATACTACCAGTTTTAACTGTGTGGGAAACTGCCCACAGCCTGGTGTCTGAACACTGAAATATTTCTCCCGGGGTCGGGAGATTTATTTTAATTATCATGTGATTGACTTAATACACAAACTAAGCACGAGAAGCAGGACTTATCCACGCCGGTGTTGTGTCGTAGAATGCACCCCTGCCGAATGCACCCCCTGCTAGTAGCCATGATCCAAATACTCGCGTCTTTGTAAAATATGAGCTCATTTTCTTCCACTTTAAGAAGCTACACCGGAACGTATTTCCTCCGCACCCTTCTCACCTTTTCAACCCCTGACCCATTTTCATGCCTGAAGCGCTGTGTTTGAGAAATACTTGCGGCCGGACACTTCATATCGCGGGTCGAGAGTGGCTAGAAGCTGGTCGAAGCCAGGCTTTTCAACGGTAGTTATTGGCAGTATGTCCCTCGCTATGGAGCATGTTACTGCATGGGTGATGTCCTTATGCCGCTCGGACGCTTTGTCGTATTTTGGCAAGAAACGAAGTCCAGTTTGATCTGCTTCACATGCTTTGTGCTGGTGCTGGCAGCGGTTCCAGAGGATTCCTCCGACGATGACGTGGAGCCGCGGCGCGGCCGACACAGCTCGTACTCCTGCGGGTGCGATCGGTTTAGATGGTAAAACAAGTTGGTTGTGTTACCAGACTTCGTTTTTACTAATTCTCTGCAAATTTTGCAAACGACCGCTGTTCGCTTTTTGTCAGACTTCTAAAAACCAAAACATTGCCATGCTGGTGAACTACTGAAACCTTTTTTCGGGACAATGTCCTCCGCTTCTCCTTGCTGTATCATTTTTTCTAATACACGTGCTGTCTGTTGTGGTTTGATAGGGGCTGGGCTTGGTGCCGTAGCGTACCTGGGTCTGCGTTTGTGATTGGTTGGGAGGAAGTAATGACTGTAGTAAAAGCTACATGATAGGCTATGATGAAAAAGAAAGGGAAACTGTGTTTTTCTATCGAACTTTTTATCGACCCGTTTTTTTTCTATCGCACCACACGTCTATCGATCGATATATATTGTTATCGAATTATCGTCCAGCACTAATTTAACATACCCAAATCTATCATCCTATGTCAGAATATCCTTGGGATGGTCTTGATGTGTGCCGAAAACAGTCAGTTATTGTTTGATGGCATAGTTATTATGTGAAAATTTTGATAATTTTCTAGCTCATCCCAACATCCATATAGTAATACAACATTCCTTGTGCCCATGAGAGGTCAAAAACACAGCGTCACCTACTGGCAGGAGAAGGTAGGAAGCAGTTTCCTTGTGGAACTACTTTGTTGAAGAATTAATTATACCTACATGAAGAGAAACTAAACATGGTGCACAGTAGCACAATGAAGAAACTAGACCGCAAATAGGTTTGTGCAGTGGGCATGGCCAAATGGCTTTGTGGTGGTTCCTACGATATTTTACAAATTGTACTGTCAAACGCTATGTTGTGAATCCACTGCACTGCCTCCTATAGTGCAAGAGGATGTAGGGTCATATTTAATGCTGCTTTAGCTTTTATAATACTACTACTAATAACAACAACAATAATAATAATAATAATAATAATAATAATAATATTTATTATTATTATTATTATTTTAACTACAACACTACTAATGATAATGATGATGATGATTGTAATGATACTACTTCTTTGAGTAATAATAATTACACGTAAATAAATAGATAATAACAAGATACTGTGTTCTTTTATTACTGTAAATGACCACCTGAGGGCACCAGCAGACACAGTAGTGTTCAACTCAACAGATTACAGTATAAAGATATGAAAAAGTATTGTTTTTACATTATTGTTATTATTATTATTATAATTATTATTATTATTATAGTATTAAGAACAGAAGACAATGACTTTAAGATTAATAATTTGATCTTGTCTTCATCTCTGTCCTTTTGTAATGGATTGGTAATTTGATCCCATTTTCAAAGCATAAAGTGTAGAATTCTACTGTTTATAGTTATGTATTATCATTACCGTAATATAGTATTGTATACAATGTATAATTTATAATGAATCCTCTTTGCCTGGACCAGATTGTCAAATCAATTGTATATGATACTCAGAGCCACCCTCATTACTGCACAGTTGTTGCCTATTAACTGCCTTTTTTGTTATAAGCAAGTTTTAGTCTGGATTTTAATGGAGTAAATGGAGTAAAAAAAATGAACCTAGTACAATCCAAAGCATGCACTAGTCTTTTCTGTCGACTGCATAATTTTAAAGGTTTTGTTCCACTATTAAGCAGAGAATTCTCATCAATCATCTGAAACAGTTAAGTGATTTGGTTGGGGGTCAAAAAGTAGGTCATATATCTTAATACCAGCCCTGCTAATATGTATTATATATATTAAAGAGCAAATTATTGTAGACAATCCCATATGTCCATGTTGACCCTTTCAACATGCCTGAATAATACCTCTGTAACTTTTTCACATATAAAATCACATTCTAGACAGTGTTCTGAATGATTGAATTAGGATGTCTCTTTTATTTAAAACATAGAATAGAGGTTCAAATCCTTTAAATTCATATTTATAAAAACTTTGATTTTAAACTTCACAGCCCTTAGGTACTGTTTAAAGTAGTTTCCAATGTGATCCAGCAGATGGGGCTCTAAACATTGACCATCTGTCTCTGGTGCTCGTATTTGACCTCACAGTACACTTTTGTTGTATTTCATTTCATTTTACTCTATTTACATTTTGAAAGACAGTGGCCAGTAAAGTCAAACAAACTACTAGAAATACGATGCCAGAACATTTTGGGGACAGTGAGAAAATGAGGTGAGTGTTTTTTAGTGTAACTCAACATTAAATTATTTGACATGTCATTTTATAATGACTAAAATGTGGTATTTGTGACAGCCTTGTGACTTCAGTTATTTAATTTTTTTAAAGTTATTTTGATCTTCATAAATTGGTTTCAAAGCCCTGTTATCTATTGGAGATGTATTTCCTAATATAGGGAATTTGTTTATGAAACTTGGATAACCTTTACTGTTGGTTGCTAAAGCCACAAAAGAGAGCAGTGCAGCTACAGAACATGAGAAATTTAACATTATCAGTTTTGAATCCTAAATGTCCAGATCCCAGTACGCACCCCTACAAGTCTTGAACAAGGTTTATGCTGTCAATGTCAGTTGGCAGATATCAGTCACGTGTCTCGCTGGTGTTGTTCTAGTTTGTAGACCAATCACAGCACCAATGTGAAACAGTTATAAATACTGATGTGGAAAAATGAAGCTCATAAAAGAAGACAGGAAGCAGCTCTGACATGAGTGTATCAGAGTCTGTGCAGTTGTCTTCTGATGGTCCCAAAACTCTAGCAGATATAAAACAGGTGATACTCAATATAAAAGGAAAGCAAAACTTTTAGCACAGTAATTTTATCTTCTTAAAAAATCAAACTACTAGTGTGTCTGCAAGTTGAACAGTTTAATAAGACCAGAGTGTAAGAAAGAATACACAGAGGACATAGGTGTCTCCAAATGAGTATCAATGAGGTATATTTTACTTTTCTTTCATAAAAACACAATGTTGGCACATTATTTTCTTCTTGTGAAATCTTTTACATTCACAAAGAAATATTAAGAATGTAAATCGGGATTGTCAAACAGAAAAATGATGAAATTGTTACACAGTAAATGAGCTCGGCACGTGTAAGTGCTTGGTCATGACAGTACATCAAACCATGCTGTTCAGTTACATTCATTTGTAGAACATAAGAAGCTTTGCAGTGTGCCGACTTGCACTTTCTTCTTTGCATTTATCCTCTTAACTGTCTTTAATTATGCATATTTTTATTTTCTGCATCACAATGAAGTTTTCAGTCATGTGAATTGGCTGACTGCCTTTCTAAAGGTCCCATATTATGATATCTTGGGCTGTTTACAAGTTCTAGATTTCTCTCTGTGGAGGAGCTGCGGCCTGAGCTCCTAATTTCAATATCCATGCAGTGATCAGTGAGTGGGTGGGAATGCTATGATAATGAGATAATGCTAATAACCATGGACGTGGTAACCGAGGGGAAAAGTGGATCTGACTACCCAGGGCCCGAGTAGGGACAGGGGCCCATAAAAATCCAATTTTTTATTTTATTTTTTATTTTTTTGCTCATGAACCTCGTGCACTGGCATGGATAGGGGGCCCACTGACATTGAGAGTGTCCAGGGCCCAGAATTTGGTGCTACGCCCCTGCTAATAATGCTAACAACTGCTGGGCTTGAAGTGGAAAATGTTGTCCCAATTCCTATAAAAATCAAGACCATGTCTTGATGTTGTAAAATATGTTATAACAAGGTTTGTAAAGACTGAATACTTTGTTAGTTCTGCAGACTGTGAAAAAATCCAGGCGGTGAAAGAGCTCAGATCCTTCAGCTTTTAGAACTAAGAGTTTTTAGGGTTTAAAGAGGTTTTAAGTGATTTTAAAACATAAGTAATCGTTTTACTCATTTAATGCAGGCATGTCCAAACTATTCAACAAAGGGCTGCAGGTTTTTCTTCCAACCAAGCAGCAGCACACCAGACTTGATTCATATTATCAGTTGATCTCAGTCTTCAGACAGCTGATTGGTCAGACTGCATGCTCTTGATTGGTTGGAAGAAAAACCTGCAGCCACACCGGCCCTTTGTGGAATAGTTTGAGCAGCTTTAGCTAAAGATCACATGGTAAGTACAAACAAAATTTGCACAAATGTAAAAAAAAATAAAAGTCATGACAAGGACGGAGTATAGGCATCGGCTTTGACGGCCAAGAAGAGAGCAGTCGCCCTGTGTGGCTGTGAGTCTTTAACATCTTGACTCTACAACACCAAAGCAAAATCACAACAGCGTAGGAGGAGCTGCTCAAGAAGGAGGGGGTATGAGTCATGGTTTCACTGCTCAGTAAGTCGGCTACAAACACTCTGCAGAGACTTTTCAGGCCCACATTTTTAGGGTTACCAAGTTTGAGAATGGCCAAAGTGCATATATAGGGTGTTTTTTAAAATTTATTATTATATGGGACCTTTAAAATGACCACTGTCATATGATTTAACAGGGTGGCTGCTCTGACTGCTTAACAGCCACAGGTACTCATTTCAAACTGGTTTATTTTCATGTCCTCACAGAAGTGCTTTGAGGTAGTTCACTTATATGGTGATTCCTTTCAATGTAATTTTGCACAAGCCAGACCAGCATTCAACCCAGTGATACTTTCCAGAAACAGTGAGCAGAGTAGAGATGTCAGACAGCAACAATCTCTCTTTTTTTAAAACCCCTTTTCATTCAGTAGTCAAAATACAGATCACAAAATGCTGAGTTTTACAGATCTCAAATGTAAACAACACGACATCAGCTAAAATGAAAATGAAAACCTTGACTTACAGTACAAACACAAGCTGCAAATGTCTTCAATTGAAAGGGAATGGTCGGCTGATGCTTCACTGGATAACACTAAAAGGAACAAGTGACTGAAAAGTACCAAAAATCCCCTTTGTGGGGTAAGTTGTGCAAGATGACACTCCATGCATTCTGTCATCAGCTCAAGAGGAACAATTTACACAAAAGTTCGGATGAAAGTCACAGTAACTCTAACAATGTCTGAGAAATGACAACCATCAAAAAGCCAAAACAATGTACAGCCTATTATACAAAAAAGACACCCATGTCTTATGCAGCCAGCAGAAAGGTCACCATGGTGCTGTAGCAACTGAAATACAGGAAGTGAGGAACATCAAACAGAGCGTACAGCTGTGCCACTTAAAGTCCTTTTTTTTTTCTTTTAAGTGCTCACAAGAAAAGCTGCTTTCTGGTTTTTAACAAATCCTTGGAGAAGAAGAGGAGAGGGAGCTAACATCTCAAATGGTTTTTCTCTTTTACAAAAAGTGTTTTTTTTTTGTGTAATTTTTTGTCTGAAATTCTCTCACCAAAACACAACCATTACCAAGGATTGTGCTTTGTGCAAATATCAACACAGTCCGCAAGGTGAAGAAATGGAGACAGCGACTTTCTACAGTCCAATTATGAGCAGTAAAAGCAGACATACAGTGATCAGCCACAACATCATAACCACTCACAGGCGAGGTGAAAAATTGATAATCTCTTCAGATTGGCAACTGTCAGTGGGTGGTGTTTGTGGGGCAGCAAGTAAACATTTTATCTTTAAAGTTGATGAGATGGAAGCAGAAAAACTGGGCAAGTGTAAGCATTGGAGTGACTCTGACATTTGCCAGGTTGGCAAATGTTGGCAGACAGCAGAGTTAAAGCGTCTCCAAAGCTGCAGCTCTTGAAGGGTGTACCCAGTCTGCCGTGGTCCAAACCAAACCAAAGCTTGAGCTGAAAGTAGCCCATAGAGGGAAAAACCAGTTACTCAACCAAGATTATGGGCAGCCAAGGCTCACTGATGTGCATGGGGAGCAAAAGCCAGCTTATGTGGTGCAACAGAAAAACTTTTGGAGCTCAAATTGTTGGAGAGTCAGGACTAGCTCTGGCAGAAAAGAGTAAAAACACTCGGCACCATGGCGTCTTGTGAATGAGGGCGACTAGCTTTTGACACAACAGGGTGCCCATACCGTCCTTGTAAACCACTGACCACAG